CGACAGATGGAGAGCGAATTTGTAGTACTTCACCAGAGTCTTGAATACGAGTTTCGGTCACCGGCTATCATGGAACTGCATCTCCTTACGATGCTCCACTGCCTTGTGGATCAGATCTTTAGTGGGAGGCTCCAGCTCGAAACCACCTGCTTCGGTTTTGGTACCCGGGGAGTATCACAACCCTCACACAAATCAAATGAGATTTGTGCGGCGCATATGTATCCGGTGCCCCCTTGTACCAATATCTATGTGTTCAAATAAATAAATAAAATAAGTTAGACTAACTCGTTACGTTCCGGTCATTATTAATATTCTTAAGATAAACGGCGTATGTGTGTGTAAAAAAATCCAACATTGTTCATTTTTAAAATATTAATTGCATTTGAGATCCTTTTCCAGATATAAGTGAATCCCATCAACTAAGATTATTTATTTCAGTAAATACATCAAATGTAACGGACTAACTTTTAATACCATCCTGGACTTGTGATTAGTAAAACATTTAATTTTAACAATATTTGTTAGTTACCATTTTCAATCATTAACGAGTATTTTTGCTAGTTTCTTTCAAAGTTATACAAATACTCTGCAGCAACAGTGCCTATCCTAACTCCGGATTATGTTTGGATTATAACTAGGTTTATTAATATTATCGATTAGTCTTAGATTGAATACGTCTTTACGCTTCATTTACTGTAAAGCTTTCGTCTTCCGCATTGATTTTTAGAGACGCTGACAACGCAGCTTGGCTACCTTACGTCCCTTAAATAATGCTAATTATTGCTAATATAGTGCAACATTTCATCGTTGTAAATTTCAATCTAGCTACCTTGTTTTTTGGATATTGCAATAATCGAAAAAACCTCGAATTTATAAGTTGTAAACTTTGGTAGAACCTATTTTCATATTTGAGCACTTCTCAATTTCATTTTATTCTGTATTCATAGCTTCTATTATTTGACTTTTTCTCTAATATGGTCTCTTCCTATATAGAATGTTTTGGAATTAGGTAATTTAAATTCTGAGCGTGATTGGGGATTCGCTGGTGATTATGTTAAGGCTATGTGGCTTATGCTTCAACGCGATACACCGGAGGATTTCGTTATTGCATCTGGGGAAAAGCATTCTGTTCGTGAATTTACCAATTTGGCTTTTGAACATGTTGGAATCCATTTAACGTAAGCACATGTATATTTAAGTGTTTAGTGTTTCGAATTTCTACTTCTACTCATGTATTCATTTTAGGTGTTTAATACGTGTTACAAACTAAGCGATAATCGTAAAAATATTTAACACGATATTTCTGCACTTCATTGAATTGTCCGCAAAGTTATAGTGGTACTTCAGTTTGTTGAACAAATTTTACATTCATAAATCTAAAAAATGATAATTAATGACAGATCCTCGAGTAAAGGCTCACATAACCTATCTCAAGTCGCTTTATGTACCCAAACCAGATCAGTTGGACAGGAGTTTGGAATAAGTGTATATAAGTCTATCAGTTAAAACCACCAACTGACGAAACGGCAGGTCGAAAACTATTTTAACTTCTAATTTAATGTATGGAATATTTTTTGGTTTGTTCAAATAGAGACGCTTATCAACAAGAAAGAGCATCTTTTGAAACTTCTTTTCATTAATTTACAATATACTTTTAGAAATGTTGATTTTTAAGCAAGAAAAGACTCAGGAATCTTGAAGTGCGCTTTCATGTGATATTTTTCTGTTACTATATAGACTTCTATATTTATTGAATCACCATAAATGCAATTGTATAGCATTAGTTTGAAACCCGAGTGTTCAAACTATAGCTTCGGCTTTGAAAACAGTTTCTACAGCGACTACCAGTCTAATGTTAACATTTTCATGTAGCTTTGATTTCCTATTACTTTGAATTACATCTTTCTCGATATAAGTTCAAAAGGTTGAAGTGCGTTAATTATTTGCTTGTTAATAATATTTAGTAAATCAACTAGTTACTTTAATAAGGTTATAGTGAATCAAATGAGTAAGATATTCATGGTACGTTTTTTCTTAGATATTTAGATTCTCCAAACAATTGAAGTTGCACCATAATTTGAGGTACATCCTAGAAGATTTGTATTGGTGACATTTGACTTTTAAAACTTATTGGGAGTCACATAATATTTGTTTTTTAATGGCCATAATATTTACTTCCGTTGGACTATTTTTCTTGTTTAATCACCCACTTTGAGAGCGTTTTTAAATGCTTGAAATCAATGATTTTTAAATAAAATTAGATGGAAAGGAACCGGTCTTAATGAAGTTGGTGTTGATTCAGAATCAGGAAATGTACTTGTTCGTGTCAATGAACGTTACTTCCGTCCTGCAGAAGTAGTAAGTATAGTATTTCATAGGTGTCAGTTTATTGCTTTTGTTTAGCTACTTTATTATTGTATAGTAAATTTCTGTCTATTTCTACATTAGTTCATTATCTACATATTTGCAAATCGCCATTTAGTAGACTAAATAATAAAATGAATAGTGATTTCGATGTCTGTTCTGTACATTGGACTAAAGGACTCACTTATTTCCGTATACAATATCTTCTAAATAAAGTTTTCTATTTTTTTTATTATATTCCAAAAAACACAAGCTGACAAATACCTCGGTGTGACTTTGGAGTTGTTTAATAAGGATATGCCAACTTAGTAAAACTGGCATTAATCCACATACATTCAGAGTAATTGTTTGTTAATGCGGTAAGTACTGAAGAGTGATCAACAATTATTGCAGTTTACGTTCCCGTTCGACTGAACACATTGCCTATGAACAGTAATTAGACTTATTCTGATTTAATTGATCTCAGAGCATAGTATAGCTTTTTGAAGGAGTTATATCAATGTCAGATACCTAGCTTCTGCATTAAAATAAAACAAAAGAGGGGAACTCAGCAATCATTTTTTTCTGATGAAGTCAGTGAATTACTTCGATCAGACTCACCTACTAAGACTATATGTAGAAAAATATTCATTCGTGAACTCAGTAAGTGATTGAAGTGACTTTAAAGAGCGGTTCATCCGGACTCCGATTACTTTTAAGTTTAAGGAAAGATACTATTCACTCAAATACTGTCAGCAAAACATTTACGAAGTTTGATTTTTTGTAGAGAAAAAACTACTTAGATGAATGTCCTAGTTATAATGCACTCATTAGTAATTTTTTTCACAGGATCTTTTGTTAGGGGATTGCACTCGAGCGAAAGAATTATTGAAATGGGAGCCAACTTGTGGTTTTACAGAACTTGTTAAGCTAATGGTGGATGAAGATATGAAATTATTGGAGTCCGGTAAAACTCCTGTTTAACTAAATTTTAATGTCCTTTTCGATTTAGTCTGAATTTTATTTGTTTGTATGATTTTTTTCTATTGTATTTCATAAAAATTGTTTTCTATGAATTGTCTTCACTTCGAGTTATTCGATAAAAAAACGTTATTTCTCTCGGAAAAGAAACCACAATTAAGACTCATTATATAAATGATCGATTACTAGAATCAGCCAGGTAATTTACTTGTAGATACATCATTGATTTATCGTGGAGATATGTTTTGGGACTTGTTGATGCTATCAGCCTAGCATCCACTTATACCGACCAAAATTCAGTGCTGAATATCACTCACATGATAATAGAAACCATTAGGAATGAATACCATACTATTCGAACAAGTTATTGGTTCTTTAGACTCAGTGGTTTGGTGGGGAATAACATGGCATTTTAACTGATAGGTGCTGGGTCAGAGTAATACTGTGAGCACAAACAGAGATAGGTATATTTAGTTAGTCTCAAATACAGCGACGCGCACTTTTGAAATTCCATGTGTACTAATAACAAGTGATATTGTAGTGAACAAGAACACGAGTGGGGACAATGGAATGTATTTGACACGAAATTACAGAGCATCTCACTAAAATCTGAGAACCATATAGTAAATAGTAATTTACAAAATATCAATCCATCGTCTCAAACTTCACTGTTTCTTTTGCAAATATCAGTCCATTGCCTCATATTTCATTGTTCATGCATTTCCATACCAATTGCGTTGTTTCCATTTTTCCTTATCGATCTTCTGTTGAAATACACTCTATGCCTGACCACCGTCATATACTACTTATATGGATATAAGTAACCTACACCACAATACCACTGAATAAAATGATAATGCTATAGACAGAACCGAAAAGTTCCGGTTTATATCTGAAAGTATAATTCCTATAATATCAAGAAAAAATAGCTTCAGTGAACATGTAATTACAGTACATAAAATCATACCAGAATATCATTACTTACATTTTACCACAACCTCTCAAGAGTTATTTTTAAGGTAAATAAATAGGCATGTACTTTCCAGTGTAGTGTGACTGTCTAGTTAGTACAGTTCACTGTATCTCGAATGTTTTATTTAAAAACGGAAAATATCAAGAAGTATGCCGATTTATGGTATAATAGTTTAACTTATACTGATGTTATGTTTACATCCAAACTAACTACAGTTACTAAGCTACATGTCGTAACTTCTGTATATTCCTTCAAATTCCGTATACAAATGCATAAGTTAAGTTCTGAGCGACTCCAACCGTAATTTAATAATGTGAAAGTTAAATTAAGTTCACTATACATATTTCATTGGGTAAACGACCATGTAAAACCTGGATGCATTGGACATCTGTTATGTTTTAATGTATGACTTCCTACCGGTGCGCATTTACGATCCATTTAAGCCTCGCGACCAACACCCAACCTTCAAACAACTATGTTGAGATAAGAAAACTACATGCTAATTATTGACTGTGAACAGTGATGTCCTTAGTTTATATAAAGAGCCATGATTAATGGATTCAATAATATCAGACATGAGATATATCACCTACTGTAATGGACGATTGTCATGAAATATTTTGAACTAAGAAATGTAAACCATATAATACCAATTCAGAGATCTAATCGTTCTATGTACAAAATAAACTAACAAGAGTATATGCCAAGTAAATAATTTGTATCATGAATATATGAACATCAGTTATTGCTAATAACTAACATCATCGGTTACGCAATAAACAAAACGAACATTTCTGTTATAATAAATGTTTTAATTAGTTGTCACTGTTTATATTTGTATTTATCGTAATTTAAAAGAAAGAAATTGTAGCTGACCAAAAATAGAAAATTCTGATTAGAAGAGATCAATGAATACGCATCTATTAAAATACAAAATCCATTAATTTAGTTAAAATCACATAAACACGACAATATAAAAAAGTGAGAAAAGAAAGGATTAAATTTAATTAGGTTGATTACATTTAGACAATTAATAAAGTTCATGAATCAACATGCTATTTAGATGTTGCTGTTTATCTTTTGATTTTCTATCCAATTTCTTATTCTCTAATCATCATTATTTATCAAAATACACCTACAAATAGCAATTAGGTCAACGAAGCACATTGTATTGATGATTGGAACATGAACAGACTTGTTCATAAACATGCCTCACGTGTGTGTGTTAATATATGTAATTCAACATAGACTAATTATATTTTTAATTCACAATAAGAATTAAACACTCAATTGAAGTAATGGTAAATACTAACTTTTGAAACAAAGTGTTTTTTAGTAGAAGAATTGTAACTGTTCTTAATCATTGCTCAATCTAACAAATTTAGGCTTCAAACAACCAACAATGCGTGTGAGAAATTATTTATTTAGTAAGATATGAATAGCAAAAACTGTACTTTCATCATTTATCTGGTGATAAACGCTTTGTAATCATAGATTTTTATGACTCAGTTTATGCTTATTAATAAAGTAATGATCATTTGGTTGAATCTCACTACTGACAATAAAAATTACTGTGAAATTGTTAGCCATACATAGAAATGTGAACATAAGAAAAATACTGAAGGAAGGCAACTATAATCTTGTTGCGTTAACGAAATGGTAAATAAGACATAGACACTTGGCAAAACAACACCGTATTGATCCAAAAGGGACATACATGTATGCGCAAACAGACAAATAAATAATATTGAATTCAATAAGGGAAAAAAACAACTAGATAGTTATGGAAAAAGATCAAGCTATTGACATAATACATATGTTGTTGCTCACTCATTTTTAAACTCTTATTAAGACACAAAATTAAAAATAAATGATTACAGTTCAGCTGAAGTGACCTCATGTAAACCATGAGCTAACAATGTTGGCGGTAACGTATCGGTTAGTATATTCAATCGATTCAAATAAATACCAGCTAATGATAAATCTGAACTTGGTTTGGGCAAATAGAGAAATAAAGCTGTTGTATTCGGATGACAATAAGACAGGATTAATTGGTTTAAACAGATTATTCTTCTGTTATCTTTAATATTATCATCAATATTTTTCAACATTGAATTTTTTTTCATCACTGAACTATCCATATCAACCAAATGTATTTCTGCCTATAACCAAAGAATAAAAGGAAGTAAGCAAAAATATGAATCGCCTTTTTTTTCAATATGAAAATTAAAGTAAATATACTACAAATTAGAATTATTGAGTGTTGATAGCTGGAGATCTAATTTCTTTAAACACATAAACATTGGTACAAAGTTCACCAAAATACATGTACACCACACAAAGTAATTATCACTCCATTTGTATGTGATTTAGGATACTTCCCGCTTGCGGAAACCAAGAGAGATTCCTCGAGTATTTGACATAGAAATCTAATCTACAAGACAATGAAACAACATTAAGAGGTGCAGTCTCATGATAACTAGTGGCCAACAGTCGGTTCATACATGATGTATTCCTTGAGCCCATGAGCGTCATTGGTTTGGGATCAAAGTGTTTCAACTCCACAAGGTGGATCCTTCGTATCTAATTTATAACTAAAATAAGGCACTTTTTACCTTCAAAAATGACCTCTGTCGACTAATAAACTACCGATCATGTTAAGCAAGAAAATGCATAACAATATTTTCGGTCGAATTTCATGTACATAGACAAAAGTAGAATAAGACAGCATGAATAGTCAGTATCGATGGTGAACATGGGCTCGAGGATTCTGAAGGAACAAATAGCGTATGAACCAATTGTTGGTCACCATCTACCATGAGACTGCATCTTCTAACGTTGTGGGTTAAACCTTTGTCATAACTTGTGGCCTGTGTGCCCTGTAAATGTATACATAAGCCAATTGGAGAGCAATGAATTATCAATCGAACCAATGACGCGCAAAACACGTACTAGCAGTCTAGAGTACTTATCGGTCCTGCTCCCTGTCTAACCCAGTCAGTTAAGTCCAGAACACCAATCTCAACCTCTGCGATGTGAATCATTTGTTTCGAACATACGGGGTTTATATACCAATCAAACAGACCACATCTTACCATAAAATAGGAAACAACATTTGTACAAGATTTGGCCAAATGTGAATGTCGGAAGTAGTGAATTAATAGACAGGCCATAATTCAAGAATGGTAAATCGTAAAATAATAGTTCTTAGGTCGAAATAAAGCTTATAATAAGAGGGACACGAATATTAGTAATTTAGTTATGTAACAATTATACGATAAAAATATACGCACAGTATTGGTGCATAAATGGATCCCCAAAGTTACCATTCATTATGCTTATCAGGGCATAACAACATTCAAGTCAAAGGCTCGGGGTGTGACATCCTGAGGAAACCACCTGCTTTAGTTTGGGCACCCGGATGGTATCACAGACCTCACACAAATCAATGATAACTATTACTGGTCTCGTTGTTACTGTGTGGCGCACATGTATTTGGTGCCATCTTGTACCAATGTTTGTGTTCAAATAAATAAAGAATAATTAATAGACTATTTAGACGTGTCTAATATCAAGAGTATATAGTAGAAACTCGAAAATTAACTAAATTGATTTTTTTTTAAAAAGTTGAACAATAACAGTGATGTTTTCATGATAAGAGACAATCGGCCGCACTATACCATCAAGTTTGTCATTTCATTTAATTATGACGAAAGTGATTGTTTATCTTAAAATAAATTTTTAATTAATTACTGTTGTTATTATTATTAATTATCATTCATGTAAGTGCTTGACTTTGATACTTTTTACATATTCTGAAAACAATAATAATTATAATTAGTTTTAATTTAATTCAATACAAATAAAATAAGGTTAGATACAATGCTTATTGTAATATACCGATAGAATCTATTGTTAATTTGTAGTTCAAACGGTTTTCTTTATTTATTTAACAAAAACAAATTAAAAGTTTATTTATTCTATTAAATCTTTCATTCATTTTATTATACAGGATTATTGATTTTATTGACCTGCAATAATAATAATGATAATAATAATAATTGTTATTATTATTGTCATTATTATTTACATTCCAATCAAACCTATATGTTTATTGTTTTAATATTAAACTGAATTAAAAATAGATTTCTAGAAGTATAATCTTTTTATAGGCTTTTTTTTTAATGAAACTATTTTCAATTGTCAAGTTACCATGGATTCCATGATGATATAAACAATATTTTAAATCATTTAAATGTAAAATGAAAGTAATTTTTAAGTGATATGCTTTGACTTAAACCTAGTCACTATTTGGATTATTAATTTCGATAAATATTTGTAGAACTTGAAGACATTAGTGATTAGTCGGAATTCATAATCAACCATGAATGTTTACGATCAGTTTTGCCCCGTATGATTAATATCATTTTGCGCATACTACAGTTGATGTATGAATTCTGTAGTAATCATCTAGCGTTTCTCTCTTAAATAGATGGAAGTATGAGAAAATATGCGAACCATCGTGGAGGTATACCTCTTAGAGTTTCTCATTGATATACCGTAGTATGCTGTAAGCATTCTATGAAAGTGTGTTAGTACGTGTGGTTATCAAATATGTTTAATTAATCATATTAAATATATAGAAAGAAAATTTAAGATAATAAATATACATTTGGAGAGAAATTAGTCTAGAAATTTGAACAAGATGCGGTTACGGATTTCATAGCTTATTAGATTAAATAAGATACGAAATATACTTTGAATTGAAACTTTATGAATCTCTAAAAGCTAAGTTTGATGTTGAAATAATGAATATTATAAATTTCAATTTAATTGTTTATTATATAACTGATACAATAATAATCATTTAATAAAAAATTATCACCTTGTAATGTGTACTTTAATTTCAGCAGCTTAAATACTCAACAGTAAAATACAGAATGGTTTGTTGACCATTTCTTATAACTGTGTTCTTATTAAATGTTTTTTAGATTCATCGTTTTTCAATATCTTTCGATGTATCAAACAGATTAAATGGTATTCTTTAAATGCATATTTATAAAATCTAATCACTTTCAAACTGAACTTAACAAATGGAGATAATGTTACAAGAAACTAGGAACTTTGCAGTAAAATATGAAATACAAAACCATTAAACGAATTTCTAATAAAATCTTAGGTTAATATAAATCCTGGAGAAAAAATCATGCTATCTATGGTCAGCAATTGAACAAAAAATCAGTTCAATTCTTATTTCCTTCCATTGTACTAGTATCACACTCAACAATATTCTAAGAAACATATATGGTTACCATCAAAATAAATACGATTCACCAAAGAGTAGAATTTGAAAACTTAATGATACTACATTAAAATCATGTTACCAGAAAAGTTATGACTGCAATTCACTTGTACATGTTAAAGTTAACAAGTATGTGAATGCCAATCAACAAATATCATGAAATTGGTGATTCTGAACCATAAAATAAAAGTATGAACGTACTATAACATTTCTGAGTCATGATATGTGGTAATGAAAGTAAAATATGGTTGGTCACTGAGTGTCGACAAACAGGCACTTAACCGGCTGACTATTATATAAGAGATTTCCTTTCCTCTAATTGATTTCTTCTCTGAATACACACTGAGTGTGACTGCTTATAACTGTGTAAAATAAAGTATTATCTAGTGCTAATCTGGTTCTCTGTTCTGGGTCATGAATCGTGCATCTGATATAACGCGACTAGTCTCATTATTGTATTAGCGTATCATTGCAATATACCTGAGAGTGACAGAAAAATGTTTTCAACCATCCGTTACATCAAGTTAAATATATCAAAAACTAGAAAATGCAAAACAAATTAAATTACAAATACCTCGGTCAACCATTTCAGAAGAAAAACAAAACAATTTGTCAGATCATATAAATCTCTTATCGATTACTCAACCAAAAGGCTTAAACGCAAAATCACTCAAATCAGTTTTCAAAAAAAAAGCATAACATCAAGATACTGATTGAAGCGATTAGCTCAAAATACATTATAAGGTACAAACTATTTTTGTTGAACTAATAATACTTCACAAATATTTGACTATAAAACAACTTGTTAACTCACAGGAATTCGTAAATCTCTCAACAAAGTTGATAATTGAGAACGTGCTTTGTCAGTTCCCGTAACAACCTCTCCATTAGGTGGATTCATTGTACGAAACTGTGGAAAAAATGCACGTAGTTTTGGTGGATGACGACGTTTACGCCAATAGGGTGATCTAGCGACTAAACAGGCAAGTTGTAAGAGGAAAAGACCAGTACGATCAATCACTTGTTTGTAAATTCCTTCGTGGGATGAAGATGACGGTAGATTTAAATCTTCACCATAAAATTCAAGTAGATTAATTGGCCATATATCAAAGAATATAGCTTTTGAAGTGTCTACTATATATGGATTAATTTCAGGCATTGAATTAGTAACATCCATCACTGTACCTGCATTATAACCGTTATTATAATTTGAATTTAACCGTTGTGAACGATTATTTGCATGAAAAATATTATGGAAATAGCGTCGAGTTGTATCCCAACCAGACATACCTTCATCAAAAATTACTTTGTCGAAATTTCGAGCAAGTACAACATTGGTCTAAAAAATTGGGTAAAAAAGGAAACAGAAGATATGAACATGTTAACGCATAAAATCTATTTGTTGTAGTTATATATAGATAATAGTAATTGTTAACAAACTCAATGAATCTAGTTCATACCTTGACGTGGTGGTCGGGCTTGCCTATCGTGATGAAGCAACCAAGCTATACTGGCTGGAACAACCGTTCCTCAAGGTCCTATCATGTCAGAAAGGTCAGTTGAAGAGCCGTAAGACTAAAAGCAACAAACCCAAGGTCCGAAGGCGAAGCCATACTGCTGACTGTACAGAGGTGTGACAGCAGTAAGGTGTTTCCTTCAGACAACCAGCGTGACAGCGATGCTGCCTTCCCACAAGAAGGGGTGGGGTTAGAAAAGGTCGACCCTAAAAATGCACACCTCGCCTTATCCCACGGATATCCGTCTCCGGCGGTAAGGTCTCAACAAGTACGGAGCTAACACAAAAATTGCCCATAAAAAGGTCGTGTGTGACCGACCTCAAGCAGTTGTCCCTTTTTGGTGTGTGCTACTTATAGCAATATAAGTAGCATATAACGTGCGTTAAAAGAACGTAGTGTCCGGCAGCAGAAGATGGCGAAGATCAAGAAAGGTGGAGCAAGAACACAATGAAATTTGTAAGAAAATGCATGTACAATGGAATGGGAGACAATGGATTAGTGTTTGCAACGGAAACAGTTCAGTTTGATATAATGCATTGATATTTTGCAAATTGTCGATTGACTTTATGGTATTCAGATTTTATTCAGATAGTCTGTAATTTTTTTGCTAGATACATCTGTTTGTCCCCACCCGTGTTCTCGTTCACTACACCTTGAGCACTGCGCTCACGCTCCCTGGTCACTAAGACTACTTCTAATCCGATTTCCTTTTCAGGTACCTCCAGAAGAACCCTTCCACGATGTGGGCAACCGGGAAGTGATAACCGCCCTCATGCTTCTAACAGCACTCAAGACCACTGTATTCATAATCAACCTCCCTCTTCAATTCCTATTATTCCTTCTACATCAACTTCAAACTCTAAATTTCTTTTGCCGGCTTCCCCCTCAAGTGTCACCATAGCCAACGATTCTAGTGCTCAAAACTCTGTCCCAGGTCTACTGAAAACTCGCTCCAAACTACACATTGGAGCCTTCAACGTACGAACCCTATGTCAAATCGATCAACAGGCTTCCTTGGTTAGAACCCAAGAATCTCGTACCATTGGTGTGTGCTGTGTCTCCGAAACACGCATACAGGATCCCAGTGTGGTCATTCACTTGACCTCACCTCGGCAAAACGGAGAGCCAACGCGATACACCCTTCGTGTATCTGGTGACTCGATGGCCAGTTCTCGAAGACTGGCAGTTGTAGGCATAGCACTAAGCATGAGGGCCGAACAAGCACTGCTAGAGTGGATCCCCGTCAACAGTCGTCTATGTGCTGTTCGGTTAAACGGCTACGTAAGAACTCGGAAGGACAGGGACACACGTCGTTGTCTTTTTGTCGTTTCTGCCTACGCTCCCACTGACTGCAGCTCAGATGAAGTGAAAGATGAATTTTACAGAAAGCTATCTGAACTTCTTCAGAAAGCTAAACGTTCAAACATAGTACTCGTAGCAGGTGACTTTAATGCTCAGATAGGTAGTTTAAACCAAACAGAAAGGCATTTAGGTGGATATTTTGGTATTCCGACACAGCGAACAGATAATGGTGATCGTCTGCTGCAACTATGTTCAGAAAATCGATTATTTTTAGCAAACACAAATTTTAAGCATAAGAAGAGACATCGTCTAACATGGCGACCCCCTACACCAAACCAACGATGGACTCAAATAGACCATATTGCCATCAGTCATTTTTGGAGAGGGTAGGTACAAGATTGTTGCTCATTCTGGAGTACCTGCTTGGACTCCGACCATGCCCTAATACGGGCACGCATCTGCTTGCGCCTCACTGGACGCAAAGAAGCCACATTAAAAAGACCTATTAGAACTGAGTTGAGTAACGAGAAAACCAAAAGTAAGTTCCAGGAACAACTGAGTTCACACTTAGGTAGGTCTGAAAACGAGGCTGACCCAGATGTTGCTTGGAAAGATATAAAAACAGCTGTGGAAACAGCAATGAAATCTATTAGTGACTTAAACCACAGAGTTACAAAGAACCAGTGGATTACTTCAAAGTCTATCACACTGATGGATTCTCGCAAACTCGTCCCATCAGGTTCCGAAGAGCGACAACAAATCAGATCTAGGTTAAGAAAAAGTCTAAGGAACGACCGTGAGCAGAGGTGAGCAACGAAAGCAAAAGAGATGGAAAAGGCGGCGACTATAGGGAACACGATGGGCGGAACGTTTTAGAGGACAGTTCAACTGACCTTCAGCTACTCTAGAACTAACCTCCATTCCCAGACAATGTGAATGGAACATTGAAGTAGTTCCCCCAACTCTTGCTGAAGTTGAGAAGGCTATAGCTAATCCGAAACGAGGAAGGGCAGCTGGTCCAGATGGATTGGCTCCAGAAGTCTTTAAGGATGGTGGTCCAATTTTAGCGGTTAGGTTGACTAATATTTTGGCTAAGATCTGGGAATTAGACGTCATCCCATCTGAATGGTCGCAATCACTTATCGTCCCAATATATAAGAAAGGGTGAAAATCGTACTGTGACAACCACAGAGGGATTAGTTTAACAAATATAGTATCTAAAATACTAGCCTCAACAATAATCAGACGCCTAACTAAGACTCGTGAACTGCAAACACAAGAGAACCAAGCTGGCTTCAGACCTGGTCGTGGCTGCATCGACCACATATTCACCATTCGTCAGGTTCTAGAACACAGGCATACTTATCGGCGTCCGACAATGGTGGTCTTTCTTGACTTAAATGCAGCATTTGACTCGGTAGACCGCGAGATTCTCTGGCAGTGTCTGTCATTGAATGGCGTACCCCAGAAGTACATAAACCTTGTGAAGGCTCTTTACTCGAACACTACTAGTCGAGTCAGAGCTTATGGCGAACTGTCATCTACTTTTGCAACCTCAAGTGGTGTCCGTCAAGGCTGTCCACTTTCTCCATTTATGTTTAACTTCACCATATATCTACTGATGGAAATAACATTCTCGTCGACTGAATTCTCGGGTATTGATCTCCTTCCAGGAGGTCCACTTATCGAATTAGAATACGCAGATGACATAGTCCTGTTTGGTGAAGACGCTGATAAAATGCAGAGTCTTCTGGTAGCACTAAGCAACAATGCCAGGATGTTTGGAATGCGCTTCTTTCCCTCTAAATGCAAATTGTTGCTTCAGGACTGGTCTACGTCAACACCTGAACTAAGGATAGGGAGTGAAGTAGTCGAACGCGTTGACAATTTCACTTACCTTAGAAGTCTGATCATCCCTAATGGGATGGTACCGGACGAAATCTCAGCACGGATTCGAAAAGCTCGTTTGGCTTTCGCCAACTTACGACACCTGTGGCGAAGGCGAGATATCCGTCTATCAATAAAAGGACGAGTATACTCCGCGCCGGTCCGTTCTGTTTTACTTTACGGCAGGGAAACACGGCCCTTAAGAGTAGAAGACACCCGTAAGCTACTAGTATTTGACCACAGATGCCTTAGAAATATTGCTGGCATCTGCTGGGATCACCGGGTAAGTAGTAGTGAGGTTAGGCTAAGGGTATTAGGTAATGATGGTAAATCAGTTGATGAGGTTGTTAATCTTCATCGACTGAGATGGTTGGGCCACGTATTACGTATGCCTGAACACCGATTACCACGACGTTCAATGCTAACTGGTGTTGGAAATGGTTGGAAGAAAGTAAGGGGCGGCCAAACCAAAAACGTGGCATCAGTGCTTGAAGTCACTAACTTGTAGTCTGAGCCATGTTGGTAGATGCAGACTACTTGGTTGGGGTCCACGTGACTTTCGTAACCGATGGTTGTAGACTCTTGGTGACATGGCTCAGAATCGGTCACAATGGCGTCGGTGTATACACTCCCTGTCTTCCCTTAAACTAAGAGATTAAAATCACTTCATATCTTTCCTTCTACTAACTAATTCTTTCTTCCTATACTATATCCTCATTGCAATCTTTCTCCTATATATTACCACCTTTGACCTAACCACTCCTATGAATCCGGTGTTCATCTTGCTGTGCTAATGAGGTATGGCAACCTGAACCGATGCACATATGTGCCTGGTCCTACGTTGTAGCTGACTGACTGATTAATCCAGTGTATAAATACTAAGGCTAAACAAATGAATACCATAAACTAGAATAGTTATCTATTTAACCGAAGTATACCTCATGAGATCTTACCATAATATTGTATGATACATTCAAAGATGAATTTCTACAGAGTAGTGAAAAGGAAGGTCAAGAAACAACAGATGAGGTTAGCATGTTTTCCATAGTCATGTAAAACTAAAATACTTATAAACCACATCTTCAACTACTAAAAAACGGCAAACAATCAATGTTGACTGAAAATTATTTGTATACATCTGCAAAATTACCGAATTTTTAAGAGTATGCACTAATCAAAATATATATTGGACACAGATTTTAACCATTAAAAAATGAAATCGTATAGTAAATCAAACTTCTATATAAATTATCGAAATATTATCCAGTCACAGTGTATATTGATATACTAAACATTCTAGGAGAATGAGTATTTGATGAAGGTGAGAGAAATAATTATTCTATAGTAAGCTTTACACATCGTTTTGATTTGATATGATGACAGATAAGTGAGATGAGTTATTACTCTCTCAAATCACTATATCAGTAAAACGCAAACACATATTTTCAGGTAACAGGCTTAAACTAAATTTTACTCAATACTTGCAAACTATAGTCAGTGCTAATAATGAATCTGTGAACATAAATGTATGGGCGAAATGAAACTTTATTTAATCAATCTACAATACTATTTGAAAACTAAAAAATGCCTGGACAAATACAAAAAAAATAATCTAATACATGGTTGGAATAAAAATAAACTATATATATATATATATATATATATATATATATATATATATATATATATATATATATATATATATATATATATATATGTATATATATATAGGTTAAATGTCAAATCGCCATTAACTGTTATGTGTTTAGCTACTTGGATAATTCAGTAGTATAGAATTCATTTAAAAAGAAAATAAAACAAATATTGAGAAAAAGATAAGTTACCTCCATATTGAGAATTTCTCGAATAATGCTGACATATTCCTGCGAGGTAAGACGACTAGAACGATGGTCACCATAAAATTGATTATCTGTATTATTCTGATTGACAAAAATAGAATTTGAATCCTGATTCGGAACTGAACCGAAATTAGCTAATAGTTCACTGCTGCTTAAATAAGCTAAAAGAAGTTTTATTCGAAAGACATAAAAATAACAACCGTTTATTCAGTAAAAGATGAATAGTTGAGTAAAAAATTGTGAAAAGTGCATTTGTATAATTTTAGCCTAATGTACGTGCTTTACAGGATTGTGAAGAGTACGATTATTTGAAGACAGATTTCATGACATATGTAAATCACTGAACATAACAATGTTAAATCGCTATTGGAAACCTGGATGCACAACACAGCCATTTCGTCCTAGTATCGGACTTCTCAGTAGTGCGAATGCCAGATCCCGCAAGCAAGAATTTAACCTAACACCTTAAAAACCGGGCAGAAACACATAGCTTCTGATGCTTAAGCATCAAAGACGTAATGAACTTTGCGTTTATAGAAATTTCGAGAGATTTCATTCTAAATAATATGACTTTAATGAAAAACTTGAAATTTTAAGCGGTTCCCTTAGAAAATGGAGATGTACGAAAGATAACTAACTACTTTCCTACAACTACATAAACTATAGAAACACTTTATTTCTCAGGCAAACATAAAATGTACCAAATAGATATTCAAGCATATTATCTCACCATTTGTCGTTTGGGTATCATTATTATTAATGATTAATTCTGTGGAATTATATGAATGAATATGATTTGGCCATGAACTGAATTTTTTCACTTTACGTTCTTTCCAAATCCTAGCTAAAACATCCTGTAAGAGAAAATAATGACCAGTAATCTACATGAAATATCACAATAAGAAAAGTGATCAGTTTTTATACGTAATAAACTGGAAAATTATTCATTACCTAGGAAACTGAACATCCAAGACAGTAGACATTTATTTTATCATCGCTGAGCTACACTGTATGTGTAAAAGAGGACTAGGAAACAAATCAAAGCCGAGGCACGTGCCATGATTTTTAAACCTGTAACCTGGTGATTAACTAATTGATTAAGTATTTTAATTACTAAATTTACTACGTAAACGAATGTTGATGAAGTAATCTAATAAAGAAAATGTTAAAAGTATCACAAGATATCTCGACTGATCATGCCTTGACATATTGTCATCTAAAGGATGCCAAACAGATCATTTGAGATCTATTAATATTTCACTACTAAGATATACCAAATATGGTCAGTTATGTGCAGTACAGAACCTGATGTATGTGCACATCGGTCTAAGTTGCTGAATTCCATTACATAGCGAGATTAAACATCCAGAAATATGCCGGGGTACTAGAGATAGTAACACTAAAAGTGTAGTAAAAATGAATTGGCATACTTAACTGCAAACAGACCACTCATCATTAATCAAACTATGCTGCATATTATTTTGTTTTTTGTACAAATAAGAACTAATTATCTGAAATAATACTATAAAAAGTGCCATACCAATAAATAATGTAGGTTATAAGACATGAAGAATGAATGAAGCAGAAGAAAAAGATACTTACAATTGATGGCTTATCATCATAAAATCCCAAACACACTGTATTTGGACGCATTGCACCTAAACCAGAAATTCGAATAAGATGTGATATCGCTCTGCGTACACTTCGGTCAATTGTTATTTCTACAAATGCTTTAGTTTTCAAATATTTCACGTATTGTGTCCAATACCTGTATGTAAAAATGACAATTTAATAAACCATTTAAATTATAATTTAAAATGTTCAAACAATATAAAAATGACTATAGATTATTTTTCGAAAAAAATATCAACAACATCATGATCAATATAGAGGTCATATTTATGATGGAGAGACAAAATACACCGAATAACCATTAAACTGTGGTGTGCACTAATTGTGTGGACAGACATAAGTGGTATGTAACAGTAGAAGTAGAATGCTTACCAGAAGGAGAGTGAAATAAAGAGAAGAGAAAATGAAGAGAAATCCGAATAAAAAACGGGATCGGAAGAATGACTCAATGTTTAAGAAAAAAACTGAAGGAAGATATGCGAATGATCTATCCAATGCATGATTTTCATATTTTACAAAACTACTGTTTGATTTTGTGTCAAACAATAAGTTGGTTTACCTTACCTGAGTTTTTTAATTCAATACAAAGTTACACACACTAAGCGTCAATTTAAATTTTTATCGAGAATCAAAATTATAGGCTATTAATTCTGATGGAAGCACTCTAAAGAAATAAATGGGATTGCTCATATGTACTAAAAAGACAATAAATTAGTTAGCAATGGAATACAGGATGCGCGTTTCATCCGATTTGGGACTCAGTAGCTGGATGATCGTGCATCCCAGAGTTGATGTTCACTTCAGAAACCGAAACCAGAAACGTACGCTTCAAACGATAACACGGTATCTAATTTTAGCTACTGAGTTCAGATATTCACTCCCTCGTGAAACGGCTATGAGATTTAAATTAATTTGAAACGACTTCAATCATCTCGTTATTGATATTTTTATAGAAATTTGAATCGCATTGGCTGGCATATGGAGATCATGTGCGGCTTGCTTCGATATAGCCATTACCAAACAACGTAATATAAAATAGATAGATTCGAGTCCCAGAGTGAAATCTAACTCTGGGAGGTAAGTATATTCCGATGACTAAACCTGTGACGAAATGTACGTCCTAGATCCCAAGACAAGCAACATTCCATCTATTCTATCCCAACTTGTATCATAATGGATCCACCGACGCAATCGTCACAGGATACCCATATGCCAACCAATGCGGATGAAATTCCAACCACAACAATGGAACTATTAAAACATTTTAAACCGAATTATTTAGTCCAAAAATGATAATGCTATAAAAAATAACTTCACAACCAACATCAAAGTCAGAATCTTCAATACGAACGTCAAGACAGTCGTACTGTACAGAGCTGAAACTTCGAGAACTACTACAACGATCATTAAAAAAGTACAAGAATTTATAAACACATGTTTACGTAGGATACTCAGTGTCCGTTGACCGGATACCATCAGCAACAGCCTCATGTGGGAACGAAAAAACCAGCTTGCAATCGAAGAGGAAGCTATGAGAAGAAATTGGAGGTGGATAGAACATACATTACGGAAATCACGACGCTGCATCACGAGACAAGCGCTATCTTGGAATCCGGAAGGGAAACGGGAAAGATAAAAGCCAAAGAACACATTGTGCTGGGAACTGGGAGTAAACATCAAAAGAATGGATAGCATATGGAAACAACTGGAAAGGATTGTCTAGGAAAGAGTTGGAAGGGGAATGATGGTGGGTGACCTATGCTTCTCCACGAAGAGTAACAAGCATGAGCAAGTAATAACTTTACAAAGTGATATGTGTGATCATTTCAGAAGTAAGTTGCATCAAAGTTGAGACCTTTGAAATTTATTTCAATTTATGTAATTACACTTTCTTGCTCCATTATTAGCTCACTTACCAACGCTGATTTAGACATGGATCCGATTGGTCGACGAACTCATCTGGATCACCACAAATTGCATGACCAACTACATAAAGACCACCTTTTTTCAAACTATTCATAAATTGAACAAGTGAGGCTGACGAACGTGGATTTGCAACAAGTAACAGTAATTGGAGTCTCCAGTATTTAACATGATCTTTACGAGAATCCAACAATAATAAATATTTACGGATCTACAAAAATAAATTTCATGTGTATTATAAACTGAATAATCATTTAAAAAAGTAAGAGAAAAGCAGCAGTGATGATATGATTTATTAAATGATCTCAACTAGGAAAGCTTATCGCATAACGCCTAATTGATAAGAAATCAATGAAGAAATAATACGGTTAACTGGATAATACTAGTAAATAAGCTTTTACAAATACAGTTAGGAAATTATGACAGCTGTTTGTCTTACTGCTATTAAACAATTCGATAAATTCTTCTTTTTTGCTTTGCTTCTGTCCCTGATGTGTTAACAACTATTGGGTGTTGCATTTTAACCAACTAGAAGAATACATTTGAACATATGATATTCATACATTGTGAATGCCTTGAAACCAAATAGATTGATTTAGTGAATACCTTTTTTAAAATCAATTATAATAAAACAACCTAGACATTAACACTGTTAGATGCCGACTCAGTGGTCTAGAGGATAAGTGTTCGCGCAAAACAGGTCCTGTATTGAAATCCCACATGTGGGATCGTAGATGCACACTGTTGAGAAGTCCCATATAGAGACAAAAAGACCATTCAGTGCATCAAAGTTTTCGATGGTGGTCTAACATCGACGAGTTCATGATCATAATAAAAGCTCAATAATATCCACAACCCTATACTGATAATAAAACAAATCACTGATAATTGTTGTGGGAGAACACTATAAAACGTAATATTTATGTAGTCATATTTTACAGAATTTCCTGAATACAAAAAAACAAAACAGTTTCTAATAATTAATCTATACGACATCATAGTACAAATATCTGAAGCGAATATTAAATGCTCTATAAATTGAATGACTGTTCAAAAGGTTACAGAATTAAACTGACATACTCAATCCATAAAATACTTATAAACTTAGAAAGATATGCAAACAAAAAAACTTTCATCTTCACTAAATTAAAATCGAATTATCATTTTTAACATTAAAAACATTTACTTGATGAAATAGAAGCGCTTGTCCAATATTACCCCATGACGATTCTAAATGCCGCTGATATAATGAAAATACAAGTAGACCTAAAACAATGATTGCGACTACCGTATAAATTGGTTGAATTAATAAACACATAATGAAACAACCAATCATTCCCAAAATTGAAGTGATCCAATTAAAATAACGAAATGTTGGTCTGACAAAGTGAAATGTAAACAAAAAAAAGACAATACGATAATTGGTATGGAAAATTACAAAAAACGACGAAGTGAATCTATCTCATTACCTTAAAAAATTTAATAACAATTTTTAAACGAAAATATTTTTTCATTTTTTTGCCAAGTGATTCAGTACAGATAAATGGTGTTTCTTTTTTCTCAATATTAAATCTATTCTTAACATAAAATCATTTCCCAGATAATTTTACACCTAGTTTTCCTTATCAATCACTGAAAGAACTTAAAGCATTACATCTTTATCTTAACTATTTTCAGGATCATAAGACGAATAAAAAACATTTTCAACCTGTTAGGTATTTATTATAGGCTTACAGAGCGATCATAGTTTTAAATTGATTCCACTTTATATTTGCAAGTAACGAATCAAATGAAGACACATTAATACCAATAATACAAACTAAATTCACTACTTCGAAATCGGTATTATAGATTGACATAATTTTCATCATAGTCGAGTCGATTAAAATGTTATGAAGAATATAGATCACTATTGAAAAATATATTAATGCATAGTTATTCGACAAACTGTAAAGTAAAATAAAAATGTTTTTTAACTCTTATTCATTTCATAAATTTCGAATCAATATTTCTTGCATATTAGTAGTTATTTTGAAGGTATCACAGATATTCTTCTGTTACACTAAAGAAAATCTATTTTTTCTCCGATGCCACAGCAAAAAGAAATTTTAATTATGATTAGCTAAAAATTATGTTGAGTTTTAGATCAATAAATGCTTTTTCGTGACTCAAGAATCACAATATTAGTCTTTTAACGAATAGCTGACACGTTTAAATCACCTTTCATCTACTTCAGTTTGGGGAATTAGGTAGTATCGTTAGCTCTCACATTTGAATCGCGATTCCAAGTTGAATAAATCACCTTGTATTTGTTGAATATCAATTTTAATATATGACGTTTGGAAAATATGAAACAGCAAAATGATGGTGAAGATACCTGCAGGCTAGAATCCCATTTTATTACAGAGAATTCATGTGGTAACCATTAGGCCTCCTGGGAATTTTCTCAAATTTAAATATAGAAATCTGTACTTGATAAATGAGTTACACACAATATTGACTAAAATTATCAAGAGTATATTGTATGGTGTCCTGTAAATCGAATAAATATGCAATATTGGAGGAAACTATCAATTACATCAGTTATTTTGCGAAAATAAACTTTAAGTCTAAGTTTCAAATCACAAATGCAACTGTTAACATAAAGTGAGGTTGAAACCATGATAAAACGTAAAGAGAACACTATAATTTAACAGAATAACCTGAAATTTGGTGGTGAGGCAGCATCTAAACCAGCACAGGCCAAATTCACCGAAGCATAAGCCAGTAAAAATAGAACAGATACAAGTGGAGCGATAGCATTTAATCTACCAATCAGTAAAATTAACTATATTTTCACCAAACAAAAACAAGAACAAACAAATAGTGTATATCATAATTGAATTCTGATAAAATTCAGAAGAAATAAACAAGTGAATAATAATAAACAATAAGAATCAAAATCATTCTTAAGTGAAAAATTGTGTGTTATTTAAATAATTAAAAAAGTAATCTATTCCAAATTACTTATTAAATTAACATCAAATGTACTACATAGGGAGCTTTATTCATAAGAAAACTAAGATTATTAGAATTATGTGATTTATCAGCGTAATACATTTCAAAAAATCTGATCCCACACTCTATTTACATAGTGGCAAACAAGTCGTAAGATTGCCCATAACTTGGCTTTTGTATTGTTGTAGAAAATTGTTAAAGGGTATTTATTGAAGCCTTGACCATACGAAAATTCAAACCCCCTTTATACATTCAAAAACTTTTTGTTCTCACCTTAAACCCACTATGCTAATGTTAGTTTATTATCCAGCATGATTTTTCATATTATTTTCTTTATTATCTTTGTATCCTCCTCCCTCCCTTTAACTGACTTCCTATTTTTATGTATAAATGTTCTTAACATGTATATGTGATCAAATTGTTCGAAATGTGTTGCACAAATATATCATATAGTTCGGAAAATCCTTGTCTTCTTTTTACACTAACCAAATTTATCAAACGGACTAATTGCTTTATTTATTTTGTTGAGGTAGCTCAAAACATAACCTGTATGATAAATTTATTAGAGATCCCATTGACGTCACTTGTATTGATTTAACAGAACTTAAAAGATGATCCTAACATTTTTAACCAGTATTAAGGCTTAAAGTCATCAAAAATATATTAAAAATAAATAGGAAATTCATATCATGTTGTTGATATATTTCTTGTAATGATGAATTTTGTACAAAAATCAGATTCACTTAGTTTCAGTTTTAATGTTTACTATAAGAAAAAGTAAATAATTATTTTCGAAATCTACTTTGATGTTTATAAATGGCTGTCAATAAAATATTGTATATGTACAACAGAATAGAAATTTGTGTTATTTGATTGATTGATTTTAAACTGGTACTATTTACCGACATAGCCCTCTTATTGTTTTTAATGTTACTTATCTCTTTTTTTAAATAAATACTCAATTCAATAGTATTATTTCTGAATGGATAATCGAAACTAGAGTCCCAACCATCAAAGACAAATATATCTTTACATATTTGAAGTACAGACTATGATATTAAGATATTCATGCCTAACTAGGCTCTAATAAAACTAAACAGAGAACAGTAATGAATCAAGTAATGCCAATTAATGATATGATACGAGAAAAAACTACCAGGAACACAATAAAACGTCAATTAAAACTGAAGAGATTTTGTGTGTGATTCAATGAATGAAAAAAGGAAAGATGGCAAGCTAATATTTCCTATGTATTCCCCATTTGAAGAGAAATTATTTCAATAAGTGTTCGTGGAATACATACTTGGTTTACTTAAATAAAATTACTGGTGACAGAGCTTGATTAAAGAAAGTACCTATTCTTTACAAGTAAAATATGTTGGTGGAGTTTTGTTCTCTGAGCTGGATGGTTTGGTCGACCAAACCATGTATTAAGATTATCGAAAAAATCTCAATTACCTACCATTTAAAGTTATTAGTATAATCGTATTGAACAATATCATAAAAATTTTAGAAACCTAACCACTGTGTTACAAAGTTTTGTAAAGTTTAAAAAAGATAAGCAGATTCAGTATACACTTCATATAAAGAATAAATGGATTGCATAAGCCAAAGTATGATAAAAAAATTCTAGAAATTCATAAGAAAACAACTAGTGCCTTATAATCGCAAATACTAATAAACATCCACTTTCAACAAATAACAAGTGAATAAACAGTGCATAATAATCAACTAACTCACCAAACAAAGAAACGCAGCAGAAAGGACTGCCACTATCGGATTTCCACGTTTTGTGGTCCATTTTGCTGGATGGAGAAGTCGACCTATTCAAAGCAAAAAGTCAATTATTATACTATATAATCGGCATTTATTATGCATTAATGTTTTGTCCTATTGACTTTTGGATCTTGAAATATTGATTGAACTATGACTTTTAAAAATATACTGAAATATTCTTGAAAAAACGGCATTAAAGTAAAGAAGGCTATGCGCGATGCAGGCCAATAATAAACTTGTCATCGATGAGAGATTATATCTCATCGAACACTATTGACTCACTTCATTCTATTTGTTGCAAAACAATATAGAGTGGGATATATGATCACGAAGATAGTTGAATCAACATACATGAACATGATATCAAGAGATAGAAGTTAAATTAAGACATAAATAAGCAAGTAGTAAAACAATATATTATTGATAAGATTTAATATTTGCAACGATTTATTAAAATTTCACTGACTATATATGAGAGAAAATAGAAAAGTTGGAATTCTTACAGAAAGAAAAATTAAACACAGACAATCGTTTGAGTTGATAGCGTAAGCCTCATACAAATTGTTGGCAATTTAGTTTATAATAAAAACAATTAGCTAGCATGAATTGATATAAAATATTAAACTGTGAAGTTTATTTCGTTTTAAATCTTTATAAAGCTTTAGGACAAGACGAATTTCGATTTTAACAAAGTATGGCTTATCCATCTGTACACTTTCACGTACTTAACTTTGAGCTGCGCTTCATATGCAAAAACGAAAAACATTACACGGTTGTCGAAACAAAGTCCCGACATTCCATATAAGAATTTATCAATAACTTTGAAGAAGAACTAGTAATATTTCAACAAATAATATATTTGTAATATCCCAATGAGTATAAAAATTAGATTTCCCGACGTTTCGTGACTTATTGTAAGTCACTTCTTCAGAGAATAAATAACCCGATTAAAATTAATCCAAGTTTAAATAGTACAACGGAACAATAATAATCTGAAGTGGCTTACATTAAGTCACGAAACGGCAGAAAATCTGATTTTTCTATTCATTGGGATATTATAAATATATTATTTATTTATAACAATCTACCCAATGCTCAATTTATTCGAAATTATCAAATCAAACCTTGGTAGTGATACCTACAGTAACATTTAATTACATAATACGATATAAAGCGTTATTAATTAGTCAAAATTACCAAATAATTCGTCACGAGCTATTGCCTCCAATATACGTGAAGCTCCAATAAGGTTGCCTAAAGCTGCTGATAATGTAGTAGCAAAAACACCTATTACAACGATTGGTTGCCAAAAACTAATTGATTGCATAAATATATTGTTATTTAATAACAGATATCTATGACATAATAAAAAAAAAGATATAACAAGAGCAAATATGAAAAAAATGATGCTAGAGACATTTACAAATCAATCAAATAATCAAAGTTGCGTAGTTTAAATCTAAAGAAAAAAATAGTATGTTTATGGCACTTTTTACTGAGAAAAAATATATAATAAAAAGAATTATAGCATGTATCTTTGATCGAACGTAGATACACTTTAAACGGATGAAATAAAATATTCTCGCCTAATATTATGACATTTTAGTACTTAGCAAAAAAACATAGAGAATAATTAAGTAATCTGATTACAAATAATATAATTTTTTACTAATAAATATTTAAATTCCAAAAGTAATGAACATGATAGTAATTTCAACTAACTACATTTATTAATTTGTATGGTGATGAGGAGAAAGCAATAAAATTGAATGAATTGATTGTATTCAGTATTAAAAAAGAATTATTGCCCTTGCTTCGTTACATGATACATGATCAGTAGTAACAGAAACATAAACAGATTTCTAAACCCTGATTGATTTTATCAATTAATATCATATTGAGAAAGTTAAATCACTAGTTAACAGTTTAAAAAATCAATCATAATACTCGAAAATTATGAAAATATTCACATATATCTTGGTTCTCTAAAATATTATCATGTATTCCTTATGTGATATGTGCTACTGATTTCGACAGATATAAATAGTATGTGTCAATCTGTGTTCTCGATCACTACACTTGTAATTACTCATTAGTAGTTCAACACGTTGATATAAAAAAAAGAATAATGCAAGGATCTAAAACATTCGAAATATGAAGTCAGTTGTTTCTAGTCAGAAATAATCACGGTGCTATACCTGAAAATTTTGAGCAGAGTATACTGATACTGAATAGAAATATTCTATAACTGAACACCTGTTTTTACATATATATATATATATATATATATATATATATATATATATATATATATATATATGAACGAAGAATATTCTTTTTACTAATATCTCATCAGGTTCTACAATCATAAATCCAAATTAATAATCCATAAAATTGGCCAGATTTAAGGCAGAATACATCATTTGAAATTGTAACACGTGAATTAAGGATTGTTCTACTTACAAGGAGAAAAGAAGGGTCATTAAGAAGAACCGTAAACAAGAAAACTACTTGGACGGGCCAATATACAAACTTTCTTAGTTTTGTTCCTCTGTAACACAAAAAAACCTGGTCAAGACATTGCACCATAGAATCAAAACCATATGCCCTCTAGATACAGTCGACAATGAAACAAAGGTATTATACACAACCCTGAAAGAAAATGGATATCCTGAGAAATTCATAAGTAAAAACAGCCAATAAGAGAAAGCATAGAGAATACCTAACCGTGAATAAAAAGCCTCTGTATATACGCTTACAATTCAGAGGCGAAGAGCCTAGTAAAATGCTAAGACTGAAGTTATGCAGATCAATCCAAAGAACTTGTAATGCAGGCAAACTACAATTAATATTTTGCACATGTTCAATGATCAATTTGAGGTTGAAAGATAAACTGCCTAGATTAGCCACTTTTCTGTATCTATCAATTCAACTGCCCCTGTGGAGCAAGTTATATTGACAGATGTCCTAGGAATTTTTCTATTCGGGCTTGTGAGCACCTCCCCGTGTGGTTAAGCAAATGTGTAGTTAGAACGGCTGACAGCTCCATTTTAGCCCATTTAATTCAGACGGGAAATCTTTTGCAATAATAGATCGAGTTAATAGTAGTCTACCTAATTCCATCAGACCGAGAATCCTGCGGACGTCTGAAGCAACTGCTATTCGGATCAAAAAGCCCAAGCTTTGCATTCAAAAGAAATACATTCAGCCGCTTCTTTGACCCTGGCCCACTAGTTAATAATCAGTTTTATGATATGGTGATGTGATCTGAATAATGTTTATTTTTATGTCCCAAACTTATTTTATCCACGCATTTTAACATTGTCATTATTATTATCATTATTATTAATCCTGATAACCGTTTTGAGAAATTTATTCAGCATCCACCCCTATCTAATATATCTGACCTCAGACATATTATTCTACATGTTAAGTAATCTCTCTTTCAGCCCATGTTGACCATATTTATTCTGATCATTTATCTCACAATTTCATTTCGCTTATAAACTGATTCAAGTTAACACTTCATATTAGTCATCCCAACATTAACGATTTGATTTTATATAACAAACAAGAATTCTTGATTAACATGTTACAATTTTAAATGATGTATTCTGGCCAATTTTATGGATTATTAATTTGGATTTATAATTGTAGAACCTGATGAGATATTAGTAAAAAGAATATTCTTCGTTCATATAATTGTTTTAATATAATGGGAATTTTTCAGTGATTAAAATATATATGTATCAATAAACAGATAGATACATCAAACCATCTATCAACATGAAACATATGATGTTATGTAAGTTGACTACAAATTAAATTGAACCAATAACTTAAAATCTAACGCAATAGAACTTTAGATGAATACAAAATGAATCTAATTTCCAACCAAATTATGACGAATTTACAACGACAGACCTGTTTACTTTATGTTAACTGATGTCAGTAATCAGATTGACATTACCCCCCTTTCTTTATTTCGACGAGTTTACCTTTGTTAAGTGGAATTACAGTGTTTTGAGTTAATAAAGTACTGTTCAAGACTCTAAATTAAATTATGTCATAATAAATAACCCAAATAACCAGAAATTATGAGTTGTGACAAAAATTCTAATGTACAAAAATTGAATTCCAGTCGGTCGTCAGGATGCTCATTGAATAAGTAGGTCTCAGATTTTATAGCTTACGGTGGTAAATTATTCGTAAAAACCTGATAGCCAAGTTTTCTCACGAGATACCATTGTGGTTGACTGGATACATCTCTTGAGGATGTTTTAAAAGTGTTGAAAAAACACTTAGTTTACATCAGGTGCCTTATGGTTCATATAATGTCTAAGTACTAATGAACAGTTATATGTGCGTGACGACGAAATCTATAAAAATTTATTAGTAGATTAAGAATAAAACTGAAAGGTAGTGTATGAGACATTTGCTTACCGGCTGTTAGAAGAAGCCGAGAATATCATCATAATGAGATAAATTAACAATGTACAAAGTAAAGCAGATAGAGTTCCCAAAGGGATTGAACGAGAAGGATTCTTTAATTCACCTAAAAAATCATATATAAAGAAGATTGTGGTAATATACTATGTGCCACATGTAAAAGAGTACTTCTTGTTTTATCTATTTCAATGCTTTTTGAAAGTATCTAGCGTTGAAGGATTCAAGCCTTCCTAGTACTTCATCCCCTATTCCAATCCATTCAACTTCGGGTAAACGTGACCACTGGAACCAGGAAAAACAACACATCAGTTCCCTTTTAAAAATATAACGACTACTCGTTCAACGGACAATGACGCAAGCCCTAATTAACAACCTCTTCGATTTACACTGTAAAAGTTAACTAGTCTTACCACAAAATTATTTTGCTTCAAAATCACGGCTTAATGAATGAGGTTTAACAAGAAAAACAGCTCAACTTTCCGACAAGTCAAGGTACAATAAAGTGGCCAGAAATATCATAATCCTTGCAAAATAAATGTGACTCCACATTCTAAGCGTAAAACGTTCCATATGCTTTTACAAAATGGAGCTAAATGTCTGTACGTCCCAATAAATAAAAACAAAATTAAGGCTTCTTAAGGTGAGTAGAAAGATAATTGAGATTATATAAGTGGCAAGACGTATTCACTTAATTCATGATAATTATAACAATATGTATTTTTCATATATCAATGAGTAGAGAATTGAGTTTTTAACGTTTCACAACTTGATGTAAGTCATTTCTTCGAAGAAATAGTGATGTTGTGGATTGTAGCTCAAGTCATGAAGTTCACTGCTAGTGACTTTCGAAGAGCATTGTTCGAAATCTAAGTTACATTTCATTCATTGCTCAAATTATTTGAAATTATCAGGTCTAAATTAGGTAGTGATATTGACTAAATGCAATCAAAGGTGTTCAACAAGGATCGGTTGACCAAATTATTCTTTGACCACATTTTCCATCTTCATCCTTTATCCGCTTACAACTGTAAGAGGACTATTACTACCAATCTTTATGCGAGAATATATTTTCAAAGTATTCACTATTTCGATTTATTGGGACGGCTTTCGCGTGGCATGATGGAGCTTCCAGAGGCCCTAAAGGAGCCGAAGAGTTTCCACTAAATCATAACCTGATGGGGCTTTCTAGAATATTAACATGGCATGCTACGATCGGACGGTAGTATAACTTGCCTCCTTGCGGGTTGGTTGAATTATAACGATGTTATAGCCAACGCTAACAACCATAAATACACATATTTTCCTGCACATTTTTGAATCTTACCCAATAATCACTCATCCTGCTTCTTCTGTCTTCTGATTTGTCACTGTGAGGTTCTACACGTTTGATTGCCGTCAATAATATATCGTGTTCTGCGTTAATCAAGCAAAAGACTTAGCAATATTATTATTGGCTGTTCAACAAATCTACTCTACAAATGACATCAACTAATGAATACCCTGCACAGGCCGAACCCCATTTCAGCAAATTAACGATTAAATAAAACATAATAATGATAGTCTGTGCTTACACGTTATATGATACCACAGATTCCAAAAATACAAGAGAGTATGCCTCAGTTGTTTCTGGGATTCACATGTTAAAGCTCGTAACTCGTTACAGCAAGCAACTCGCCAAATCTGATTACCGACTTATTTCGATGAGCCAGCACACTCCATGATTCATAAAAATGTGAGATATGATTTTATCTGAGCTTACCCATGCCAAATGCACTCGAATATCATATCTCTACTGATAAAACATTTTGTGCATTCCGTTTTATTATAGAGGTGCAACAATCGTCCGTAAATCTCACACTTCAAAGTTTGCAATTTTATTCACGATTTGGAGTAACTTTTAATTATAGTTACGTATTTCAAGACAAATCAAGTACTTTTGACTTTGACACTTTTGGGTGTAACTTGTAGTTCTTGATTTTAGGCATAAAATTGACAATCTTATATATAAATATATACTTATGCATAGTTTGAGCATGTGCTATTGAAAAATAATTTTTGGATTAAATGAAGACTTAATCAAAGTATATTGAGCAATCAAACCTTGAATGTGAATAGACTGATGAAGTGAAAACGTAATATCAACATACCAGACACATTTGCACCGTTCATTATCCCAGTTACACCAGAAAATAATACGGAGAAAACAATGACGAAAGACGTCAATGAACCAGTAGTATAATCAATTGAATACATAGCTAAAGGAGTACCAAAATCCACAAATACAATGGTTAATTTATATATATATATATATATATATATATATATATATATATATATATATATATATATATATAATTCTTCTAGTTTCAGTCACCATTTAGTTAAAACTATCAATCTCAACCTTTGCATTGACACCTACATAACTAAGTTTGTTTGTTCTTGTGGATCTGTACCCGCGAGGAAGACTTTTCGACCGTATGGAGGTAATATTGTCTTACTGTGAGATGACACCCAAGCCATGTAATCCACACTTAGTTGGCGACTAGTGGCCGTAGGTATGCCATGTGCTTTGCACTCCCCATATGAAAAGTACTGTTACAAAACTAACAGGACTCTGAGCCTCCACTCTCTGTTGGTAGTGAGAATTTAGAAGTAGCCAAGAAGTTCGTGTATCTAGGTAGCTGCATAAGTTTTGGTGGTGGCGTAAGTGATAAGATCAATTAACATATAGGATGTTAGACGACTCTCGTTGTTTTCTCCGAAGGGTTGCTGACATCCGGTGATATCATGTCAGTGATGCAGAGTTTTGGGAACGTGTGTTCGAGTACAGAGACAATAATTCAAACGGTGTCACCATTTTGAAACACCGAGTTCGGTGGCTTGGACATATCCTACGAATTCCACGCCGTGCATTATTCCCCGATACTGTGACTGGTTGGAAAAAGTGGAGAGCTGGTCAATGTATGACATGCTATCGTCGTGGGTAAAAAAGCAGTACAGGACTGGCTTCTGTTGGTCCTTTATGACTCCCTTGTTGGGGCCCTAAAGACGGTGCAACACAGCAGCTTGAGACGTTATCTGATATGGCTTATAATAGAAGCCAATGGTGATTCTGCTGTAACTTTCTTCTACTTTTCTCATTAACGTGAGAGTAACTTCTTTAACTGAAGGAATTCCTTCCGGTTTTATTCCTCTTGACTGAACGGTTTCTCTCACAATAATTATGATTATTTTGCTCTCAGACACTGATTTTTATTCACTTTTGTTCTTCTATTTTTATCATGCTTTCCTTTCTCGTTCTCTTCATGATTTCTTTCACTGAATTCTAGCTTTGACCTCAATTAATATTCAAATTAGCAGTTTTGAGGACTTTACTGGTTAAATGACTATTTGTATAGAAAAGGATATTGATTGCACGACAAATCAGAAGCATAAAGCAGTGTTCCGTTTGTACTACATAAACTTGGATTAATTTTGATTTGGTTACTTATTCTCTGAAGCAGTGGCTTACACTAAGTCATGAAACGTCAGAAAATTCAATTTTTCCACTCATTAGGATATTACACACACAAGTTTCGTTATATTCTAGTAAGTTTAATACATATGATCTTCCATGTAAACTTAACTTGAGATAGTCTGATGGGACTAAAACAGAGTTTGATATAAAATCTACGAATCGATTTAAGTAGTTCAAATGTATTTACATAACACCACCTAAAGGTTGTAATAGGGTATCACGATCGATAAAATGAACAGAGAGGAGCATTATCGATCAAAGAGAAATGAAATAAAGGTCAATTAGTGAGATTATACGGAATGATTTAAAATCAAATGTTTCAAATAGATCAAAAATTTTTGGAGTACTACAACAACTATTTTCCATGAAAGATATATTGTGCCGATTTCTCCTGAAAATTATAAATCTTTATTTTTGTTTTAACGTAAACTTGAAATGATATCAACTAATTTTTACGTACTAAAATCATGTACACTCTGAGTAATCTAAAAACTAAGATAACATAGGACATCAATAACTGATTCTAAAATCAAAGAATAAGAAAGAGTAGAAAAATTGTGAGTGAGAATATCTGTAACACCGTCGCAAAACATAGCCATATAAAATCTCCAACTATCGATCTATGCTAGTTTCAGGGATACCAAGCACACAGATTATATCCTAAACATTTATTTTCTTTGAATCAACGATGTAAAAAGAACGTCCGCAGTGTTAGTAGGACCAATTTCTAAAAAATTAACAACATACATATGAACCTAGCTAATAGTGTGAAAATGGTTCAAACAAACTAGCCATTTTTCTGTTCATCAGGGACACAGTGATAAAATCGTCTCATAAGAAAATCAAATATATAGGATATGTGCTTCGTAGAATACAGATGTACGAGTAATTATGTTTTTCCTTATTTACCACGTTTATGTTGTTGTCTTAGAATGCAAGCTGTTTTCATATTCTCATTTCCATAAAGCCGATTTGAAATGTGTCAATCAAAAGATAATAGATAAGAAAATGTAATGCAAAAGAAGTTATTCTATATCATTGATTTCTTACCAACTGAAGACTGTATCTAATCGATAAGATACCAATGAAACAAAGTCAATTTATTTTATCCTGTCATTTTATAAATTAAATTCTTATTGACCTACAAAACCCATAAAATAGTAGTCTGTGACTTCAGAAATTACTATCAAGGCTTTTTAAATTTTATTTCTGCTCCACCTAACAAATTATTTTCGGTAAGACAGATGTTTAGTATGTGTTAAGCGGACTAAAGCATATATATATATATATATATATATATATATATATATATATATATATATATATATATATATATATATATATATGGAACAGTGGCTTACCGATTAAAGCCCTGAGCTTCTAATCACTGTGTCAGAGATAATGATATGAAACAGATGCTTCACAATTGACTAAAAATTTTCAATTTATATTAAAATTCATTTATTTGCCGATACGCACAGTTCAAAACCGGTCATCTCTTAAAACTTAAGGCTATATTAATCAAGATAGTTTGAGAAAATTAACTCTGAACTATATAAAATTATAGTAAATAAACTTAAAAAGAACCTTACACGTGGCACGATTACCACAATTAACCTCTAGATTACTAGCTAAGTACATAATATCAAATGAGTTGAATCCAATTTTGATAAGGTTGAGATTTTCTTCCTGTTTCGTTACAAATATATGAGTAGAGTCATTAGAAAGTAATGTTTATGTGAAATACGATATGTAACTAATCAATATACATTACAAAATAAACACTGCTTCGGAAAAAATTGATTAATAATATGGAATTATACAAAATTCAAGTGATAATTAGAAATAAAAACAACAACAAATAAAGGGATATTCATACGTTTCTTCAATACCGAAAGAAAATGAACTTACGATAAATATTTTCTTTGAATGTATTCCCATTTAAGCCAGTAAACTCGGCAAATATAGTTACATTATTTGGTGTCGATAAATTATAGATAAGCGAATTAGATCTTGGCAAAGGTATTAATTTTGGTTGTAGAAAAAAACTAGCAAACACGCAGATAATAACAATAACCACAACCTGTAACAAGAATTTTTTAAAAAAAAAAAATACAAAATGTTGGGTATAGTATATGCTGTTGAATATGATCAAGTTATTTTTACGAAAGGAAATATATGACAAGTATATATGGCGTCTAGTTATTTATTTAATTCATGCAAAATCTAGTACAAATGAGTAATAAAAACAAAATGTGTTAAATAAAATAAAATTTGTGTAAACCAGGATATTGTTGAGACGTCCAAACCGAAGCAGGAAGTTTTTTGAGGGGACCGCTACCTCAAACTCTAATCTGAATGCCTTATCTACAGGGGAATAGATCAACATTGAGAAATGCGACCCCATGGTAGCCGGTGACTAAAGATATCTTCATGAGCTATAGGGTCCTGGAATCTATGTCCACTGTTGGTTTGGAATCAATTTTCCAACTCCGCCACGAGAATCATCTATATATATCAACCCTGTTTAAGGCTTCGACGTGCACCCCTACTACGTGAAGGCAATGAACAGGAATGCCTAAAGAGAAGCTTTAAACGCAAGACCAGACGAGAACATCACGGGAGGGAGAGCGCAACCTCTCTACACTTGGTCATAACCAGGGCATTTGAGCCACATATTGTATGACGAGCATGAAGTAACTACATTAATTTATGATGTTCAAGAATGTTATTCGACTTATTAATAATAAAATTATAAACAACTGAATTGTGTAATTCACATTATCAAATAAATAGTATATTCTCTCAACGATCATCACCTATCAGGGAAAAGAAATGGTGATCAACAAAGCCATCTCTCCACGTATGATATTATCACGTTTCCAATGTATTTCCGTTGCCAGATCAACATATCTTAATTAAACTTTAAAATAAATATGATGATTAATTAATTTATCATATAATAGAACGCAAAATAAGGTCGACATTTCAAGATTTATTGGAGTTACTATTATTATCCAAATAAGTCTTATATAGAATTTTACATATGATTAGTTAATTTACGAGTATGTTTTATAATAAATACCACTCATTTAAAAAGAAGTATTAACACAATGATTCACATACCAACCCACACATCAAATCTTTCGTATCACACAATGACTTAGCAGCGTTTGCGAAGTAATTGAATATATCACATAGTGAAGAGGATCATATAAACTAAATAATTTTAAGTAGCGTGCTTAGAGGAAATAAGTATTTTAAAAACTTAGTTTACCAGATATAGACAGATGGAAATCTGTATAGCGGATGAAGACTATTCATCAGTCTTGAAACAATTTTATGGAGGAACAAAATATGAAAGTATACACGTAACGTCGTTACGGAGTAAGGAACTCGACAAAGGAAAAGAAATGTATTTACAATATAAGACAATAAAAGCATTTACAATAAACGATCATAATATAACTAAACTACGGTTCGGTGTCAGACAACTGATGAACAAATTAAATTTCAACTATCTTGTTGATCAATGAAAACTAAACCTTGAGTAATCTGTAGTTTACAGTCAGAAAAATTACGTAACAATAAGAATGGCAACAACAAATATAAAATCGATCTAGCAAATAAATCGATACATACATTTGAGCGAAAATGGATACCAATGACGAAAACAATGATAAAAATTCACCTTTAATACATTTTCAGTAAAATAAAAACATAATTTTCTAACTTTGGTAAACATAAGCTGATTTGCATAATACTCCAAAGTTGAATATATTTTTCATGACTCACATTAACATCTGAAAAACAGATTGTTTGATGGTTTCTAATTTCTAAATCCTACAACTACGCGTCAGCATGGCATCTATTGAAAAAACGTTAAGTATTCCTAGCTTGAAGATGAAAGATATACATATGTGGTATTGCATTAAGTATACCGTAGAGTAGTAACTTCGACTGCTAACAGACAACGGTCGTTACGGGGTAAAAATGGTTGCATGACTCAATGCAGAAACTAGTTATTTTTCCAGTGCTTAAAACCTCTGAAAATACTCAAAAAATCCACAAACATATAGACTTTCCGAAATAGTACAATAAGACTGAGATGAAGTGGTAGACAAATTTGACCATCATAAATAAACAACAACAGTTGGTCGGGTAAATGAATACGAAGCCATACCAATATTATAAAAAAACATAAAGAATAACTTGAAATCTAATTGTTCTGCTAGTTTAATGGGTGATAGATAGTTTACACTTAAAACTACCAATACACATTATCATTAAAATAATAAAAATACTCATAATGTGATAATAATAATAATAATAATAATAATAATAATATATGTATTTGCAAAAATGTCCTTTGAAATCATCTAAATTTAACAGGTCTGAAAAACACTATCAACTACCTATTTATTATTCACAACACTATGGAAGAGAGGGAGGATAAAATAACTTAAAAAGTAAATTACAAGTAAAAAATATAAACAGTACACCAAACAATAACGAAATATGCATTATTTGGTAACAGTTTACTTATTATTAACAGTACTAAAACAATAATTTCAATAAAATACAAGTGCTCATGAAATAATACAAAGTTCGTAAAACAACCTTTCTATCCTCAAAAAAAATCTTTATTTATATTGTACGTCTAAGAATAGAGGAATACGCACCTGTTTACAAGAAATACCACACAAATATAACTTAATCACTGCATTATACTTTACAGTTATCTTTACAAAGAATTTAGAAATATTTACAGTGAACTGAACCTGAATTTGATCATTAATTGTTCAAATCATAGAACTATGAGTTTAAACATCAAAGGTTTGTGCATATATACAGAATTACAAACTGGGACATATCAAGTGTGTTTAATGGATTACTTAATCAGTATGTAAGTGGCTGTTAGGTTACATTCATTCCGACTAAATGTAGCTGCTGATAATACAGTGGTATTGATTACAAATGGTAGTAAAATAAAGAAATGAGAAATTGAGGTACACATTCACAAATGAGGAAAATGTTACAGTGACATAAAACGTAGTAAAATAATTCAGGAGCCTAGGAAAAATGTGAAAGAATGAAATTATTTCACTGTGATCAATATCAAATTATCTCACTTGCAATCTTTATAACCATAATCATGAGAAATTGATTCATGGGAAACTCATTGTAATAGTTATAAAGAGTTGAGTTTGTAAGGCGTAGACATGATTCCTTTGAAATCACATCTCTTTGGTAACTTCTCATGGTTGATAATGTTCATTTTTATACGACTGTTTGCGTTAAGTGACAACTGTGTGCAAGTTATGCTGAGGTTTGACACTGTGAGTGCGGGAATAGTCGATATCATTATTCATTCGATAAGTTCACTTTGAAGACATTGGCTTAGGTACATTATGATTATGAAATATCGGTAGATTTCATTTCGACAGCTGTTTGTAAATGTTACGAACAGTCGAAAGAAGTTTAGCATGTAGGAGACTATCTCACTTGCGTTACATATGTCGCTTATACAATTGCCTAGAAAAAAATCGACATCTGAAACTCACATCTTAAAAGACAACAATCTGAAAGTAACCTAGAATCATAGAATTAACATATGAAGGTATTTTAATCTCATGGAAAATAATAACAAATACAAATAGATACATCATGATCAAATTCCACTTTAAGCTTTATCTTTTATCTTTAGGCTGGTTGTTTTCTTTCTAAAACAGTCGACACGATTGATACGAGGAAATATATAAATATTATTGTCATTACATTTTTTTATTTATGAAAAGAACAACTGAGTGACATTAATCCATGTTTACTTTCTTTTCATCAACAGTCATTGTCATTATAATAAGCATCGAAAACAATTTTGTAATATTCTGACATTTCTTAGAAGTATAAACTCCATAGTACTCAAAACATAACCAAACGAGAAATTTATTTATTTATTCTAACACATAGATATTCATACAAGGAGGCACCAAATACATATACGTTACACAAATCTCATTCGATATGTGTGAGGGCTGTGATACTGCCCGGGTGCCCAAACCGAAGCAGGTGGTTTTCTTAAGGGGCCACTCCCCAAGCCTTTGACCTGAAGGTCTGACCCACAAGGCAGTGGAGCATCGTAAGGAGATGCAGTCCCATGGAAGCCGGTGACCAATGAATGGTTCATACGCCATTTGTTCCTGTGGGATACTGGAGCCCATGTGCACGATTGGTTTGGGATCCGGTTAAAGCGCTGGACATTCGCTTTTCGTCCTCCCATTTTTGTAAACAACACCCCCGCCGTGAGAAGGCAGTGAGTAGAACTTCCCTGACAGAGGCTATATACGCGTGGACATGTGAGAGCATTTCGAGAGGGAGAGCGGACTCTCCCCACTCTCGGCCATACCAGGGCATTTGGGGTTTACAGAACTATACTATGTTTAGACTTAAATCAATTAGACTAACCCCAGGTACAGGATAAATCGTCACAAGTGAAAGTGGACATATCATAAAAATGAATAGAAAATTCAGTGAATAACCCTATAAAACATTTTATCATACATTATAGCCGAATTGTCACCTCAATAAAATAAAGACAATTAGAGAGAAAATTACTAAAATTGAAAGCAGTGCCAATAGATGCCTAACTATACAAAAGTTTAGAAAGAACTGATAAGAAAAGATCAACCTGTAATCGACCATCAAATAGTGATTTACATCAATATTTGTTTGTAGATATGTATTCATAAAGATGATTGCTTGAAGATATAAATATTCTTGACTAAATTTCACGTAAATGGATAATCAACTAACAACTAGACAAAAAACTAAGTGATATTCTGCTGTCAGACCGTGAAAAAAAAGATGTTACATTGGTGTGAAAGTTTTTGATGGTGTTATTTTTCTGATTTTCGTTCATGGCAAAAAATTGATATGTACAGTAACAATTTGAAGAATAAAGGCGTGAGGATTATGAGGGAGCTTTAAACCAGGATGATATATTTGTCTAGTCCCTCCTGAATTTTTTTAATGCTTACTTGGCTGATATCAGATTGCAATGAAGAATATCCTTAAAATGAAGACTGTTGTGTAATTAGAAATGCAAAAGGTATGTATGATACTGTTAGTTTAACCAAATTTGTATACATTTCCAATATACTACCTGCACTTCGCTGCACCATTCCATCAAAAATACAAAAAACTAACTTCGTTAATAGTTATATGAGGATGATGGTTTCAAGCACTAGATGTATTTAGGATTCGATACAAATTATCACACATTATTTCGAGCACAATGTCAGGTAAACTAAACTTACTGCAAGAATAAAGTACAGAGCACGAGCAAACATTTGACTACCAATTAATAGGATAGACGTACAAAGTGCAAGAATAACTATGGCATACAGGTAACTCCACCAGTGATTTTCACCAGGTAGTACCCCATCGAATAAAATACCTTAGAAAAAGAATAAATACAAACAAAAATATGAAACTAGTACAAACCAAAATGTCAAATATCATCAATATTTCTGACCCAGAATTACGGCGCATATAATACAATTTCTACAGTTGAAGTTCAAATCGTATTTTAGAATTAGTCTATCATTATTTTTTTCCAGTGACTCAACGAACAGTTTCAGTTGCGCATCATGAAGGCTGATATCAGGAGTAACAAGAGATTAGTACAATTTTTGTTTCGCTGCTATCACAGTAAAAAGTAACGTGATTATGTCAGAATATATCACCGATACGAAAATATACCAAAAAGGAGCACTGTTTGTGACTAAAGAAATAACCTAGTATAAAGAAATTTCATACGAAAAGAGTTTAGAGCCTTCAACAACAAAACTATGGGTCAGAAATTACACTTCATCTGTGAGCATAATTTTAAGGAATCTTTCATCTTCAAAAGAGCACTACTTAATGAACCACCAGGAAGAAAATAACATTATGGTGAATAGTAGCTTTACGATTAATTAGGAATATACCTCAATGAGTCTAGTTTCTGACAACGGACTTCGACTAGTGGTTAGAATGACCGACTTCCAACAATTTGAGTGTAAATCTTACACTGTCTGCAAAGTTCTAACGAGTGAGTAAAATCCTAAATGCTCAAATAATAGGAGTGATCAACCAAAGAATATATATCTATGTAGGTGGTTACTGAACTGTAGTATTTTATCACAAGTCCTACAACAATATCATAGAAAAACTCATCAGCGAAAGGTAAATACAACGGACAAGGTTTACATTTCGATTGCGAAGATTATTCAAGTATAATTTCTACGTTTAAAATACAGCCTCGTAGTTATATTTACAAAAACTAACTGACCTCCAGGACCAAAATTTATGAGCACAGCTTCCACTAATCCCGCTATATACAAAGCAGCACTACAAACTTGTGCGAGGAAAAATATCGATCCAATAGCTCCACCGAATTCAGGACCTAAAGTCCTACTAAGCATGACTAATTGATTTTTTCATCAAGGAAACCAGTTACGGTAAATATGTGAAAACATTTTCAGAAAACACAAAAACGTATTGATATATACCGTGATAAATATTTCACTTTGAATAAAAGCTTGAGTGAACTGAACGAATACAACTCTACACGATACTCAGTTTCGTCATAGAGTATTATATAATGGCTGTAAATCGGTTGATAAGAACCAAAACCTTAGTCAGTTAGTGCATCTGAGACATGTTTGGCCATAGCCTCCCCCGAAGCAATGCTGGCTGGCGTAGAAACAGTGTAGAAAGCTACATGTGTCTAAACAAATAAACCCTAACAGTCAGTGAAGTCATTATTGGATAAAAGCGTTCATGGAGGGGCAAGCTTTCTGGTTGCCTGATTAGTAGTCAGAATCAATTGTTCAGTCCCAATGCAATATTCTTATTCATTCCTTACCTTTGTTTAGATTGAGATTTATAATATTATCCCATGAACTGTCGAAAACCGTCCAACACTCTTAGGTTTCCAATAATAGTTTAACTAAGATCAGTTCATGATCTATACTATGAAAATTACACTGAAATTTTGAATTATTTGCTCTTCCTCTACCTGTTGTTGATAAAGTATGGTAACGCAGGCCGTTACACACTGTTTATGGTTAACTATACAATATGCGAAAAGTTTTAAACTGGTAAACATATGGTATGTATTACTATCGGGAAACCTCATGATTCACAGAGTCAACGACTAGAAGAAATACTGTTACTGTGATCATTCTGAATCATTACAACCAGAGTATATGATCGTCGAGAACATAGACTAGATTTTTACAACATACTATGATAATATTATTCCAGTTTCAGGTATGATACTGCTATAACGAAGCAGTTGCCCTTGACTTAATTTCGAAACATCAGATTTATTATCAGCATCATATATCATAACTAGTGAAACTTCTGAATGGTTTCATATTCAATTCAATTACTTAATTGCTTCCTTTATGTGTAGGCACTATCAGATCCATAATGAATAATTTTAAAAATCTTTACCAAATGAAATTTGATTAAAGTGTCACCACTCTAATCCATTGGTTAACAACTAGTACTTCCTACGAGAACAGTTCATTTTGCTTGACAAACCCTTTTAAAAAAACCCACTTCATCCAGAAGTAATCAGGAAAATTAATAAGTCAGTTAAACTATTTTTCCTACAAGCAGTATCACGACAAATTTGAAATAAATATGAAATACTTCTTTAACAATTCAGTTTAGCTGAAGACACCTTCGATACACGTGTACATGTATACACAATGGTGAAAAAATGTGATTAGTACTTTTATATACGAATGACAAAATCTAATCAGATTTCCTACAATTAAAAACAATCTGAAATGCCGTTAAATGAAAAATTGAGCATAAAAAGCATTGAACGACTCATTTTCTTACGAATACTTCTAATTACAATAGAAAAGGATACAATATACACCTCCTCCTTCAACTGCTCCATTTGTACTAATTGCGCATATAGAAAATACAGTCAGCAACAGGATGAAATAGGATAGAAATAGTTGTAATATACTTTCCAGCAAACCAGCGTGAGCAATAATAAACCCTGCGCGAGGAGCAATTTTTTATAGAAAAACACTGAACGTACCTAAACGTAGAAATATCACACTACTGAACTGGGATAATGTTACAGAGCAAAACACGCCACCAAATGTGTTCAACGTACGACGTGAAATGACAACATTGTCATCAAGCGATTTACTAATATCAGCCATTGAGCTATATGGATTAGTTTTTAGGCAATATCATCACGGACGGACGAATATCCCAAAGCACCATATGATGAGAATATTGATCTACATGAAAGAAAGGAAATTAAATGGACATAAATAGTTATTAGTAATAACAATAACAGTCTTTGCAGCCCAAATAATGTGACTAACCTTTTTTCCATCTATGTGTTTCCTGTGATGTTCCCCCATGTTAGAAATACGGATGAATCACCAAGGTCTTTAGTTTCTAAACATCGAGTTCAAAATCTTAAACTTGACTTACTTATCGAGGTTTTGACAGTCATATATCAGTTAACTTTCGAAATCCAGATGAACACAACACACTACCATATTAACAGTCAAAGAATCCCATATTCGTATTTTATTTCACCTTCGGCTATATGTCTAACTATGACAACCAAGGACGACTAACAAGTTCACAGTTGCCCAAAGTCTACGAACATTTTAACTTTTATTAAATTCACGTTGCAGGACGAACGAGGTTATAAGTGAACTTGTCAATCGTCCTTGGTTGTCCCAGACCGATATACAACCGAAGATGGGATAAAATGAGAACGATTTTCATGAAAGAACATAAATTGCTTTCGTTTAGTCAACTTGTCGATGAAATCACGATCAACGGTAATTGACTTTAACAGTGATTTATGTTGCATTAATAGCAGTCAACACTGCTAATTATGATGAAAACCTACCAACTGTGATAGTATCCGGTAGTCACAACAATGAAAGGTCTCTGAATGATAATGGTATATGAAAAAAGGGAAATCATTAATCCATTTCTTGTAGGACGTAATCACATTTATTTGCGTTGATAAACGTTCATAAAGCGGGGAGAACAGATAAACATGGCATTGATTTGATGACAAATAGCTGTCAGACAAGCAGGAATGTTGATCGCATCCTAAATGCTTTTCGAGATCTCGTACCAGATTTACCAAGCAGCACTAGAAGTGTCCTACGAACGTGCACAAGTGTTCAACTTCAGTTCATCAGTAGTGGTGTTTACTACCATCTCTGATTAAAAACTTTGGTGGAGTACTTGTGATTTTGAAACACTGGACTTGCATATGAATGTAGACAGACATTTGATTTCAAGGAGCTCTAGTCAACGATTATGGCCTATATTAGGACGCATCGTTGCCCCTAGTTTTAGAGACGTGTTCATGACAGGCGTTTATGGAGGGAATGCTAAGCCGATCGAATTTAACGAAATAGTCACAAGAACATATGGGTTAATTGTAAATGTATTGTCGTTAACTGTGTTAATGATGCAGTAATTGTTCCATTGTTACATAGGTTCAAGTGAATATAATTTGTAAAACTTTCCTGATGGTATTGCTCTAAACCATTTCCTTACCTTCTACATACTGTTTAGCCGAGTAATAAGCTGTTCGTACTTATCGACGCACCAAGCAAGAGACAGGTTCTAATTGCAGATAAGCAGTGAACTGAGAACTTTGTCTCTATCCTACGAATATTGTGTATATGCACCAGTGGAACAGTTCCCAATCAGGTGACAATTAATCCTAAAGTCCAAAGATCATCCATCGCTGTGGCGAGTTACAAACATAGGGACGATCATTTCCTATAGATAGTTTCGAGACTGCAAAGGATTTGTTGGTTTCGTTCAACAACTTGACTGGTTACTGTGTCACTAATTTTACGGAAGAAAACATCTTGCCACTAAATGAAGGGAAGCCAAAGAGGTCGGTAAAGTAATCTTATTAATATTTTGTGGAGGTGTATTGAAACGGAAGGGAAGGTTTCTGTACAATTCCGTTGATATGTATGTGAACGAGATGCAGGTTGGAAACAGCCACGTTCAATATCATAAATTTGGATTGCTAGAAATTTTTTTCTCACCAGCTGCCAAGTGGGGGTGTTTTCTTTAAAAATGTTACTAAACAATTTCGACACAGTTGGATGCGTCATTTTCAACGTACGTGTAGAGGCGTGTGGGCGGTGCATTAGCGGCCGAGCAAGTCACGTGTCCGATTGAGTTAAGTGCTTAAGATTTGGTAGACCGTGTGCTGTGCTGCAGAAGATATCGTCTGCTGTTTCAGACTTGAGTGCCAACACTAAGTAGCTAATGTTGAAGTCTGGTGGGTGTGAACATCCGCGATAACTTGGTTTCGAAATATCAAGTTCACAGCTCGCTTTTTCATCTAAAGAGAAACTAGGAACGTTGGACGCATGTCTTCAGCAAGAAGATATAAGGGACAAATTCGTAAGTCAATAAAATTCATTCAATTATTTGTTCGTATTGCAGATGGCCAAGTTGATGTGGTTAATGAAATATCTACAATCAAATACATAAAGAATGTTGCTCGGGTATCTGTTACTAATATCCCTTTGTAATCTGTTGTTTCTTCTAGTTAATAAATGTCTTTAACCATGTATCATTTTTAAACGTAGTCGATTGCAGTCGTCGTGTAATTTGTTATGAAAATAAAGCCGAACATGGAAGACATTTGGGGTTAGTCAAAAGATGAACAACAGAGCGTGTGACCAAGAGTACAGTAAAAAAATTAGGCGACACGTTAGACAAAAAGTAGACAATTTGGCGACTTTTTAGACATAGAGACAAAAAGGAGAAATTCCGCATTATTTCCCATGACAGGAAAAAAAACATTCTGACGCGTTTCCACAATAAATCCCCTTTAACCATTGGAATGTATCCTGTACTACCCACTTCTACGCCTTTATTGACTCTTTAATTGGTTGCTTGTGAATACCCGTCAGGTTGCTTATTAATATTGAGATCATTGAGATCACAAAAATCGAAAGTTTTATACTACTAGTAATAAATTCACAAACTGAAGAATGAATCACACACACCTAGACAGAGCCATATGTGGCAACCAAAATTTGTGAGATACGACCATTTGCCAACTTACCGCTGAAATCCAAATAACCGAAACTATTAAGTGGTAATAGTAACCTTCTCAAGGACATGGCCTAAGAAGGGCAAGTAACTATGAATGTGCAAAACAAATTTTTAGTAGCATCATGTTTTGTATTGTACATAAATGTTATTAATTACATATCTTCATGCATTCCAAATGGTTGAGAATGGTTTATCGCATTATTACTAAGTTGTTAATTTGCTCCGTTCAATTTTTTTTCGTGCGGAATTACGAAGTACACTTCCTGAAAACAACGAGCGCTGAACTTTTGTAATTACGAATTAGATACCTCTTATTTGCCAGTGTTTACTCAGAGAAGTACTCATGGTAAATGATTATGCGCTCCTAGGTCAAGGCTCACGGCCAACCATCATCACCAGATCACTATCGAGTACTCAAAGCCGTCAACACTCATAACAACCCGTCATCTCAAATCATTTATTCCCAAACACATCGACTAATTCTCAAATATATCTCTGAACTCCTTAATCCTAAGCTTCTAGTTTGACTAAGTTTGAATTTTTCGACTAGAAAGGTGTTACGGACGATAGTGTTGTCAAACTCCAAGTATTCGCCGTGTGGTGCGCCTCAAAAATGGTCTAGCACCCAAAACGATTGAATGTGAGTTTAGTCCTTGTTCCAACATTGTGCTTATATATTTTTTCGTCTTTATGTCTGACATGTTTACTTCATCGTAGCTGTTACGCAAACCCATCCAATGGATCTTCGTTGTTGTAGATGCTTTTATGCCAATCACTGGTCTAGATCCACGACAATATCATAATCCACTCATCGACACGTGAAAATGAGCTTTAGCAGATGAAAATACTAAATCGTCAATTTGTGGAACTTTATTTTCCGGTAGTCTTCAGTCACAGCTAAGCATGAAATCGATCCATACTAACAACGGATACTCGACAAGTACCCCTAGCTGTACGAAACTCAACCAAACAACCGTGTGTAACCATAAATGTTACAAATTATATCACGACTACAGGACCACTTGTATTCTTGAAAGAGCGCCGACTGGCTTCCGAAAAGCGGAGATTGGCTGAAAACTAGTTCGATCACATGATAGACTTAGGGATCACTGAGTCATCAAACAGCCCATAGTTATCTCCCGTATAAATGATCCGAAAAAGGACAGCAATGATTGTCGTCTAACTGGTGACTAATTGCGAAATCCGTTCCTGATAGTTACATGTTGCCTCACGATTCGAAAGACACAACTATTTTGTCTGAAATCCATGTGGTTAACGTATACGACCGAAAACCTAGGGTTGCTGTCGACATTCCTAAAATGGCTATCATCACTCCCTTCGGACTCTACGAAATTACGCACATGCGTTCCGACTTAAGAAAAGCTGCACAAACTTTCCAGAAACTCATTGATGACGTTTCTTAAGGTCTAACCTTCGTACATGCGTATGTAGATGACTGCTTGATGGCATTTCCGGTCCGAGAATCCCACCTCCAGCATCTGGACCCACTCTTCGAACGATTGCAAAGACACGGCATAAATGTAGACATCCAAGAATGTAAAATTGGCACCGACTCCCCACATTTCATAAAACACACTATTGATGCTCAATGCATCCGACACCTGAAAAACAAAGTAGTGCCCATTCTGAATTACTCAGAGCCGACCACAATCAAGCAACTACACACGTTCAGTAGCCTAGTAAGTTTCTATCGACGGTTCATACCAAATCATGCGTCTCTTATAAAACCTTTAACCGACCAACTTCGTAGAAATGCGAAATCCATCAATTCGGGCGATATCGTAAAAAAAGCATTCCCCACAATTAAGGAACTTGTCTCCAAAGCAACGTTGCTTTCACACCAGTACACCAACACATAGATTATTATCGTAGTAGACTCATCTGACTAAGCAATCAAAGGAGTCTTACAACACTAGGTTAACCACACCTGTCAAACATTGCGTTCTTTTCAAGACGGTTGCTAGACCCTGAATTGATGTGTAGAACTTTGGGTAGTGAACTCATAGTCATGTAATGTACTGTACGGCACTTTCAACATTCCGTTGAAGGCCGAGAATTCACTCTTTTCATCGATCACAAACCTCCTAACTTCTCTGTAAACACATCTCGCGACAAGTACTTCCCTCAAGAGTCTCAACAACTGGACTACGTTTCGCAATTTACTTCAGATATACGACACAGTTCTGGAGCAAACAATTTAGTTGTAGATGCGTTGTATCGTATAATTTCCCTGAACGGTTTCCAAGAAACCGACTTTCTTCTACTCGTCCAGCTTCAACAAGAAAATACTGATCTTCAGCACGAGTTATCTTCCACAACCCTTAAACTCCGTATTGAACAGATGGGGATGTGTATGGAAGCCGTACTATGTGACACATCTATGGGCAGGGACCATTCAGTCCTGCTGAAACGTTATCGACGCAATTACTCCAATGAGTTTTACAGACTCCATCCATGTGTTCCAACCATCGTCAAACCCATCGCAGAACTATTTGTTGTCTATACTACACTATTCGGCACCACGCGGTTCGGAAATGTCGTCTACCACCCACAGGGTGAAGGGAAGGCGAAACGATTTTGCCGATAGTTAGATGCTTCACTTCCAGCTGCAAACGTATCACAATGAATTGACGTTCTTCCACTTGTGTTACTTGATATTCGCAGTTCAGCGAATTCCGACACTGGATGCACTGCATTTCAAGGCATGATGGTCCGTTCCCCAAGACAATTCATGCATTCCTAATCTTTGTCAGTAGGTGGGGATCTCGACTCTTCAATAAACTAGCTAATAAACACAGCCAATTATTTGAACCCGCCTTAAAACCCTTTGAGTCTACATACCAAATATTTTATGAAGCTCTACTTAGCGAATATAAGTACTATACTGTTAATGGAGGCGCAACTAAAGACAAAATCAATCTGAGACTGCTAAAAGCCACTTTCTTAGGACGAAACTCCTTCTCAATTTATATTATCAATATAGAATCTACATGGCTGAAATGGGATCCATGATAGCTGACAATTACGATGCAACCTCGGTAGTTCCCGATAGTAGACTTTAAACAATGAGTTCCGTACAAAATTTGCGATACCCAGAACACGTAAACAAACACAGCTTACAGGAAATTTATTCGGCTTATTCCTCATTACATCCTAATCCGTATGGAATTTCTATTCATTTGTAAAACCCTTATATTCTTACAGTGCCCTGATGAAGATCTAACTGGAAAGAAAACTTCATTTATTCTTTTATATATGATATTTTGTGTTTTATAGGTAATTAGTTGAATATTCCGTTTTTACTGCTCTGAATATTAAAAAATCAAGAGGTTGGGCCTTATCAATATGCTATTACATATGTGTGTATCTTTTTTTATCAAACCTCCAGAGAGCCAACCTTTTCGCGTATAATCTGCTGTCTTCTCGGTTTGCTTGCTTATACAATCACAAGTTTGACACGCACTTATGTAGAATTATGTTCTACTTCGGTATTTGTACTGCTCCAATAATAGACTTAAATTTGCAGATTTATTATGATGTTACTGCCTAATCTATAAGATCTTACGTGGAAGCAATATCTTGTCTACCCTGACACATTATATTGTAACAATCATCAATATAGGATGAACACATTTAGACTGGAGGTAGAACAACATATTTAATATGGATAAAAATTATTTTACATAAGTATGACCATGTATATGATTCCCATAGGGTTAACACTGTTTATTGTATTACTTGACCCAATACTAAGAATTTTAAATTAAACTGTAAACAAAGATGTTAGACATTTGTTTAAATACATTATTATTTCCTACATAAAGTATTAAATAGAGTAAAATTAACGTTCGAATTTTTAGAATCAATTTACATTGTTTCATAGTCACATCTTTTATTACTATATTATTGTAGCTGTTGAAACAACCATGTTCACACCAATTACAAATTTTATGAATCCGTTTGATCCCAAAAAATATAGTCCTACTTCTTTTTTCCTTTCCCTTTTTTTGTCTTCGTTCCTTTTCTCTTCTTTTTCCCATAAGGACCAAGATTATGTTGAACGCAAACAGTACGCCACCAATTTTGAATCTAAATCCAAAATAAGGGTTGTTAGTTTAAATACAAGAAATAATCTGAACACTTTCATGTTTAAAATAAAAATTTATATGGATGTAATATAAACAAATTATTATCTGGGGGAAAACACCGATTGGATTCTTTGCAAACATACGGTGCTTAACGCCAGATTTGAACACAAACTAATTAGATTCATTGGATATATAGATGTGTTTCATAACGTTCACTCGGAAGACGATTTGTCACTCACTTTGAGTGTGTACACTAAAGTCTAAAAGTTTTCCTTCTAGACCTGTTTTAAATACTTTTTACTTACTTCCAAGTAAATTCTTAAGATCAATCCTAGTCACCTAAGAAGATTGATATTTAGAACGTTAAACCTAACCATAGAGTCGTATTTGCTTATTGTTGCAACTTAATAAAATACATTTTTCCCATGACTTAAAATAGAATGTGACCGTGATAAAACTATTGTTCTTCTTTTGAGTGTATTGAAATGATAAGATATTAATAATTTTGAACTCTTTATTTCTGAAGGTATTATTTACATGTTCAATAGTAATGGAGTCATTTATAAGTTTTGTGACACATATTTCATAAAGCTGTATTTTGGAATAATTAAATGAAAGTCTCGTATATTATTTAGGATAATAATTTTGTTATTAAAAATATTGAAGCATAGAAATTATTCAATAATGTCATTTGATAAAAACAGTTTTATACATTTGAGACTTTGAATTACACAGTATTGTTAAATTAAGTCCGATTCGTAGTAAAAGAGGATAATGAAACCTCACTTTATATCACATTCAAGAGATTATTGTTATATGGATTTTACATTGTTCCGGTTCAGTGTTGAAATAAACACATTCTTGGTTTGCTTTCAACGTTAGTATACAATTCAACTTTTATAATTTTCATGATGTATCAAATAAAATATTAAAAATCAATGATAAAAAAATAAAACTTTATCTGAAGATAATTCTTTTCACGGACCGATTGATGATAAGTAAAAATAAAGGATCTCATAACAGATGTTCTGTTCTCAATAGTATGTTTAAGTTAGCTTGTGATATAAATTACCTTCTCATAGAACTAGTTGTTATAAATTATCTTATGAAATAACATGTTTTTGGTTGATTAAGTGAATGTATGCTTTCTGTTTAAGACAATTTTCGTAAGCAGAAATGTAGATCCTGAAGAATCTGTTAATTGCTACTTAACGTAAATACTTGAAGCACCAGATTAAAATAGTATATAAATAATCAGTTGATTATTTAAGTGTGAACTAATCGAAAATTTAATGATGGAATTGTTTATTCATGAAAAAAGACACTGCACAAATTCCAACAGATCGGTGTTGAAAAGTCAATTACAGTTAAGTCACGAAATCTGATTTTACTCGGTCGATTATACCAAGTCATCAATTATCTAGCAGTATTTCCTATTAACAATTAATTCTACCATACCAGCACAACAAATGAAGAAACATTAATATAAAATAGTATGTACAGAAGAGTGATTTTTCTACCATCGAGGATGTATAAAATTACTTTAATTAACAACAGAAGATAAATATGTCATATAAACCAGAAACTTGAAATAAGATGCTAAAATCTGTAAGCTTTGTTCATAGGACAAGATTTATATCCAGTTACCATCAGCTTACTAGCTGTTATCTGAGAAGTAAACATAGAAACAACCATCCCAACAGTGCGTTACTTTACATTTGGACATTATGAATTGTTTCAAAGCTTTTAAATGTTAGGCAACTGTGGTATTTTTTGGGATTTCTAGTTTGTACTATAATTCAAATACTCCTAATTATCACAGAAACCCTACTTTTTTTTATCTGAAAGTTAATGTATTAACTACATACTAGATTTTTACATATAACTTATGTTCAGAAATATCCGATCTCCCAATTCTAGGGAAAATTCAACCCATTTCGGAGAGCCGCTATAGTAAATTTTGGGAAAATGGCACTAAAACCCCAAAATTTCCACAGACCTGGGGAAATTCTAGGGAATTTCCCCAAAGTTGAGAGCTTAGGTAAGCAATAAATAAAGTAATATAATTTGGTATTTTAATTCAATAAACAGGAAAGATAAATGAAGTGCAAATGTTAAAGATGACAAATATCATTTATTTGTATCCATATCATCAATAATTTATATTTCTATCTAGATAAAATAAATCCTGTGATAGTCGAAAGTGACTATATTTGAAATTGCAAAAAAGAATTTCATTTCTTTGTACATAACAAAATGTTGGATTATTACATTACATTTCACAACATTATCTAATGGTTGTCTGTGAATATTCATACAAATTGGGTAACATGATAGTGAATAGCGAATAAGTCTATGATAAATTAAATTCATTTTAAATAAGCTAAAACATTATCATCATTAATAGAAACCAACGATGAAAGCTACGTTTTAAAAATAAATAAAAGACTATTTACTTAAAAGAAATACACAATATAATTGTCATTAATTTATAAATAAACTGTATGATACATTAAATTGAAGTAGAATTTATTTATCCGCCAGTCAAACATGAGAACCTATTACAATACACATTGAAATTGTAGCATAAACTTCATAACTTACAATATAAAGAGTTGAAAATAGACTTTGTTAAACTTACTTTACAAGCTGCGAATAATTCTAACTCTTCTTGTTCTTCTCTTTGACGAGCTTTCTCTTTTTCAATTCGATCAGACAGAACTACAGCTTCATATTCTTTATACTATGAAAGAAAGACAAGATAATGTAGTCATGGATTTTTATCAAAACATCTTTCTTATCATAGAAAGTTGTAAACTATTAGGTATTCAAATATTCCATATAGGTTTAATAACTTGAAATTGAGATCAATATACCTGAAACATAACTAAAAACATTTTTACAAATGTTACTGTTGATCAGGGCCCTATATAAAAGCTATAAGGTTGGTCTTTTACAAAATCTATCTACTACAGTCTAGGTCCTTTGAAAAACAATTCAGGTTACTAGCTATTTCAGAGATCTCTAACAAAATTGTCTACGCCTGTTGACAAATGAATAATGAGCCAACTTCGAAACTAGAGAATCCGAAACGACATTAAATGAACTAGAAAATAATTAAATCACAAGAACTAGTTCTGAATCCTTTCATTAATAAAAGTGCTACTCTGGTTACAAAAATTGTATACAAGCTGGCTATCTGGACTCTGTAACTAAATACATTATGCGATGGTGTTGGAAGCAAATGGTATTGAGCTTACGTTTTGGGGTGAAAATCAATAATGAGATCCATCTGCATCCAGCTAACGATTCCCAAACAACACGAAACGCGCGTTCTGGATTCCACCTATAGCCACCATACATCTCTGCTTATAATCCTTTGACTTAATAGCAATATCGAGACAATCTGCACAGGATCCACATGCGCTAAAAAATAGACTGTTCATTTACAGTCCTAAACATCAACGAGAAGATACAAGCAACTAATGAAAAGGAACTGACTAGATTGTTTCTTAATCCGTGTTGGATCCATTTAAAGTAAATCAAGATCTTATGTAGCCTATCACTTTATGTAAAAGATGTATATTACTTCATAATATTAGTTTACGAAGTACTTTATGTAAATTTACAAACATATGAATGGGAAATACTGATCGATAAGCGTTACTTTAATTAGTAAAACTATCTTAGAACTTACCAATAAAGATAATTCACTAAGTTTACTTAAGTTCTTTTCTTTTTTGTCTTTGAGCTCATTTAACTCTTGTTTGAACTGAGTAATATCTTTATCAGACTTCTCTTTCCAGAATTCTTCATGCTGTTGAAAAATAGTTATTCATCAGTTGATTAATAATATTATCTAATACACCATTGAATTCAGTGACAAAAGTTAAGACGGTGGTTTGTTTATATTACATTCTTACAGGGGTTTTATGAGTATAATTTATAACTACATATAGCAGTGTTTGAGTAGGTTACAAATTTCAGCTTGTCTATTGATCAATGATAAGGAAATAAAGTACGATACTTCAATATATTTGCCGATTTGTAATGTAGCATACTGTCTTTCTTTGAGAAACAAGACAATACCCAACATCAGTAATCTCATGTTAATGTTCTTTGATTTTGTCGATTTTGGACTGTGTCCTTATTTTTAACCTTGAACAAACAAGACTGAGACCTGAAATCGGGGACGAAAAACACTAATCCAGGTATACTAATGATATCACTGCAATAAAATCAGTCATCCTTTCCATGAAAGCTGACATTCTAAATATTATCACTCAAACTTTAGGTTCATAGTAAAATCTGATTATCAGACCAATATTTTAGACTATTGTGTATAAAATGAATGATATAACTATCATGAAAACCATACAGAGAAAATAAACTCGGCCAGACCAAAACATGGCACAAGTTCATGAAGTCACTGACAAGTGGACTGAGTCATGTTGGTAGGTGTAGACTACCTGGTTGGCGACCGCAAGATGATAGCGACCGATAGTTAAAGACCCTGAACGACATGGCTCAAAATTGTTTGTAATGGTGCAGGTGCATATACTCTTTGTGTTCTCTCGAATTCCAATCTCCTGATTCCTCCTTGTCTCTTTTTTTCTCTTTCCAAATATATTTCACTGGATTATACTCTTTAAATAACATCTCAAAACCCTAATGTTTCCGATTACTGCTTATACTCTTTCTACCTCTACTACTACGGGATTTGAATCAACAACTGTATCTCTGTGCTAATGTGGTATGGCAACTCGAAATGATGTACGTACGTACAAAGTTCTACGTTGCTACTGACTAATTAATAAATAAAATGTAGTAGTTTTTATCTTGACTAAACGAAATGTTCATCGACAGAGCTAGAATATTAACCCCAAGCGATAAAAATTAACAGAACTTGGAAACACCACATCTTTCATGGAATATCTAGTTCCAAAAACATCTACTATGAAATATGGAAGAAATTATCACAAACAACTAAATATCAGCAAAGAAACCTGTTTTTTATTCGTTTCTCTTAAAGAAAGTTGATATTTCAAGAAAAAAATGATAAAAGAATTGCGATGTTATTGGAAAGTAGCATTCTTGAATTTAAAATGATTCCATCATACAACAACAAGTAATTAGGAAACCATTCAAAAGTAAATCAATACCCTTCCGATATCATCTTGAAATGAACTTGGAAATTTACAGATATATGTGGTACCAAGAGTTCAGAAAGGACTTGGAGAAAAGTTTCAACTAGGCTGCCTGAACTTGATTTTAGAAACTGATGTCTGAGTGACAAGCAAGTTTTTGCGAATACGATCACTTGCTCTCAACAGATAATAGATAATATAGAGATATATCCAAAACATTCAAAATAAAAGTACTCTAATTTTACTCCGCTCTGTATAGGCTGTAATGATTCGAAATTCCTGCTCTGAACTATGAATACAAAAGAAAGCTCAATTAGCTTTTCACTGTCATGAGAAAATAGTTTTCAACAAATGCTCATATCCATCACATAATATTATTAGCGTTTATTTGTTTCAGTTCGAACAATGCTGGTGAATTATGCAATCACTCATTCGTTTTATTATGACTGTTTGATCTCTTAATTTTAACATGATAAACACCAACTAAAACCTTCCAAAATTTTATCGCAAATCATTTAACTACGAAAATAAAGGAAATAGTTTGACTAATTCTGAATAAAAACATAAAATGTATGTTCATAAAAGTTGTATCAAAAATTTGCCGCTAGACATGTCACAAAAAATGGAAGAATACAGTTCTGGAAGCTGAATTTCCTGTCTGTATCGAAGTGAATTCTATTCAGCCAGTGGTTTCATTCGATATATATATATATATATATATAAGTTTCTAAAGATACCTTTTTTAAGTATGATATACGATCATTTAAGTAAGATGTAATCTCTGCATGAACTCGTTCTTCTGTGTTACGATTTGATTGAACGAAATCTATTTGATGTTTGATTTCATTTTCTTTTTGATCACATTGACTTTGGAATTCTTCTAATTTTACTGCAGAATAACGTGTTATATATTTTTCTTCCATAATTATTTTAGCTTTCATTTCCTTGAGGTATAGGATAATAATAATAATAATAATAATAATAAGCCTGTTTTGTAAATTGTCCGCTTAATGACTGTATTGAGTAGAATAATAATTAATTTTCAGCTTGATGAAAATAATTGTTAAACAGCAATGAGCTCAGGTTTTATACTTGACATTTTTTAGCAAGAAGTTGGTTACAAAATAGATTGAATTTATTATTCATGAAATCTAAATCTCTCACTAACAAAGACAAAGATATTAAAGCCTGACTATTTCTGTTGTGTAAATGTTAGTTGTTACATGCTGATTGAATTGCGGAAACAGTTCTAGTAGTCAGTAAATTATAATTTTTGAAAAGAAATTGTGTCCTCTCAAAAGACAAATTGTTTCAAGAATGACATAAGTCACTATCAAGTTTAATTACACAGAGTGTATCAGACAAGCCCGGTGACCAATTGATTTATCATGAAAGTCCTATTAATCTTAATGGATTGACAACTGACAAAATTTTAATTCCTTAAAGAAAAACCTCCCTTGATCCTTCCTAAGTTGAAACACTTATGGTGAACACGAAATAATTATCCACTTATCAAAACAAAGTTACATTAAACAAAAGTTCATAAAATCTATTTATCTTTATGAAACAAGGACTTTAAAAACACCGGACATTTGTAGGTTGAAGTTATTTGATCATAAGAATTATTGAACCACTGATAATCAATAGTTTGACTATTTTTTCAGTGTGATCTAAAATAAACAGATTAACAATAAGACATAAATCGAATTTAGTTTATCCTGTTTTTACCATGTCACTATGTTGAAATGTGATATGACGTGTATACTTTTTTTAAACTCATACTCTTTATTTTCTATCAGGTAAATTACGATTTACGTTTCTTATAAAATTTGTCACAAAGATTTTTGGAACTAACATAAGTAGCCTTTAGATCCTAATATCGTTGAATATTTAGTAATGGTTCAATAAATTATGGTGAGTCAATTGAAACTAGACCGCCATGGAAAACCTGAAAGTACTAGATGGTCATTTCGTCCTACTGTAGGACTCCTCAGTAGTGCGTATCCACGATCCTCCTCGCAAGGTTCGAACCCAGGACCTATCATTTGAATACCGGCTCAGTGGTCTAAAGTTTAAGCGTTTGAAACGACTATCCAGTTCTTCCAGGTTTTCTATGATGATCCAGCTTCAATTGACTCATGAATTCAATTATTAAATTACTACAATCATCACAAACCCCCTCTCAAATTACGATGTAGCAATATTATTTAAAGCTAACTGTTTTTTTTAAAAAGCAACACAATAGAATTGTATATAAAAGGTTGATATATTTTCTAATCTCTCACAAAGAAGCATTTTTCAAACAGATAACTACAACATTAAATTTTTTTTAAAAAGTGGAGATAAGATTTACTTGGACTTGATCCTTTAAATATGCTATAGTTTCTTTGCCTTGTTCAATAATTTTTATACCTTCTTCATTCTTTTCTTGAATCTTATGTTTCAATTCTTTGATTTTCTCACGAGCTTGACGTTCTCTATTTTAAACAATAAATGTAAACTGTTTTTTTACTTTCGATTAGAAAAAAAATGTTATGGAGAGAAAGAAAGAGAATATCATATATTAATATAACCTTGGAAATCCTTAAAAAGGTTGTTTTATTTTAGTTTAGGTTTCAGCTGTAGAGCTTATTCACAACTCCACTGGAATTGAGTCCCGAAACGTCACTTTTGTATTGAAAGCACAATAATTCTAGATCAGTGAATCAAAAGTTTAGTGGTCAACTATACTTTCTTTTTAGCATGTACATTAAGTATATATATAACAGATAAAACGATTTTTTTCAACATTTAAGAACAGGGATTAACTGGTAAATCTGTCTTTTCATAAATTATCTAAGTTTTTGATCATTTACAACTTATCAGAGTGAATTGAACTGATAGTACGAATGTTATTATTATAGTGTATCTCCTTTTTTATAGTCTCTTCACAATATAATATTGATGTACTAGTTGGTATTTTTAACATGTATATTTTTATTTGTTTTACCTTTATCTCAGCTAATACTGCACTTTATAGGCACAATTTACTTGGTCATCTTTGTATTTTAGTATACTAAGTGAAAATCAAATTAATAAAACAGTATTACTTTAATTACAGTGTCGATTTGATGTAACTGATCCTTCAAAATACCAGGGAAAAGTGAATAGCATTGATATGTGAGTTTTGTATTAGATTAGATCGATAAGATATTTATCTTTCCGTAGAATTTGTAAAATAGTTGTACTGAATTAACTTGTCACTTCCACCTATTGTGATATCTTGCAGTTAGTTCATCCCTTAAAGATATTATTCAACTGAATACACGAGGCCACTTGAACATTTCGAGTCAATATCTAAAACTAAGCCACATGTTATTTACATTTTTTAAAAACTAGTTAGCATAAAAATGTCGGTTTATCAAGTAAATACAGAATGGCTGAATGAACAGATGAACTGTTAGGTTGCATCAATACTTAACGTCTATCGGTTGTCGGGGTTTTATTACGAATAAACAAAACTGGACTTTCATAGACAGAATATCTGAAGACAATTCAGTATGTCATAATACAGATGTGATGTAATTACTTATTGAATAGTTGAATTCATGAGCCAATTAAAGCTAGACTACCATGGAAAACCTGGAAGCACTGTACGGTCGTTCCGTCCTAGTATAAAACTCCTCATCAGTGCCCATCAACAATCCCGCCCATGGGATTCGAACCTAGTACCTTTCGATCTGGCACGCGAACACCTTTAGACCTCTGAGCCGGCATCCAACGGTGTCCAACTTCAAACAACTCATGGTGGTCTAGCTTCAAATGACTTATGAACCCAACTATTAAATTACCATAATATCCGCAAAACCCCTTTCTAATTACCTATTCATTTTACTAAAGTATAGGATGCATTTTATGAGGTGAATATTAGCATTATTATGAAACTTTTATGAGTAAAAAGAGCAATTCACTTCTGAGTAACATAGTTATTATCATTCTTAATATTACAATGTGTTATCATTAGCATTATTTGACTATTCAACAAACATTTTTAACTCTTACTAATATTTTCATATATTCTGTCACTATTATAAAAGCCTATTTCAACTTAAAATAAACTCAATTTTGTTGTTAATTATTCATTTCATTACTCATCTAAGATTTAAATTATGGTCAATAATGATCCAAATATTATTTTATTGGTATCTACTTTATTATATATTGTGAAGTTAATATATTGGTGTAGAGGTAGTATAAATAATGTAAGTAAAAAGGAATATTTCCTCGCTTAATAACTTGAACGATAATTGGTGTCATAAATAAAGCATTCATTTGAATAATCAAAGAACTTTGTACATATGTGTAATAAAGAGAATGAAAAGCAAATGACAATTAGGAGAGCTACTTCTTGGAACTTTAATTCACTTAGGTCATAATCTATAATTCTTGAATTTAGTTAGGATAACTGTCTTATTTTCTTGATCAAAATCGTCTTTAGGACCTACGAACTAACCAAAATTTATTATAGTTTCAACACCAGTCTTGAATTCAAATTTTTGTATCTTAAATGCCCTATTTTTGCATATATCGTACTTTTCTGACTTATTGTGCATTGTGGTTCAATTATTTATATATTTAGTGATGTACTTTTTGAATAAGATATAATTGAATACATAGGTTTTCGCAACAATCTTCTCTTTTCTTGTTAAATAATAAGTGTTCTCGTAGCAGATCATTAGTCAGTGAATAGAACAATTTTCTGCTTTCAAAGCTAGAAGTCACAAGCCAAACTCATACATCGACATTATCAAGATCATATTAAGTAGCCTAGCACACTAGGGTCGCTAACTAGTTGAGAGACTAATCTCCGTACATATTTTACTGCAGAACAATTTTGCAGACCAAAGTCACAATAGTGTGATTATCAGTGTTAGTTTAGACACCTAAATGATTTATCAAACTCAAACCACGAAAAAACAACTGCATTATTGTTGAAAGAAAAAACTTCGTATATTTCCACTTTTGGTTCAAATTTAAAAGATGTAGAACTATATGAATTATTTCTAAGTACATATATGAGGTTACCCAATCCTTCGTTAAAAAACGAACTGACAACTGCTTTTCTACTCATTATTGAGTTGTATTGTAACGAAACGATTTATTTCTCACAGTACTTCTTAGTTTTTTGAATTGTTTTTCGATGTATTTCATTGATATTACCTAAACCGTGTAATCTGATCATATAGCTCATTACATGTAAATTAAGCTTCTAACGAATGATCAAAATGATGTTTTAGTACTAGCAACACAAAATTTATATTCCATTATAAAAATGAATTGACAATTCACATAAGGAATCAAGCTGTACCAGAAAACTACGTGGGTCTTGTAAAATGTAAACCGATAAATAAGATTGTGATAATATAGTTAAACGAATAAAGCGTATTTCCGTATAGCAGCTAAGGAATACTAAATAAGTAAAACAAACTACAGATTTTATGTAAACTGATTCATGCTTAGACTTTGTCAATAAATACTTATGACCTACCTTTCCAGGATATGTTCTATCTCTTTGAATTCTGATTCTTCTTTGTCAACCGATTGTTGCAATGAATCACATGACCCCGTACTTTGAATTTCTTCTGCCAATTTTTCAAGAACATCAATTAAACAAAATCTATTCATTCGAAAAATGATGAGTACCTACATTTCCTTTATTAGTTTTTCCATGTATTTTGTGGAAAAGAATGAGTCTTCAACGACTGTCGCAGTCGATGGATACTCTGTAATTTTGGAACTCTTCTGTAGTTCCTTGAGCACCTCCATATGCATATCTTGAAAACTGGCACCTAAATTTCGATAATTAACTTCAAAGTACTGTATTTAAATGAGTATTTTTCCAGTATTTTATTCATTTGTTTAAGAACAAATTCTTCAGCTTCTGAATAATTCAAATTGATTCTCTGTTTCTAAATTTAAATTTGATTACTTAATAAATGATCCATTATCTGACCTTTTTCCTCATAATGTCAACAACATTTGCTAGTATTTTGAACTCTTTTACTGTATCATGTAGAATGACGCAAAGTGAAAAAGCAGTAGAACTCTCCATAATTTATGTACTATTATCTACATTTGATCAAATGTCGTTCACACTCTAAACAGAATTGTGTCGAAAAGGTGTTAAAAAAACTGATAAATATCTACTCAATAACTCCAAGAATCTACAATGAAAAGAGAAGAAACGTTTTGATGCGCGAAAAAATATATTTACTTGATTAATCTGCAGCATAAATTCTAAATTTTGTGACAAATCGAACGTGATATCACATTGAGATTTAGTACGGCTCATTTTACACGAGATAATTAAGACGACGTCTTTAATTTAGCTTTTTGGGCCACACATCCAACCTTATCACTTTTCGCATATATTAGGCAACTAAATTATATTTTATGTTGTAAGAATATGTTGCTATTGTTTGACAGCTCAGAGTAACGAATGAAAATCTAAACCGATAGTTACTTGTTGTAAGTGGTATCGTATGCTACTTATATTGACAGGAAAACAAAGTGGTTATCCACACCAATTTCCTTTCACTATAGTATCAGTTTGTTATTTTATGGAAAGCTAGAGTTTATTAGTTTTATGTAGCAGTTATGAGTCAGTAAGAACTTAAGTGCTATTATTTACGGGTTACTAAATATCTGAATCATTAGACGTACTTAAATAAAGTGATAGCCAGCATTTTTGTACACGAGTTCTAACTCTTGTTGTCCTTTAAGCCCTAGAGACAACCATAATCTGCTAAATGTTGTGGGTTTCTCAAAACGCACTGCCTACTGTCAGAAATCAACGGGTCGGTTGTTTGTAACAGTGTTGTTTATTGATGTAAAGAAAAGATAAATTTGGGGGAGAAGCAGTGACTGGATAATACTGGATGATATACAATACGTCTCCACAGATGAGTACAACAAATTACAAAGACTTTTCCCTGTAATTATAGGATTAGGTTTGACAAATATCACGTAGTAATTAACGAAAATTTTATTATCACAAACCAATTTATTTAATTCGCAGTACCTGCAAAATATAGAGAACAATACAATAAATACACTATTTTCCTATCTCTTTAGAATCGTCTGCTACATACTTTTTCGTAATTTTGTTAATGTTGTTATTTTGATTGCTTTCCGTTCTCTTCTCTGTGTCCTTCACCTCTGTCCGTAGAAATTCTTTTAGTTCTAATACATGCTACTTACATCTGTCTGTACAAGTATTAAAATCCATAATATATTTATTGTCATACAACCTGACATGAAGTAAGGTTCATAGTCTTTTGTATGTTGTTGGTCAAAGTATCATGTTTGTGCGAATTATGTATCTAGACAAATTCATTAAATTTTAGAAATTTTATGACCCTACATAGCAAAATTATGGAGTATAGTAACACATGAACGTTAACTCTACTATAGAACCAAAATATCTTTAAAAAACCTACCAGTCATCGTTACCTGTAGACAAGGGTTAATTCCTCAGTTTTAATAGATTTTCAAACAAAACATGTGATAAAAAAGATGTCTTAATATTTTTGGTATAAAAGCACAAATTACAAAATTTTGTCTTATACGTAGCATTTAGTCGAACAGTTCATATCTTGACAGCATCATTAGTAGGCAAGTACCACGTTTGCGTTGCTGAGTAGGCTGACTAAAATGGTTACATTTTCATACCTAATCATCTATTTTAAAATGATTCTATCATAAACTTGCTCGTAATACCGCAAATAATAATTTATTCTTTTATTTACTCAAGGACCAAACATCCCTCAAAGCCATGATCAAAACTTTGAAGCGCCAATTAAACAAAGAATAAGATTTCACTTTTTCAATCGAGATATCTACGATTAAAACGCTCTACTTGAACAAGTGGTAACATTCTCATCGGTGGAAACTATAGAAATCAAACCAGATCGTTATGTTTACGTAAAAATGATTGGTTTTTTCGTACGTACCTGGACAGTGGTCTTGAGTGCTGTTAGAGGTATGAGGGTGCTTGAAGTCACTAACTTCTAGTCTGAGCCATGTTGGTAGATGCAGACTACTTGGTTGGGGTCCGCGTGACTATCGTAACCAATGGTTGGAGACTCTTGGTGACATGGCTCAGAATCGATCACAATGGCGTCGGTGTATACACTCCCTGTCTTCACTAAAACTATGAGATTAAAATCGCTTCATATCTTTCTTTCTACGAATCAATTCTTTCTGCTTGTACTATATCTTTTATGCAATCTTTCTCTTATATATTACCACCTTGTACCTAACCACTGTTATGAATCTGGTGTTCATCTTGTTGTGTTGATGCGGTATGGCAACCTGGACCGATGCACATATGTACCTGGACACGCGAACCTGAATTCAGTACATTACTTTAAAGTTAGTGCAGTAAAACAGACACGCAGCAGCATGACACAACTCAATAGTCAACTACGGACTGTTCAACTATCACTAGGACTCATAACGTCAGTAACTTACCTATAAGTTACATAACTTCCATTACTGAAAAAAGTGAAATAAAATGTACTAGATTGAAAACTTAATTAGTTAAACTGAATGAACTAAATTGTATATTTCACCCCATAAAACACAACTAAGCAGAAATACCTACTTTAAAAATCCTTGATGAATGCACAGTCAAATAAAATTTACAAATTTTGAGTAGTTCAATATTTTGAAGGACGAGTTTTATACATAATTAATTTAATGTTTATATAATTGATCGAAAAGACGATTTATAGAATGACAAAAGCACATGTATATAAACAGGTGGATGCTTGAATGTTTCAAATTTTTGATCAATCTGTATTTATACTGCCTCTGCCTAAACGTGCGATGGTACCAAAAAATAATGTACACACCACATTATTAGGAAATGGAAGAACATTCGATTAGCCCTTTCGAAATAGTGTCAATCGCCCTACTCCAAAGACAATACAACCTTTAGGCGTGATATACTTTTTAAAAAAAACTGAATAATATTCAAGGCAATTCAATAGATAGCAACTATCTTTGTAGCATGAAACTCAACCAAGTGACGGACATTGCCGATAAAGTAAATCAAAACGTCCAATTAACTGCACTCAATAAATAAAAATAACAAAGTAACCAGGCTATTAATCCATGATTTTTAAAACCAATTTCATATTTATCTCGACATTTACTACAAGCCGAATAGTTTCTGAAGAACCAAGGGAGTATAGATCTGTATTAGTGTGAGAAAGAAAAGGTGGAGAGAAACAAATTAAAAGAAAATGTGAGTCGACGACTTAGTGAAACAATGTCCCTATTTTGAGGTGAAATGTTTTCCGTTTGGGGAAGTCTTGAGGAAGCCTTTACAGAACATTCAGATGTGGAGACGATTCGAGTTTTTCTTAGATATTTACGCCAAAGATTCAACTTCGAGGAAATACATCGACTTTTTGCTTCCCGGTACCAACACGTAACCGCGTTTTAAGGGCATTCTACAATTAAGTGCAATTATGTTCAAAAAAATATTAACATCTATAACAAAGGTAACAGACAACAATTAACAATGACTTGAGCGTGATGTTAATACCATCTTATAATGAAAACAAAAAGTTGATGGTGTGAGGTTTAAAATGTTTTGAAAAATATTTTAACCCGTAAAGTCTCATACATTCGAACATTCGCTGATATATCATAACGACAATAACTAGTGTTCGAACGCGTCAAACAAAGAGAGTGCACAAAGTTCCAAATAAAAATGTAATAAATCCGCTCTAAACTTGTGACTTTTTTAAAGATTACCTTTGCAAAGATTTGTTTTAGAAACAAGAAAGGTGGTGTATTTCAGATCTTTAGTCGTCGGTAACTTAAAAACTGATATCCCGACACCACTGGTTCCCCTATATGACAAAAAGGAATATGTTGAGTTTAGACAGCTTTCAAGTGCACAGCGGCTTTACTATTCCAGAAATCAAATTAATTGAGTATCTTTGAGCCCTTTCCAACTATATAATGACATTTCTATGCAGGAACTTTCTTCTCGTATTTAATAATCGGATTTAGGATAAAATTTGCTATACACAAAGTCAAAACGTCCCTATATTAACATTGCTAAAGGCTTTATATATTAGTCTGAAGAGTCATAAGGTTTTGGGAGATATCACAGAGATTGTACATTGCATTCAAATTTTGGTTAGCCATGACTCTAAAGTCATCGTGTATCTGGACGATATATACCACAACGTCACCCACCGTGTATGCATCTGTGCCTTGGCATCTACTAGGCATCACGATGCACTTGGAAGCATTTATCAGCAACTGCCAGATTCTAGATCACTCACATAATTTCTGTAAATCATTTTTAAGCTCAAAATTGACCCATATATTTCTTGTCATTCCCTATATTTCGATATCCAAGACTATGAGAAAACCGACTTCAGCAACATTTTCGGAGCATTTAAGTCCGTCCATACATTTCATAATAACATTCTTTTGTGAACAAACACTGTATGGTTAGCGAAATGTCAGTGGCCCAACGTCAAATTGTCCAGCATGCAGGTCAACGAGAGTCGAACCCTACCGATCTAAGACAAGGTTAAGGCCACACAACACACATCAATCATATGTGACAGTAAATTTCCCTTATACTTCCGTAACCTATAAATATTATTATTGGCTTACGTTTATCAAGAGTATTTATTCCGACCAGTGATTTGAGCAACAGGTATGCTTTATTATCACGATTACATAGTGTATGTTCAGAATGAATCACGAGATTTTACTCCAACCTAAACTATGATGTAAAATCATCCCAGTCCAACTCGAATAGATAGCAATCTTTGACACATGACATACACTGCTGATCTTGAATACCAAATTACTAATTTCCTGGATGGAATCAAAACTGGTATAAGCAGAACAAATCAGATGAGTTTTTCTGGACAGATAATAAGAATCTAGTTTTGATGATGTGGAGGTTGTAGAAAACAAATTTACATAGCATTTTGTTAGTGAATTTAAATGGAGTATATGTACGAAGAAATGAAAGTACATATTGGCTGTGTTCATCTGTCTCCGAGTAATTTCTTCGGTATAGTCATAATTTTAATCCCTTGAACAAATAAAACATTATAAACAATGCTACGCTGGCTCCTCGAATGGCTCTGCTCTATATTACTCTTGTCGCCGTTGTTCGCTGAAGCCTGGTCTAAGATGCAGCTTGAGCAAACATTCTGTCAGTCAATGAAGTCAAAAATGAACTGGATAAAAGTGAATTGCTCTTGAATACTAACAGCGGTCGACTAAGTTTGATGTAAATCAATTAACCACAGCTACAAAACTCAGTTGATTATACACAACAATTGTATTCAATGGATAAAAATTGTATTATGATCACTAAAAATTAATGACCATGCGGAACTGTGCCAATACCTTTACTTTTCATTCTCTCCATGGCACACTTGTAAGCATTTCTTAAAACTATATCCCGATAATCAAATGTTGTTTCTCAGTAACTAAAACCAATTTATTTACATAGTGATGTTCGAGATGCATGCTGTCTTGCCAGCAAAGCACTTTAACGTTAGTATTATTGATTAGGGAGCGCTTCACGACAACCGAAATCCTGTAGATAGTGCTAAGAACACTTGTAGGTTTATGAACCTAGAGGTCCTCAGGTGACCATTCGACTAAATGCTCTGCAACCAAAATTAAATAAATGTATATTTGGCGGTGAAGTAGATGACATCACTGATTGTCTTCATACCATATTGAGCCCCTTTTCTCTTCAAATCAGACTAATGTTATTAATGCTAGTGAACGGTTCCAAGAGTCAGGTATCAATAGTCAGTATTACAGAAATATCGTCCTTGTGATCTGCTCCACAATCATTGAAGTTCGTTCATAACGGTGTGAGCGAAAATGGTGTACTGAAACGTAATCTTTATTAAAGTCGCTTTGGAATCCAGTAAGCTGATGTGTGATGATATTATTTTCGGTTGTTCGCAGTCGAAATGTTTCAGAAAGAGGAATCTGTCAGATAAAACACAACCTTCTAGCTTTAACACCATGTATTTATCAAATCTAAGATGTTCTACGGAACTTTGTAGAGCAAGCAATTATGTCATTCTATTTTTGGAATTGATGTGAGTTTATACTAGTACACAAAGAGAACAGATTTGAACCCAATATATCAAATGAAGCATTATCTCGCATAATAACTTTATATGATAGTTGCAATCCACACTCTGGGGATGACTGTATATATTTGATCTTAAATAATGAAATATAATACTCTCCTATGTATGAGTATTTTTTGTGTCGGAAAAATTCATGTAGTCTATGAATGCGAGGGTTTACACAACTACTTGCGATCCTAATTCTTATTTAATGTTGTGCAGACGACAATGACCTTAAATTTAATACTTCGAAATGTAGAGTACTCTATATGAGATATGTTACAGGCTACAAATAAAACTTAGCTCACTCCTCTCTAAAGGCATCCGCCGTTGAAAAAGATCTAGGGACTTTGGTACCCAACGATCCGAAGCCCTACGCCGACTGAGACAAAAGTGCCTTCCGAGCAAACATTGAGCTGTTAAAGTTGGAGCACATTTTCGGCCAGCTCGACCAAATAACTTTCCGCATAATCTTCAACAGACTTATTCGACTCCATTAAGAGTATGAAAACACAGTATTTTTTCACACACCTCAAAATGATATGAACAATCTGGAACGTATCCAACAGCTAAGCACAAAATCAGTTTGGGACCGAAATACAATTTTTATGAAGAGCGCCTCCAATCAAAAAACTTTTATTCAGTGAAGTACAGGAGCTTTAGAGGTGACATCGTTATTACTTGTGCCATCTTTGATACTTTATGCATCCCATCAATTAACAACTTAAACTTAGTCCCAACAAAAACCTCAGGGGTAACATCCAGAATCTGGAGACTCAACAGAGCATGATGGACTGTAGTCACACATGCTACTCCGTAAGAGAGGTCAAATGCTGTAAATCGCTGCCATCTGAGCTAGTCCAATCGACTTGCAAGGAGTTGTTTGAGAGAGAGCTCGACATATTTTTAAAAACAAGGGCAGTATCTTACTATGATATACCAAGTTCTTTTCTTTTCCTCTTCTGTAGTTAATATACCCAGATTACTACATGGAGGCATGTGTGACTCAGTGTTAATAGATACGATAGCCCGTCAAGCGAAAGCTTGTTCTATTCAGACCCATTTAACCCCTCGCACCTTTAGCGGCGGGATGCTTGGATTGAAGCGATACTTGAAGGTTATATCATTTTCAGTATTCAGCTGCATTATTCTAGTTGTAGACATGTAGAATATTATATTTCCAAGTAACTCTATTTATAGTAACCTTTTTAATACTTCACTAGGCGTTGTTATTGCCCTAAATATTGACAACCTATAGATCTTTGAATTTATTATTGGCTTTATTCAATTATATTTGTTTATTTCAGTATGAAATTTTCTGCACAAACACATGAAAGTTTGCACATACATGTAGACTCTTTCCGACAAAGTTTAATCCTATTTCATAGTACCTTGACTTCTCAATAAGTAGGTGTTTTCCAATGGGGAAATATCTCCCTATTTGGGGAAATTCCCGAAAGTTTTGGGGAAATCCCCAATACTTCTCTAGAATTTTGTGGATTTCCCCACACTTGTAGGGAAACTGCCTATTGTCATTGGCCTTTTGGAAATCACAAAATCGGGAGGTTGGCTTAATATCGAATGATTTCATTACAGATAATGAAGTATGATTCCCGTTGATTTAATGAAACTCGATTCTTATAGGCAGTACTTATCGTTGGTTTGTTTTACGTTTTGCGTTTTTAACTTCGAGATTAATTTGATAACCTCTACTCGTACGTATCAGTCACTTACCGTCCCAATATATAAGAAAGGAGTTAAAAATTTCCCATAGAATATTCAAAAACGAAGAATATTTGAGAGAACAATTGTTTTCAATAACTTCATCATCAGACTCTACAGTTATAAGTCCATAATTATAATATTTTATAAAGGCTAAAATTAAGGCATGTATTAATGAATTTGACAATGTTACTTAACTTTGTTCGCTCAAATATTCTTCGTTTTTGAATATAAGAAAAGGTTAAAATCATCCTATGACAACCACAGAGGGATTAGTTTAACAAATGTAGTATCTAAAATATTAGCCTCGATAAATACCAAACGCCTAACTAAGACTCGTGAACTGCAAACACGAGAGAACCAAGCTGGCTTCAGATCTGGTCGTGGCTGTATCGACCACATATTCACCATTCGTCAGGTTCTAGAACACAGGCATACTTATCGGCGTCCGACAATGGTGGTCTTTCTTGACTTAAAAGCAGCATTTGACTCGGTAGACCGCGAGATTCTCTGGCAGTGTCTGTCATTGAATGGCGTACCCCAGAAGTACATAAACCTTGTAAAGGCTCTTTACTCGAACACTACTAGTCGAGTCAGGGCTTATGGCGAACTGTCATCTACTTTTGCAACCTCAAGTGGTGTCCGTCAAGGCTGTCCACTTTCTCCATCTTTGTTTAACTTCATCATAGACCTATTGATGGAAATAACACTCTCGTTGACTGAATTCTCGGGTATTGATCTCCTACCAGGAGGTCCACTTATCGAATTAGAATACGCAGATGACATAGTCCTGTTTGGTGAAGACGCTGATAAAATGCAGAGTCTTCTGGTAGCACTAAGCAACAATGCCAGGATGTTTGGAATGCGCTTCTTTCCCTCTAAATGCAAATTGTTGCTTCAGGACTGGTCTACGTCAACACCTGAACTAAGGATAGGGAGTGAAGTAGTCGAACGCGTTGACAACTTCACTTATCTTAGAAGTCTGATCAGCCCTAATGGGCTGGTACCGGACGAAATCTCAGCACGGATTGGAAAAGCTCGTTTGGCTTTCGCCAACTTACGACACCTTTGGCGAAGGCGAGATATCCGTCTGTTAATAAAAGGACGAGTATACTGCGCGGCAGTCCGTTCTGTTTTAATTTACGGCAGCGAAACATGGCCTTTAAGAGTAGAAGACACTCCTAAGCTACTAGTATTTGACCACAGATGCCTTAGAAATATTGCTGGCATCTGCTGGGATCACCGGGTAAGTAGTAGTGAGGTTAGGCTAAGGGTATTAGGTAATGATGGTAAATCAGTTGATGAGGTTGTTAATCTTCATCGACTGAGATGGTTGGGCCACGTGTTACGTATGCCTGAACACCGATTACCACGACGTGCAATGCTAACCGGTGTTGGAGATGGTTGGAAGAAAGTAAGGGGCGGCCAAACCAAAAACGTGGCATCAGTGCCTGAAGTCACTAACTTGAGTCTGAGCCTTGTTGGTAGATGCAGACTACTTGGTTGGGATCCGCGTGACTTTCGTAACCAATGGTTGTAGACTCTTGGTGACATGGCTCAGAATCGGTCACAATGACGTCGGTGTATACACTCGGTGTCTTCCCTTAAACTAAGAGATTAAAATCACTTCATATCTTTCTTTCTACTAACTAGTTCTTTCTTTCTATACTATATCCTTATTGCAATCTTTCTCCTATATATTAACACCTTTGACTTAAACACTCCTATGAATCCGGTGTTCATCTTGCTGTGCTAATGAGGTATGGCAACCTGAACCGATGCACACATGTACCTGGTCCTACGTTGTGACTGACTGACGGATCCATTTACCTAGACGTCTATAAACCAACAGTACCGGTTTGTCATGATGAGAGTCTGACACGTGGTTAGAAATTATACTTGAACAAACGAAGTTTGAATCCGAACGCCCCTCATAAGCAAACCAACAATTTAATCAATATTCTTAATCACTCATGGTGCATATAACATAAACACCCAGTACTTTAAATTTCATCACACTACACTACGCGAGGCTGTTACATTATGTTTCTCGTTAAACACATTTTCTGCACTATTTATTATTACTTTAATGTAAATTGTCCGTCCATCAAGTATGCTTTGTTTTCGTTCGAAAATCTTTGAAGTATGGAATAGTGTATCTATCTTATCTTGCTAGCACATACACAGCCCTAAACGTTATGTAAAATTTCGAGTAGTCAAAGCAGGGTCCAGAAAAGCAGGCAACATCTAGCCCCATATTTTGGTTATTTGATTCGACATACTCGTTTTTTACTCGAGATTGTTGACTGTGTCATTTATTTATTTAAGATTATCATCAGACATCTGACAACAAATCAATACTTCACTTTCGACGGTAGATTCAAACTGGTTAAATTATTTGACCGCGAGTGTAAAGTAATAATATTCCCTAGATAGCCACGCCCTTTTCGCTTTTAACACTGTCTTTGGTAAATGCTGTCGGTTGGTATATCGTACGATGTATTTAGTCTAATAACACTCACTTATATCAAAATACTTGAAAATCAAGCAAAACAAATTAAAAGTCATGTCAATTTTACATAATTGTGTGATGGAGTTTTTTAGGCCTCATAACTTAAAATCTGATTACAAAAAGTCGTCGTACCATCATTTTATGTGTCACAGTATTCTCACCCAACTTATCCCAAAATAGATAAAACTTTTGAGTTCACTATATTCTTACTAACTGGTAGATTATTTAGATTGTTTATTGTTTTATGAAAGCTAAGCATGAACAAGGTAGGTCTTATAGTCTTAATAGTTTTGGAATCCCACCTTTCAAATCACCATAGCCAGGATAAGCCGATAGAAGTAAACCATATGAATGACCTAAGGAATTTTATATGCCCTTGAGTAACATATCAGCTGATCGGAATAGTTTATTAATATGAGTTAATTTACTACCTTAAAAAATATAATTACAAAGGATAAGTTTTGTCATGAATAACGACTTTTCGTTTATGTATTCTTACAGTAAACTGAAGAGGTTTAAGATTAGGAGTCTGGGTTGTAAATTAAGAATTAGGTTTTAGAGTTAAGAATTACTGGAAAGGGATCAAAGAAGCACTAATTTCAACGTGTCAGAAGGTTCTGGGTCACAAGATGCAGCATCTTTAGAAATGGACCTCCATCGAAATCCTGGGAAAGATTGTAGAAAGGAAGAAAAAGGAGACAGCGATTAACAACAGTCAGACAAAAGCAGAGAAATTCAAGACACAAGCTGAGTACACAAAAGCAAACAAGCAAGTGAAGAATGGTATTAGAGTTGAAAAACGGAAATCTGTGCAATGGCAGCAGGAAAAGCTGCAAGAGAAGGGAATATGAAGCAACAACATGACACAACGAAGAAAATGGCAGGGAAGTGTAGTAAGCCAGAGACCGGTCAAGGACAATGGACGAAAAATAAGCACGGAGATTCCAGAACAAAGGAACAGATGCGTAGAATACTTTGAGGAACTCTCGAATAGACCGGTTCCAATGAACCCACAGGACATCAAAGCCTTATACCCCTCTACGCGCGTCAGACTCACAGTCAATGGCTCTATTAACTGACTTTATACTTTGTTGTTGAAATCACGGTGGAACGAATTTATCTAGGTGCGGGGACATCCTTAAATTGCTTTTTTACGGTCATGAATACTAAAAAAACTATTATTCATTCATCGGCTTTTTATTTCGTACAATAACCGTTATTTTTCTCTGGTTGGTATTTATAGGTCCTAACAAAGTTCTGAAAATTGAATGTGAACTAAATAAATGACTTGCCATTATCTATTAGTATGATGGAATTTAACCGTAGAGCCCGAGTATTTAGGTTATGACGGGAAATGTTATTGGTCAGCGTAAACTGACTTTTCTGTGACGTTGATCGCTTGTTAATCATCAGTCAGATATAAAGCTCCTAAAATATTTTTCGTCCACTGATCTTATTAATAATTCATATAGCACTTTGAAAATTTAAAAGGTAATGAAAACATTCATACAGAACTCCTCTCTATCCATTTACCACATTCCTTTTGTTCAATTTCTATTTCTAGTAACCAAAATTATTCAAGAAAGAGGGAATTTTTGACTTTTGTCTGATTTGTTGTTTTCCTGTTATCTCAGTTCACTGACTTTTGTCATAACTAATTATTTTTTTTATCATGTGTTACTTATCCAGTTATTCAACCAATGACGTTCCTCAACTATCAAAAATTCCTAACTACGAGTTTACGTGGTTACAGTGTCAAGAAACTGCTTCCAAAGTACGATGTAATAATTGTCGGTGGGGTGGTTGGTTTTGGTTTGGCTGCCGTTGCGGGTAAATCAAGGCATTTCATCATTTATCTTATTTGTTTTATATAGCGGCTTCAGAAATTCTCGGTAAGAAAAGCATTTTGTTGCTGGAAAGTTCTGGTAAAAAAGAGTATCAACGTAAAGAAGAATATGAAAATCGTGTCGTTGCTCTTAACGACCTTTCCGTAAACATGCTGAAAAGTACATTTTCTATACAAGCTTCAGGATTCGTGTAATCGTACTCCTTTTAGATATTGATGTTTGGGAATTTACTCAATCATTCCGTTCTCAGCCTGTAAATAAAATGAAAGTATGTGAAATATCACAGTTTTCTACCATAATATGTTTCGGCTCTTGAACGGTTTTATTTTATCAGACTAAGTGAGGTTTATAAGCGATAAAATATACACTTCAGATCATTCTCTCTGTAACTAAGTAATAATACCTTCCTAAATATTCGTGGTGATGACAAGAATCAAATTCTAAATTCAGAATCTTCCACACCAGTCACGTACACAGTTTTTTCACACAAAAAGACGAATTTGAAGCCCAACGTTTGATCAACACGGTGAGCTTAAAAACGTAGGTTCATGGATTTACTTAGCATTCGAGTGTTTAAGTTTAAATGAGGATCACTTTAAATAAATTAGCAAAATTCTCTTTTTCACACGTGGTATATGTAGTTACAGTGTAGTGGATTCTACTCGTAAAATTGTTTGTGAGTTGTATGTAGCGGAACTTGACTTTGACGTTGAAACAATCGTCAGATGGGGAGATTTTCAGTACAGCTAAAGCACGGCTTAGGCAGGCCAGACGACGAAACAGTTCAAATTGCTGAGCTCACTGAAAGATAAAAATGGATGATCGAAGGTCATGTATACGTATTATTTAAATTCTTTATAACTTCTCACAATAAATATAGAATACCTCTGTCTATTGCCTTCTTCTTCTATAGCATCTCCAACATCCTTGGTAAAATTCACTTGAATATTAAGAAACAGATGACTATTTAAATGTCATCCCATGTGTCTACTACATAGTGTTCTATAAAATTCATGAGTGTTATTTACATGCTCATCTCGTCTGGATCTACTAGGTAATCTGAATTTGATCGATTAGAGATCATATACTTTCAGTCCAATTAAAAGTGATTGTGTGACTTGGTGCTTAGGGCTTTCGACTGTTAGCTACCAAGACGTAGATTCAGACGCTTCTCCACCTGCTTGGTTAGGGCAACTAGTCCTAACGGTTATTGTGTGACTCAAGGCTAAATAATCGAGTATGTATCTCGCAAATGAGTTAACAAAAATATACAAAAGTTTTGTTAAAGTATGATAATTCGGTAGTTAGGTAAATCATGGCTGACTTCCAAGAGCTCTAGAGACCTAAAAATAAGGAATGCTATCTGTAAGAGCTAATAGAATCAGTGATATGCAAATTATAGGATACTCCTTTATTCAAGTTTTGCATGAAGATCCAAATAGAAATCCATCTACTCCAGTGATATCAAATATGAGATGTGCTCCCTAAAGTCTCTTACTATCTATCGGAGTTATTTTACAAACCTTAACGAGGTACCCTACGCATCTACATGGATTAGGTGGACATTCAGTGGCCTTATTATTTGATGTTGTCTACTGTTAGCAGTGCTCATCCTGTGTCTGCACCACCAGTTACCAAACACAAACTTGAAATAAATACTTAATATTTCAAACTGTTTGGCCTTATCTTCTAAACGACCAAATTTCATCAGCCCCGTTCTTTAGAAAGATGACCAGACATTTTTCTTATCATGTTTTTATATTATTGGACTAATTTGAACAGTTTTGACTTAACACACGGAATCTATGTGACTTCATCAATTTCTATCATGAGATATCTTGTTTACCATTATAAAAGACCGAAATTCACATAATTTACATAATCTATCAGCTCTTATTATTAAGTTTGTCTCGTTTTAGATGATTGATTAGCGTATACTTATTTTAATGTATTCATTTTGTACATACGTTTAGGTATGGGAAACAAAGTCAAACCTTTACTTAACGTTTCAACGCAATCCCTTGGCATATATAGTAGAAAATGATTTAGTTATTGAATCACTTCGTAATCATTTGGAATCTAATAATAATTCTTCAAATGTGACAATACTATATGAAACACAAGCTGAAAACATTCAGCTTCCTTCTTCAGATCATCCAGAACATTTAGTTCGTGTAGACGTTCAACAAAGGACACAGGATAAACGGGAAACTGTTGAAACAGATCTACTTGTATGTTGATTATTCATTGATTTTTTAGAGGATCAGCATTATTTGTGTATGAAATTTATATCAAATTTAGTACTCTAAATAAATCTCTTTTAATTCCTAATTATACTTATGGAACAAGAATAAATATTCCTAATGTGCCCATTAACTATAAAAATCTAACCATTCGAAGATAAACAACAAGAATACTTCAAAATCTTTTCCAGCGTGATTCTTTATTAACTAATATTGATTTTTAGTTCAGATGGTGATTTGATACTTGTTTCTCGTTACCAAGATACTTCAGTAGGTGCGGATTCACAACTTATTTTCATTCCCCAGAATATCTGAACCTAACCTTGGTTTTGGTCACTTATTGGTTTCACTTCGTGCGAATACTTTGAAAACTTGTTACCAAATTCGCATAATAAATACATCTGCTTTTAATGACCATGTCTACCAGATGTAATTTGCTACAGCGGAGTGCTGTTCAGTATAATAGTAATTTGAATATTTTTTAGAAGTCTCTTCATCCAGATGTTCGGTGTAGTGTAAGAAACGCCAAATAACCATATAACATCCAAAAGACAACTTGTTGACCAGCCAACCGAGGCTTCTATAATCTGCTCAAAATATAACTATGTACTTAAATGACTACTCAAGTAAAATCTGAAGGTTTTTTTGAATAATATTATTAAACAAGAAAATAATACTCGACTTATTCATAAGTTGATGCGTCACTTTTAACCAATGTGGATTCGTACCTGGTATCAACATTATTGTATTATACATGTCTAAAATAGATATCAGTGAATCCTAAAAGTGATCATTTATTTAATTAAATCAGTCAGTCAGCTACAACGTAGGACCAAGCACATATATGCATCGGTCAAAGTTGCCATATCTCACTAGCAAAACAAGATCAACACCGAATTCATAGAAGTAGTTAGTTCAGTGGTGGTAATATATAAAAGAAAGGTTGCATATGAGGACATAGCACAGGAAGAAAGAATCAGTTCGTAGAAAGGAAGATATGAAGCGATTTTAATCTCATAGTTTAGGGGAAGACAGAGAGTGCATTCACCTACGCTATTGTGATCGATTTTGAGAAATATCACCTAGAGTCTCCAACCACTGGTTACGATAGTCACGCGGACACCAACTAAGTAGTCTGCATCTACCAACATGACACAGACTAGGAGTTAGTGTCCTCAAACACGGATGCCACGTTTTTGGTTTGGCCCTCCCTAACTTTCTCCCAACCGTCTCTAACACTAGTCAGCATTGCGCGTCGTAGTAATCGGCGTTCAGGCATACGCAACATGTGGCCCAACCATCTCAGTCGATGAAGATTGTTTTGTTCAAATACAGAAATCGGTATTATTTCTGAAATATAATTGTAAAATAAATTCATGTTTTCTCTTATATTAAGTGTTTTTGGTAGTTGACCTTCATAAATGCAACTTCTATTGACACAAGGAATTCACATTTAAGTGTCTATATTTCTTCAATTTAATATCAAATCCCTTCGGTAGAATGGTTCAGGAAATGGTTACGTAATTGCCCATACAAACTTAAACACTTGTTATGAGCACTAATCTGCCAAATAGAAGATTCGTTGTTCATAAACACAACTCTTTCTAAAATATAAATCATAACCTTGGTTCGTAATTTGAATTTCATGCAGTAATCTACATCTTGAAATCATTCCGTTATTATAGGAACCTGAATTTAAAATAAAAATTTCTGTTTGAAGTCCACTTTACAAAATTTATTTTATCATCAGACTAGTTCTACCGTTTGTCAATAATTTTCATGGTAATTTATAGTATTGATTTGTAGGCGGTTTCAGAGTTTCATATGTTTTCATTTAACTTCTAATATTCTATTCATGTCACTTTACATCGTTGAAATCTATAATGTCATCATGAAGTTCAGTATGACAGCGGCCTGCTTGAATACCTGGGCTACCTGTTCCTCCGATCTACATATTTCATCAAGTTATCTGTTTTGTTGTTTGTTTAAGTTCATCATTATGTTCATTAAGCACACAACCTATTCAGGCGCGTTTCTGAAAAGTTTACAACCTTTCGCTATACGTGATACAAAAAGGTGCAATCATCGACATCATGGTGGCTGGCAATATGCATTGAAACGAACGAACATTAATCAAATGTGGATTACCGAACTCCTAACATCTAACCGGTCATCATTCGAAATTTATCGTCACAATAGATCAAGGTATAAGAAAAGGAAACTTGTTAAAATACTTTATGCTGAGAATTCTATGTTGTACCAAAAATATAATGTTGAATAAAGCTTCTAATAATATAATAATATAATATAATATAATATGTTCTTTTATCCAGTACTTTGACATCAATTCATATTGTGGTCATATCTTTTAATATGATATACTTTTTCTGTGTGCATGCATGTGGATATTGTATTGTCCTGTTTACAGGATTATATATTTACCACATTAAATTTCTCATCTAGTTTCTAAGAACTTTTTCTAGTTTATTTTTTTTTAAAACGACAGGGTAACCTGGTAAATCAATTTGAATGCTTTAGTCACAGCATGCGAAATATACATAGTATATTCTCAATTTTACCCTTCCCTACCTCGTAGTTTGCATCTTCATTTATTTTATCTACATACACGATACTGTGCTAGAATTTACTGTCAATTTCGGTTTATGCGCTTAAATTATTCTAATCCGCTAGTACCTCTTAAATTAAACAAAGTTCTAGTGGTCACTATTAATTTGTTTTAACATACTCTTTCCTGAACTTTATGTATATATTATAGTCCAAATGTCTTATGTATTTAAATAAACTTTGTTGATACTCTTATACGTTTCCCTTTTTTCATTGACTCGCAGAATTTTAAAATATCAAACAATCTTTATTATTACAGCTTTGTTACTTGAAGTAATCTGTTTTATAAATTGTAATTATTTGGAAATAATTGTTGTTTTATGGTAAATGTAACAACAATCAAAGAAACAATTATTTAATGTTTCAAATAGTGAATTTATTAATTATAGATAAATTGTTGCTTTTACTAAAACAGTTGAGTGACGTTTGCTATTTACTTTTACAATACATTTTATGCATTGTTTTGTTTTGATTAATCCATAAATAATATTTAGTTTTATTTGTTTTCGACTGTAGATTGGTGCTGATGGGTTCAATTCACTTGTCCGTAGAACAGCTAATATTCATACAATTGGTTGGAATCATAATCAAAAAGCTATTGTAGCAACTTTAAAATTAGAACAGGTAAATTTTTGTGATTAGTGAAACAGTTAAAATGAATTTATACAACTGAACCGGGAAGTTGTACATTGAGGTTTAGTGTATTTAGTATTTCTAACATGATGTGGTAATAAAAATATATAAATAAATGGTTGGGAAATCAATATAGAATAAATGGAATGTGGCTAGCAGTGGAATCCAGAATGCTCATTTCGTCCCATTTGGGACTAGTTAGCTGAATGCACCTGCATCCCAGAGTTGATTTTCATTGCTAGACTCAAATCCAGTAATCCTTGCTCCAAACACCATCTACTTAGTTACTGAATCCAGATAGTCACTCACCCATGCAATGAGTATCAACAATTGGATAATCCAATCCATTTTAAATTGAATTAAACCGTGAAATCAGTTATGTCTCAGAAATTTGTTTGTTTTTATATTAGATGTTATATCTAGAACTTGGATTTTTTCTATACCGCGTGCAACTTGAGCACTCGAACCTTCCAAGTCTCAAGTTAAAAGGCAGAAGACGAGTGGAAAGGAATCTTATTCAAACCAGTATCAAATATGATACAAAACACTCGGGTATTCATAGTTTTAATAAAAACGTAATCATCATTACAATCATCCGATTCGCAGACAGTAGTTTTTAGCATTTGTCCAATCGGGAATATACAAGTCGACATCGTGTATTAAACTTCCAAACGATGACAAGATCGAATGCCCTTGGCTCTTTCAGAGCTTCTTTAAGTTCACCGGGAGACGTCCACACAGAGGACTGACCATGGTATACACTACTGTCGTATTTGATATTGACATATATATATATATTAGATCCAATCGTTACGTTGAGTAAGCCTTGGTGTTGATGCCCATTATATTCAAGTAGATTTATATATTTCTTTGGTTTTTAAATCTTCTAATGGTTCATCATTGATAATTAATTCATAATTTTGTCTAATGATGAAGCGATGTTATAAGTTCATTAGTTCCGGATTTAATAAATTTCCCTAATCCCCAAGTTTTTATATCCAATCAGCAATATCCTATTTTTATTACTTTCGATGTATTTACTACCTATTATTGACTGACCACTGAGTAGTATTGATCAGTGCCATGTTTGTCCAGTTTCTCAATGCTGATCGAATCCTGTCAACCAAGTTACAATGTCGTCACTAGTCTAAGTGACTCGACACCGCATGTACTGTGCTGATGTGTAGGGTGGTTGTCAAGTTACCACCAACCTTGGTTTTGTGCCGGTCGGTACTTGTTGCCAACGCGGCACCTTTAATCTTGAAGAGACTCCTTCTCCTTGTGAGATTCGAATTTATTTCACGCGGTCGCGGCCCGTATGGCTTAGAATTAAATTTCCAGATTGAGTGACACATGCTCAAATCCGACAGAGAGCATCCGTTTCCTCAATATCACAGTAATCGCCTGCTGACAAGTGCCAACTATTACAAAACCTAAATCCTTAGTTTCCTCCCAACCACCTCCATATTTAGTACCTTTTTGTCATCTGGTGTTTTTACTTTGTAGCCTACTAACATGATTATTGGTCTGGTTACATTTAAATTGAAAACGCAAAATAATAAAGTTTATTATTTGTTTAATAGTTATGTAGTAAGGCCAACTATACAGAGTAAGAAAATATTCAATTACAGATCCCTTCAAATTAAATAAATTTGACATATTAACTTATTAAATAGGAAGTCATTTTATCTTATGGCTCTTTTTTCTGTTCTTTTTTCCATCACATTCTGTCATCAGAATGTGTCTGTAACCGTAATGTTTATGCCATGGTTGTACGATTGATATAGTTTGATAATATGGTAAATCATTATGATGAGATGTTTTTTTTCGAGGTTGCATTTAACCACACTTAAAGATGCATGTTACTGAAGAAGTGTTCGGCTAGTCTTATATTCGTTCGGTTGAATCCCATTATATAACTTACAGATTTTTAGTCTATGGAGTACTATGATCAGAAAATTAACAATAATTCTCTCCAACCTTCTAAGTAAACTTTCTCATTGTTGACTGCGTTAAATTTACGATGAGTAAAAGTGCTTTCGTTGTATTTACTTCGCTATATGTATTGATAGGTTATCAATTGTCTTTATTACCAATATTCAAAGTTAGATGTTTGTTTTGGTAAAGTTATATTACTTACTTTAAATTAATAGTTATTTCTAGGCAAGTAATAAACGCATTATGTAGACTTCAATGGTTCTAATATCGTTTTCTGCGTAAAACTAAATGTTTGACTGCATAATGTTGGTACTAGATTTTCATGTTATGGGTTCAAACTAATTAAATGGACTTTATCCAGTTGGCGCCTCTTCACATCTGTGTCCCTTAATTTAATTACATGAATATTATTGTTATCCTAAGATTTGTTATTGAGACACCTAACCAAATCCCAATAACGATCTTCATGTTTTATGTTTTTTACCTCATACGTCTATTTGAGTTATGTTTATGACTAATTAATCGATAAATTTTTAGTCGTTTTTTTATATTCATATCATCAGGCTAATAATGAATCTATCGCTTGGCAAAGGTTTCTACCGACAGGCCCAGTTGCATTACTCCCAGTAAGTGGTTATTCTCACTGAGTTTTATTTTGCTTCATGATTGTATAGCTTTATGTTTCAAACTGCTTTTAATGAACTATACCTATCGTTATGTTTAGTGTACCCATCATTATTAACTTTACAGTTATTATCATTATTATCTCACCTTATTTACTTGTTATGTTGTTAATGTCACCACCTGTGCTGTCCTGAAGGGAAATGTGGTAATTCGGCCTAAAAAAATAATAATCCCAGTCTTTACATTGCTTATGAATAATTGTAATATTATCAAGTCAAGAGAATTTTACAAATGTAGTTATATTTATAAACATCATAACTGATTGAAGGACAATTAACATTCAAATATTATATCACTAAATTTTCAGTTAAGGTGCGGTGACCATTCGATGTTTTAGTAGATAGCTCGGAAAAAACTTGTCATGATGCTTGCTGGTTGTTGGCAGTATTGCACAATATTCCATTTTGTGATCCTGATGGCTTTAGGACCTAGTTTCCGAAAATCACACTCAGTCATAGGTATCCTCAGTGTGTCTCATGTGGAGTGGACCCATGTTTATTATATGTATAATATGGCTCCTTCGGTATACCATTCTTGTATACACAGAAGTAGTTTAGAAAATTTTCAAGATAATTCACACCACGGCACAATACTAGTCTATGAAATAACCGACTGGATATGAATTATATGTATATACCTATGCAAATCGGTTTATATATTAGGATGAATCAGTTAACACATTATTTCTGTATGAAAGGATAGTTAATCTTTTCTGTTCTAGTGTTTATCTAAATAAGCTATAATCAAAGAAAGGACACTGTCTTTTTTTGTCTATCAGTTTAGTCTTGGTTGTTAAGGATACAGTCTTCATGTATAAAGCATATCGATATTGAATAGATTTTGCACTAGAAGTAGTATCATCATCATATATATCTTTCAGTTCGATAGACTAGTCTATATTTTTAAAAAAACAGAATAACCTTCAAATGTTATAAGAACTTAATCAATTAGATTTTAAAATATGTATGACAATTGTGTGTATACTCGAAGACAAATAAAGATATTTTAGAAATGCAAATGAGTACGTGGTAAGAGTAGTAGTGATTTGCAATAAAATGATAAATTAAAAAAACTCAGAATATGTATTATATTGTAAGTGGAAAATATGAAGTGCGCATATGTTTATTAAGGTACAATGAAAGTGTTTTCGCTGTTGTCAAATTTTTTTCTGTCAAAATCAATTAATCTGTTTCACATCAAGGGTTGATGGTTTTCTTTTCTTTTTTTCTTTTATAAAAAACCTTCATGATCATTTTATTTATTTGTGAGTGTGTGTGTATGTGAAAAAGTGACAAATCGATTTCTCATTTCAAATTACACTCTTGGATTATATTATTTAATTAAATTTTAAATAAATAATTAATGTCATAATAACTTGATCATTGCAAAACTGCTGAATAGATTTTAATGAGTTGATACAATCAGTTTATGGAATTTTCGATAACAGTCATACTATTGCAAAATGTCAGAAATTAGATCTCATCTACTTTCTCAATTACTTTAAACAACTTTGAAGTGTTAACATCGTATTCATTATTTACCAAATCAACTGAATTAAAATAGTTGAATTTACCAATCAAAGTTAGATCACCATTGAAAACGTGGACGACCATTTCGTCATAGTATGGGACTCCTCAGAAGTGCGCATCCAAGACCGAAGGTCCTGGGTTCAAATCCCACCTGGGAGATCGTATATATATATATATATATATATATATATATATATATATATATATATATATATATATATATATATATATATATATATGCATCCATAATTTATCATAAACGTATTTATTGTAACGTTGTACGTTTAGATTTATTTGGCTGTTTATTTCTCTAATGAATTTTCTAGCGTATGATCTATTTATCTTCATTGTTATGAAATGATTAAACAAATTTTTTTTTCTTTTCACAATATTGATAATAATTGTCGATAATTATCGTCTTTATGAATTAATTTTTAGTCTAATTATTAAAATTTCTTTGAATGTTAGATGAATGTATGATTAGTTTTGAAGTTGTACGAAATAGTAACAAGATACTCCAATTATACTTTTTTTCTTCCTCATTTATCTAAAAGTTGTCAAAAAAATATTCATCATTAGTTTGGAGTACAACTTCGTATGAAGCTGATCGTCTTATGAATTTAAAAGATTTAGATTTTATTCAAGAGTTGAATGACTGTTTGGTAAGTTGTGTTGAAATTCTTTGATTCATGCTTTTATATGTACTTACTATTCAATGAGTATATGGGAAATTTCTTTGTAATAAGCTCACGTAAAATTAATTAAACCTCATATAATTCTCCAAACAACTAATTGTTTGTGTAATCTTACTTTTTTTGAAGGTCCGATATTAAAATCTCTGTGTTTTAGAATATTTCATTCAATTTGATATACTAAAGCCACAATGCTAATGTTACGATCGTTAACTACTGTAATATTCAATAATTCCCTCACATTTGTTTATCTTTGCTGAATTATATCCCACTTCTTTCAGATATTTTTTTCTTTAGAGAAATATGTATTCTTTTCTTCATTTGTTAGACTAAACCTAATGAATCGACGTCACAAATTGGTGCACTTTTCAATAAGATGGGACAGTGTTTTGCTAATGTTGTTGATTACTTTGGTAATCAAATAAAATCTACAGACAATGAAAGTGAATCCGACTCATTTTCAACACCAACAGTATTATCGATTCAACCAAATACGAAAAGGGCTTGTTTCCCTCTAGGTTTTCAACATGCCACATTTTATTCAGCTCCTCGTGTGGCACTAGTGGGGTATGTTAATCATTTAAATACCTATTCAAACAATAATATCAGTGAATTTTACTGCTTGCATCATAGCCATTGACCTTAGTAAGATAACCACTGGAAACCTAAAAGCAGTGAATAGCCATTTCGCCTTAGTATGGGATTTCTCAACAGTGAGCACCTATGACCCTACCGGCAATAAAACACACTACCTTCCAGTCTTGGAGAGTAAACTGTAAAATACTATTAGTTTGATGAAGTAGTTTTTAACGCTACTTATCAATCAATTGTTATCTATTATGTTCGTTTCTAAGTGAGTCAGTCATCTATGAGATGGTATACACGTCCCGAGTAGTAAGAACAATTATACTATATGATCTTCAGTGCTTATGCAATGACAACGGAATATTGCAGGAAATTAAGATTAGTTAAACTAGTGTAGTTTTGAAATGCTACATATATTTAGGTTACTCAAGTTCCAAGTTTCATTTCATGATCGTGTTCACAACGTTTCATGAAAATGTTCTGAAGTTAAATAGGAGGTTTATTTATTGTGTGTTATAACAAAAGCAAAGTTGGAATCCACTTCAATATGTTTTTCTACTTTCAAGATGAATTTGAGTTACCCTTTACCTACACAACGTTACATCAAATAGTTATTCTGAAAACACTAATTTTAATAGATTTTTAAAAAATTTTGCCCTTAAAAACGGTTGAAGAAATTCGTCATTGATGCTAGTGGTAATGTGTGATGCATATTGAATGATTAGTCTATTAGGTCAATGTTTCACCTTAAATATCTGATTTATATTGTAATCTCATAAAAAGTGTACTTTTTGAAATGACTCATAGACGATATCTGTCGACAATATCCCTCTGTGTGTTGTTTCTTAAAGTTTATCAGCTAAACAAATTATTATTGTCATTATTATTACTTACAATTAATTGGCTAAATTAACTTGACTCACTAACTAATCAGATGGTTATTAAGGTACTCCTATATAAAAAAACACTCGCTTCTTTTATTGGAAAGCATATATATTGGACGGTAGATAGATATTCGTAAACGGTTGATTTTGACATACCCTGTGGCGGACCAATAAAAATATGAAAATACCTTAACTTAATTATTACTCCATAAGCGTATCAAGAGAGTAAGTTTATATAACACAGAAACAAATATATATCCACAATCATAACGCTATAGGGCAAATAATTCCAAGGAAAGTCAGATATAGATCCAAAGTGTTTGTGCGTAATCGACAGAGAATATGCTGTATGATGTTAGCTAAAGCGTATTCAACAGGATTGTTCGTAAACAATTAGAAAACATCAGCCAACAAAGTCTAGACGAAGTGTGTGTACGAATACGTATATTTAGCGATCGTTTATCAATAAGACACAAAAAGTGAACAGGAATAAAGGAAGTCAGCTTAAACGAAATTCTTCACTCATTATAATATTTGTATACATTGAATATAAAAATTATAAAAAATTGCAAATAATTAAAAAAACTGAGTTTATTTCAACCATTCCCATAATCCTATTCCTCTTGCTTTTTCGCCTACATCACCTTATAGTAATTGATTCTCGTAACTGCCATCTATCCTTCCTATTTTTGTTAGATTTGCAAGTTTATGTGAGGAAGGGGGCTGTGAAATAATCTAAAATCAAAGTGATTATCACATTAAATCAGAGGCGAGGTATTTTTTCAAACTTGAATATCAATTATCGAGTAACCTGTTTGATCACTCCCCTACCTCGCTCTCCTTTTAATTTACATATTCATATAATTACAGTTCAGTAGTTCAAACCCTAGTAACTGGCAGTTTAACTGTTTACTAGGTTATACTGAATGAGTTTTATTAAATCTTTAACTTTGGTTGGCTGTTATAAGATATTTTGGTGAGATTATTCCAAATAGAACTATAGTCTATCTTGTGCACTATTTGAAGGCTTTTTTAGATTGAAATAATATTTATCAAAAATATTTCAAAATATTTTTGAATTTATTTGTTAATTATTAGTTGCACCTCTTTTAAATGTTTTTTTTCTTAAAAAACATACCATTAATATAGTGATTCTGCTCATCGAATACTACCACTTGCTGGTCAAGGTGTTAACCTTGGTTTCGGTGATGTTGTTTCGTTGGTCAGGCATTTAGAAGAAGCTGTTTTGCATGGAGCTAATATTGGTAAGAAACAATTTGTACAACTATTATCACTAATACTTTTTCTTTTATTTGATGCACAAAACAAAATCTATTTCACATTTGTACTGATTTCGTATTAACACATTTACGTCAAACTGATTAACTGGAAAGGTATAAATTTTATGGTGTTCGATTGACCTAATTAGGAATCCATCCTATTTCGTCAAGTTTATCGTATTCGCTTAGCACTATAGCCCTAACCAAGTAACTACTTCCTGTTTCCTAAAAACACAGAGTAGCTATGGGTAAAGTGTGCATTATATACATTACAAGTCGTGTCTATTTATGCACTTTTCTGAAACCACAATCGAACACCATTGAACTTCACTTACATAACAATAAAGTATTTATTGCGACTTTTAGTCAGTTAATTATCACTTGACTTATTGGCCAGTCAAAATACGACTTATACAATTTTAGCACTCTGCCGAACCAATGACGCATTGACCGATATGAACAGCCCGGTGTCTTTGTATGGTCCCTTTTTCCTGCCTATTAAGTCCAGAACACTAATATCAGCTTCCACCATACGAATCGTATATTCCAAACACACTGGGTTTATTTAACAAGCAAACCAGTCCACATCATACCATAAAATACAAAATAAAAATTATACGGAATTAGGCTAAAAAGTGACTGATTAATAAACTGAGTATAACTTAAGAATAGTAAATCGGATAATAATGGTCTATAGGTCAAAATAAAGCTTATAATAAAAGAAAACATAAATAAGCATAACCTAGTTACTCAATAGTTATACAATAAGAATATATGTGTAGTATTTGTTTATAAATAGTTCTCAGTAGTTACCCAAAATTTTAATCTCCGCGTTTGAATTCAAATGAATTTAACTATTCTATAAACAATCCACGATATTATATGGCAGTAAAGTGATCAATTATTTTTAAACGCCTAAATATGCAGTCAATTTTTTGTTGGTTAATGCATTGAAAGATATAAGAATATATACACTGTAAAAAAGAATATCTAATTTTGATTTATTTCTCTGACACAATTAAACGTTACTTCACCTCATATTTCTTTGCACTCTTTACCTTTGGTTCATATTCACAAAAGTAGCTGAGCACTCTCCAACTTGTTGAAAAATAGTTTGTTATATTTCACTAACTGAGATGATTCATAATACTGTTGATAGTCAGATTCTTATTTTTTTATATACGCTGTGACTCTGACATCACTACGTCGATCTTAATTAATTTACTGTATAGTAAGACGTAACCGATTAAAAAATGTCGTACTTGTTTCAAACGCTTTCACAAGCATGTTGTTCATATAAAGAAACTGCTGTTTTTACCGTTTTAAATTTATAATCTTTATAAACTGTACATTTTATGCAGTGTAAACATTATTCATTCCTTTTAATTGTTTTTTTGGGGGGAATCTACAGGAAGTTTAGCCTATCTTAAAGATTATACAAATGAACGACAAAGAATTATAGTACCATTAGCTGGTACATTAGAATTAATTAATTTATTATATTCCACTGATGCATATTATAAACAAAACAACAAGGAATCACCTTCTGTTTGTCGTAATTCTGCAATATCATATTTATTAAATATTATCACAGATATTCGTGGGACTGGAATGAGTACTGTTCAATCTAGTAAATTATTGAAGGTTAGTTAATTTCAGTGTCATTATTTTATGAATTACCATTTTAATATTTGAGATCATGAGTCAATTGAAGCTAGATAACTATAAAAAACCTGGAAGCACTGGACGGCCGTTTCGTCCTACTGTGGGACTCCCTTTATGATATTAATCAACATATGCTCACTAGTGACTTGCTTCAAGAGGTATTTCTTGGAGTTCTAGTGAGAAGCCGTGACCAATGAAGCTCAACCAGGTTCGTTGTGAGATGGTAACTCACTGATGACAATGGTGGATGTGTCGTTCAATTTCATGGATAAGGTGAAGTCAGAAATTAACACCGTCGGATGTTGGCTCAGTAGTTAAAAGATCGCGCGCGAGGCGGGATCGTGGATGCGCAGGCTGGAGTTCCACAATAGGATGAAACGGCCGTCCAGTGCTTTCAGATTTTCGATGGTGGTTTAGCTTCAATTGACTCATGATCTCAACTATTGAAATTACTATAATATCCACAAAACCCTTTCTGATATTAATTACCATTTTGTATATATACATATTAATGAATTTGAAGAATCAGAGTAATTTTTCAATTGTCTCAATTTTTTTCTATTTTATTTGGACACATAAATATTGGTATAAGATGGCACCAAATATATATGCGCCACACATTTTTTTCCGCGGGCTGAGATACTGCCCGGGTACCCAGACCGAAGCAGGTGTTTATCTTAAGGGGGCCACACCCCGAGCCTTTGATCTAAAGGTCTAATCCACAAGGCAGTGGAGCATCATAAGGAGATGAAGTCCCATGGTATCCGGTGGCCGAAAGTTGGTTCATACGCCACTTGTCCCCGCAGGATACTGCAGCCCATGTGCACCATTGGTTTGGGATCCGGTTAAAGCGCCGGACATTCGCTTTTCGTCCTCTCATTTTCGTAAACAACACCCCCCGCCACGAGAAGGCAGTGAGCAGGACTTCCCTGGCAGATGCTGTATACGCGTGGCCGTGTGAGAGTATTTCGAGAGGGAGGGCGAACCCCCCCCGCTCTCGGCAATACCAGGGCAGATAAGTCGCATTCCAAAACAGGTTTACTAGACTACTGTTTCGATTCTCGTTGTTCATTCTCCTTTGTTTTTTTTATTGGTAATATTATCCTGAATCCATAACTTCAACGCAATTAATTAGCGTTTTAACTTTACATGATAATTAAGCACTGAATTTTGTGCTGATGATATCGTTCAGAAGAACGATTAAAGCTCGATGACCAAACTATCCAGCTCAGAAAATAACTTACTTACGCCCGTTACTCCCGATGGAGCATAGGCCGCCGACCAGCATTCTCCAACCCACTCTGTCCTGGGCCTCCTTTTCTAGTTCCATCCGATTCTTGTTCATTTTTCTCATGTCTATTTCCATTTCCCGGTGTCATGTGTTCTTCAGTTTTCCTCTCCTCCTTTGGCCTTGAGGATTCCATGTGAAGGCTTGCCTTGTGACGCAGTTGGGTGCTTTCTTCAATGTGTGTCCAGCGCTTCTTCCTGATTTCCTCCTCCGCTGGGATCTGGTTTGTTCTTTCCCACAGTTGGTTGTTGATAATAGTGTCTGGCCAATGGATCCGAAATATTTCGCGTAGACAACTGTTAATAAACGCCTGTATTTTCTGGATGATTGCTTTCGTAGTTCTCCAGGTTTCCGCCCCATACAGTAGAAGTGTCTTGACATTTGTATTGAAAATCCTGACCTTGGTGTTGGGTGACAGTTGCTTTGAATTCCAGACGTTTCTCAATTGTAAATATGCTGCTCTTGCTTTGCCGATCCGCGCCTTCACATCTGCATCAGATCCACCATATTCATCAGAAAATAAAACTCCATCAATATCGTTTGTTATGTTTGAAACTGAATATTAATGGACTATTCCTATAAATGTTCCAAACTGTTCAATAATACAAAATTAATCCCAAGTTACTCTTATCTAATTATTGCTTTGTGAATATACACATTACTTTAATGGATTGATTTTACTCAATCATTGAAAATATCTACTGGTATAAAGTTATCACTCTTTGTTTCGACTCAATATTATCAGTTTCGTGAATTGGTTGATATAATTTGATTGGCGTTTATCTGTTCATTTAGTTTTTGAATATTGCATATAAAGGCATGATTTTCACTAGAGATTCCATTTCAATAGTCCACAGCTATCTACAAATGTCTTCTATGGACACGCTACGGCAGCGCATCTCAAACTGACAGATAGGAAAATCAAATAAAGTGAGAATTAGAGCTTGAAATATTGTCTTGAGTGAAAACCGTGCATTTTTATACATCACTTGCTCACTAAGTGGGTTAAAAATTCTCGGAAATGCTCAATAACCCCGACAAATGGAACATTGAAAAATAGACGCACTACAAATTCATGAATATGCATCTTTTTCTCGGTTTCATGCTGTCTGACACTAGACAGCAAGGTGTGGCTGTAGTAACGAGGATGCCACATAACTTACTACATAAACTAGCAGTAATAAATTAGTTGACAGTAAGCTATTAGATTTAAGTGTTCTTTTTGAGTGTACGTAATGAGATTAATAATTTAATCCGTTACATACAAACCAATATTACTTTGACTTAATAATCAGTAACAGTTTATTAATGCTAAATGGCAACCAAAACCTACCTAATGAGTTTTAAACACTTAACCCCAGAGCTTTTGGCGATAAACTGCAAACATAAAGATTATAATGTGATTGATAGCATTTACTTAGTGACTCTGTGGCCTCAAATATGAATATTTTTTCTTCTGTCACGAACACTGACTATTACTGCATTAAAGTCTACAACTTCTTGTTTGTTTTAGACTAATAGAAAGTAAATTTTTCTATGTATATTTCTATTTAGTACTTCATTTGATATCTATATCTGAATCGTATTAGATATTTTCAAGTAGATAACGTAATTTAGTAAGTCGTCCACATCAACTTACATAGCTAGTTGAAAAGTAAGCTAAGGTTGACGAAAACAAAAAATCACAGTTGTGCATATCGTTACTGATTGAGCTGTGTAGGAAAGTGCACATCTTTTCTAAATTATCCACATGACAACAATCAGTCATCCCAGTCGGTAAATAATTTTGCAAAACTTTAAAGTGACTAAACTATTCACTACATTTTCGCATAGGAACAATTTTACCATCCTTTTCGAATTCCTCAGATAATAGTAAAAACACAGTATTCTACCTCTCTTGTTTATGGTAGTGTTAGTGGGACATAGACTGGATTAAAGCATGCTCAATGCATGATTGGTCTGGTGCACGCTGATTGGCTAATTCTTATCCAATCAGCACTAGTCGATAGTTGGCGAATACCCTAGAATCTTCTCATGTAAAAACTATAAATATACTGACGTTTTCTCTATTGTGCTTCCTACTGGCTTGCATCTTGCTTCCATCTAACCTTGTTATTTGGAATATAACCTCTTTCCTGTTCAACCGTGTTCTGACTTGGGGTCTTGTCGAGTGAATCGGTGTCGAAGAATACTAAGCAATAGGAATAGCTGGGTTATAACCGTAAGAAAGGGATTATAACAGGTAGATACGGGACTAATTGCCCTTAATGATTATATTATGTATAGTGCATTAGTAAACACACTTCTCTGCCTTTCTTTTTTTCAGGAATTTCTGATGGCAGTTGCTGTCACTGGACAAATCCGAACAACACAATCGAAAACCACTTAATGCTTGTAGTTGGATTATTTCTGTAATCTGTTCATTCTAAAAATAAAATCCCCTAGTTGATTTTATTAATTTGAATGTAAAATAGAAAAAAAGGTATCTTGAGCAAACGGCAGCGGACTTGGGTCGCATTACATAGATAAAATATTATAGTAGCTTCGTAAGAAGTCTATGGAACTTGCTAAGAATAAATATTCATGAATACACGATAATTTGGGTCTATCCATGGTATTAGGAAGTTGAAGCATTATCAGACCTATATTGAACTCAGCTGCTTAGTCCTTCGTTATGTTGGTAATTTAGATAATTTAATTTAGAACCGTTCGTACGATAATATTCCTGATTATGTATGTACCCTTTTGAATTCATAATCATTTCCGTAAAGCGAACAAATATTTTTAAAAAATTCACAAGGATTTCCAAAGTTTTCTTCAAGTATAATCTTAATGTCCAGTTGGCATTAGGTCAAATTCATATCATGAATAGATCAATGTTAGACCACCATTGGAAACCTGGAAGCACTGGACGGCCGTTTCATTCTAGTATGGGTCTCCTGATCAGTGCACATCCACGATCCCACACGCGTGATCAGAACCCAGATCCTTCGGACTCGCGCGCGAACGCTTAAACTCTAGACCACTGAGCCGGCATTCAACGGTGTTGATGTATAACTTCGATCGATTTGCTATATTGCGCAACCGTCCATCATTGTCTTCAGTGAGTAAATGCTACAAAAAAGACACGGTTGAACTCCACTAGCCACGGCTTCTCACTAGAACTCCAGGAAATTCATCTTGAATGGTGGTCTAAGATCGATCTATTTATTATATCAATTTAAACAACAATCTCCAAAATCCTGTACTGATAGTCTACTTGATATTTGAAATTTATTTTGTCAAAGCCGTTCTAGGAAGTTGTATTAGACAACATTTTTCTGAAGACACCAAATTATACATGTAACTAGAATTGGCTAGTTTCTGTCCTGCCCTAAAAGTATGAAGTCCGTTTAATGTGATATTTTGTTTACTATGTAAAGTAGAAATCCACTATTACTGATAGGCAGCCGGTCTACCCGTACATTGAGTTGTCAAAGGTTATTTATGTAGCAAAGTACTTTTACAATGTATTATACCTAAGACGTCATGCCTCAGTGTTTAATGCTGATCGAATTCCATCGATCACGTTGCAATATGACCAAAACCCTAAATAGTTTGACATCCCGTGCACTTCCTTATTTTATGCGGTTGGAAGCAATCAACATAAAACACTGCTCCAGATATCTTCCTGATGGGTGTCTTACAACAAGGACCATTCGACTTGTATTTTGAGACCACGTAACTGCTGTAGTATTCAAGCTTTATCTAGCACTGCAATAGTTCACGCAAGGTCCAGTAACTTGTACCAGTGATCGTATTGCAGGTTGATCAACCATATGACTAGATATACAAGAAATGAGCATGTCTTGAACGTCATTCTTGACATGAATAGCCTAGTGTCGACTTTGAAACTTGGTTATCTATGTTCGAATGCCTCAAATAGTATCCAACCTATAAAGAGAGATGTTTTTAAGGAGACCCTTTCCCCTGAGATTTCAGATAATTACAAACAGTGGATTTAGTCCTATTACATCCACAAATTCATAAGGTAAGTGCAAGGGCATTAATATTTTGTAAGTATGAGTCACAGACTGATATGAAATGTGGTGAATCTTAAAAGTGAAGCCATCACGACAATTGTACATGTACATACTCGGAACTTACATCTGCACAAAGAACTTTTGGCTCGAGATGTTACATTCACTAAAATGGCTTGCAATGACCTAACATGGCTCATTATTGAATCAAAGTATGCTAACCGGACGAGTTGGATTGTGTCTAAACGAAATCCATCAAAGGACAAGAAACGAATAAATACACCAAAAGTTTTCGAGATTACAACCCCGGAAGTTGTTTACATCATTAGCAGTTTAATCATTATGAACTCAAAGTATTTTTGTAATTATATCTCATGTGAAAATGTAGTCTGAAGGCTTCGATAGTATTTTGGAATATTTGACGTAAGTCACTGTAATTACAGAAAAATCCAGGTCCATTAAACATCAAATAATGAGCAAAGTGAGCAGAATACGTATACCTATGTGTAATCTCTGAAACATTTAGGCTCGGACATGCTGATTTAACTTGATATTTAAAATAAGTGTTCCTATCAAGACGCCTACGTTTTACAAACTTCTAGTATCGATGTTCAAGCAGAAACACAACAGGTTCCCAATATCTACAATCGTGCTGTTTACTGAAGAAATGATTTACCCCACCTCCACATAGAAAAAATAATACGCAAAACCAACAATCTTATTTCCAAAGATCAAAATTTATCGATGGATAGTGGTAGAGAAAAGCTAAAAGATAATCGCCAGTCAATTTGAGGTTGCAATGTAAAAAGGTACAGACTGGTGAGAGAAACATAGTCATGTTTAATTACACAGTGGTGGCGTGTGTGTAAATGCATTTCAAAAGGCTAAGCGAAAATCTAAACAAACACATGATGTCCTGTCATTGTTGAGCTATAGTCCGAAAATGAAAGAGCATTTATGCAGAATACTAGGAGGAAGACCATCTACACTGCATACGATTATGAACATTTTGTGGAAAGATAAACCTAATAACTGTAAGAAAGCACATTTTAACTCAAAATAGTTAGCTTTTGGAAAAGGCAACGTATGTAAAAGGACACCATGAGATCTTGGTGAAATATCATAAATCCGCAAATATTAACTTGCTCTTGCCTTATTGTGGTTTTGACTACGTCTAGAGGTACCGTTGTTCTGTTTTGATGTTTGGTCGTCATTTACATTATTTGCGCCCAAATTATCATTTTTAATGGCTTTATTGTCAGCTTGTGGATTTCCATGATCACCAGTTGACATAACACCTTGAAAAAATAGGAAAGATAAACATGTGATATTTAGGAACACAAGACAATCAGATACAAACTGGAACATCAAAAAAAAACTTAGTCAGCACCACTACATGAGTACGATTATCATATAATTACGTATGGGGTTGGCAAAATACCTTTTCATGACACGACAATGAAGCAACGAAAATATTTTGTAATGGCGTCTAATAGCCATGTTAGAAAACTCTCGGTTACGTAAAAAGCCTGTTACTGTCAGAACATTTGTTACTTTACGCTGTTTATGGTTCTTACGTTCAACGATTTCTTGGAATGAAATGATTTATAAAATCAAACCATAAGTCCTCAAATTGTGTGCAGCCATCTAAACAACAATTCTCAGCACTGAATGAAATTCGACAGAATTTTTTGTGCCCTGGAATTATCTGAGGTGTTGCTCTGCGTTTCTAGATATTTATTTTGAAACAGAACTAAAGCTAAATCGAATGCCTAGGATTTTCGTGTACTTTAATCGACACACATAATGAAGATTTTCAAAACACTATTTATACAAATCTCAAGAAATCTAACTGTAATATAATGTAAACATAAGTATTTAATAATGAACATCAGTGAAATTAAACATACCGTTAGAATAACAAGAATACGAATCATTGACTGATGATTGACGATTTTTCATATTATTATTGGGTACATCTGACTGGTAGGCATTTTTGCCACGCAGGTGTTGCCCATGAGCATTAGGCGGATGAGGTACTTCTTTATCACCCAAAGATTGCTCAGGAACAAAGCTCTCAAGTTGTCGACGACCGCGACCCACAGTTCGATTCCTTCTGAGAAACGGATTTGGTTTCAAAGAATAAGAAATGTCTATATATAATATAACGAAAAACCTTAGTCATATTCGATATAAAGCCTGGGACAACTGACCAGCAACCCAAGTTGCGAAGTAACATCAACAAATCGAGGTGAAATTAATCTATTATATGCTATAAGAGTTAAGGTACTATTACTATTTATGATAAAGACTACTTTTGGCGGATAGAGTTCTAAAAAGGGATAAATTCAGAAAACGAGTATAAATAAAATATTGAAGCCCAAAACTTAAGGAAAGATAAATGAATGTATCTGCACCATTGTGATCGTACCTGAGGCATTTTAGCCAATGTTTCCGGCCACTGACCACGCACATCTCAGCCAAGTAGCTTGCATCTACTGACAAAGTTTGGACTTGAACTAATTACATTATATCAGATGATAACAAACATGCATAAATAAGTTCTTAATCTAAAGATGCTTTACACGAGTCTTTGTTAATTACAGCTTATGAAATCAGACAAGGAGTCTTTGAGTTCGTATTTAAAATAAATGAAAAAACATGTAGGTTCTACGTTCAAAAGTACTGCCGACGAGAAATTATGACTTAACTTTACTTAGTAAATGTGATTTATTCGAACTATATTGATAGCTATGAAAATCATGGTGAAACAAAAAGGTCTTATGTAAAGTAGGCCACATTTAATACAAATTGTATACTCCAATGTGTGTGAACTACCTTATTTATACCAACTCTTAATTGATAAAGACTGCTGAGAAAAGTGTATATTATAGATTGAAAAAGTAATAAAAGTAACTGCATTTTAAGGGGGTTCACTATTCAAAAGTGCAACTGACAGGATTGTCAAATATAAAAAATATGAGTCTGTATAATCTATGAAAGTACAATGTTCTACTAAGCTAATAGACGAAATATAGCCATGAGAGTAAATATTTGATTGGAATCAAAGTATGGAAATAAAGAATACCATTATTCATGAAGTTCGGTCACAAACCAGAAGAAACTTAAAATATAGATAAAATTTAAAAAAATTTGAAATAAATACAAACCCGAAATTCCCACCACCTTTACTAGGCCTTCCATTCGAAATGCGAGTAGGTGATACAGAATCCGATTGGTGATTGAGTTGATTGGTTTGACGCAACTGACTAAACAACGATCTTCGGGCTTCCTACAGTAGAGTAAATAAGATTACAAAAAACGGGGTGGTATACAATTGCGATGAATAGCTTAAACAATTCACATGTGACTGGTTTTGTAAAATGACGGAAACACTGTTAAAGTAGTACACAAACAGATAAATAAAGGACAAGATGTTGATTTTGAATGAAAATATTAAGTTGATACAAGAAAATCACATACTTCTAATTTATCTAGTTCATTCCAATTATCTGCTTGGAATTCAAGTAGTAGACGCATTTTCTCAACAGATGAACGTGTACCAACAAGAGAGAAAGCAGGGGATAAGTCGACGATACCACCGGAGTTCTTGTCATCATTCAAATAACCATCCAGATTGACAGAAAGCTTTTCATTCCCGTTGTCAGTTTCTTCACCATTTGATGTATCTTCATGAGCATCGCCATCTGTTACAGAACCTCCACGTTCCAAGTCAACACGTACTGGACAATGACTTTGACGTTGAGCCATTAGTCTGCGTTTTCTAGCGAAAGGATCAAGTAGCTTAGCTCGCCGAACACCTGCAGCTTTTGCTAATTTGCGAATATTCATGCCTTTTGATCCGACCAGTCTACTTGCTAATCGTGGTTGGACTGGAATCTCAACTTCAGTGAAATCCAAAAGATTTCTCACTCCGTGACATGCTTCAATAGTCTGAACAACAAAAAAGTGATAGGATAAAAGATATAAAGCTTAGGAAAAAACTGATTAGTTGGAAATTCATTTCAGAAAGTGGCCGGTACTACTGTTAGACTGAACAATCAACGTACAGATGGAGTAAATTAGTGCCGTAGTATTGATATCTACCACACTGTTGATCGAGTAATATTTGTCGAAATTCCCACTAACTCCCACGTCTGATGTTCGTCGGAACAACGGCTAGCAAAAAAGACTAATAATGCCCTAAAATATGGTCCAGAGAATATACCATACTACGCTTTTTTCCTTCTCTCTCTCTCTCTCTTCATATATATATATATATATATATATATATATATATATATATATATATATATATATATATATATAAGCAGTAATCAGAAATATTAGGGTTTGAAGATGCTATTTAAAGAGTATAATCCAGTGAAATATATTTGGAGAGAAAAAAAGACGAGGATGAGTCTACCGACTGATATGTGGATCAAAACTTTTGAGATCAGCATTAAACTACGTGACTAAAATCCTTAGTTCAAAAAACAAAAAATTTCATTTCAGATTACTTTAACGCTGCAGTTCGGACGGTCGAAAACTGAGATAAACTGATATTAATTACTAAAAATTACCTCAGCTTCTACATGGATTATGCCATCAAAAAGAAGATCCACCGCACGAACTCCAGGTATTCCTCGAGCTTCTTGAATAGTTGCACCACGATGTCCAATAGCGAGACCAATCAAATGTGGCAAAATTCGAAAACGACATTCATAACCAATAATCATCCCACTAGACGCTTGTTTGTCACTGGACACAGTTGCTGGCATACTTATAGGTTTACAATGAATTGCAGGAGCATCGCCATCTAGTTCACCGCTGTTGGACAATTCCAGATCACCAGTCTCCCCTTTGGATAAGTTTCTTAGCTATAAAAGCAGCAATCATACTCGATCATTATATACAACATTTCATAATCCAGACAAATTAAAACAGCCGTGACATCGTCTTAAGCTGCGAAACAATTTAACACTGAAGATATTTTTTATATCTTGGTGGAACAATTAACAAAAAAACTTACCAAGTGGAATCGAACAGCCAACAAACGAATGTGTCCCAATTCTAAGAAAGTTGCGCGTCGAATTGCTTCAGACGAACCGGACCAGATATGGAGCAGTACAAGAGGTCCATTGGCTCCAGGTAGACCTGTCAAAAGGATGTTTGGGTCTGTAATCCCTGCTGGACTCAGTGTCCCGGCGATATACGGAACATTCATCATAGCTGCTTGTGATATCAGAGATAGCGAAGGCCATGTATATGTCGATAGACACAAGGAAGGGCTCAATGATCCATAGTCTGCATGAACTGATATGTGTCGTCCAGACCCATTTGATCCCTCTTTATCTCCTAGTATCAATTTCGCAAACGTCCCTGGGAGAAATGGTTCAGAATCACACTGGATAAGACATGGAGCACTACAAAATTTAGCTAAAGTTGAATGCGATTCTGGATTGGCTGCTCTACACAAAAAATAAAATTAGGTTGACAATCAAAAATTACTGACATTAATTCTGAGGAAACACAGAATTTATCATATAAGTCACGTGGTCAAACTAAAAATTACCAATAGAAATTACATCCTTAAGCATGAATTATTTACAGAAACTGATAAATCAAACAAAAATTCAGCAAATGGTGAACGAAGCTGTTTTAGGGTTTACTTTTTTTCACAGGTCCTCCTGTATATTTGTAGCCCACCGCCGTAAAGTATGATCTCTGGAAGTAGAAGTTATATGTCTTTGAAGCACTGCTGGTGTATGATAGTGCCACAAAGTAAGCAATATTCATATATTACGTGAAGTTAAATAGTTTACTTATGTGGTATGCAATTCCGATTACCGCGTGCTTTGGTGTATTACGTTGGTAGTCATTGAGATGGGACATACGATGTAGCCGTAGCCAAGACAAGCATCAGGCCATAGGCAATATTAGTTTGAACAAAACTCCACCAAGAGCTGTATGGTGTACAGTAGGTTTTTCGTTTAGTAATAGCGAGCTAACCCCCGAAAACCTTAAGGATTGCGACTTGAAAATTAATTAAATGACAATATCCTATCACTTTTTCGTTAGTGATAAAGTACGTAGGTCTCTTCGGTTGCCTTGAATTTCTACGAACAATGAATAAAACGTGGCTGTCATTTTTTACTGGATTCCAGAAAACATTAATTTGTTTACAGCAAATAGTAATGGATGATTTGTAATTAACTATTTCGAACTTTTTTAGTAACTATAATAACGGATGACACAAATGATAATACAAAACCAATTTTTAATTTACCAGAACTTACCTAAATCCTAGATTTTCGTGTAATTCTGTTATATAAACATACCCTTGCAATGTGAAAACCAATCATGAGTGGTCAACTTTATACGGTACGGTTTCAACTAACTACCATCAATATGCAACACAATATCATTTTCCGACCTTTGTGACCAGACGAAAATTTCAATACATAAAATTGTGGATTGAAAGTCTTGGGTTACTGATTGTCTGTAAATGTCGGATTTATTCTATGGTTACAGATTATAAACAGCTTGTGGACTGGAATTACATCCATTCAAGTATCAGGTACGTAAAATGTCGGTAAAACAACTTACTTTAATACATTTCTGACGAAGTGAAGCCGAAGAATTACACGAATACTTGAATATATTGTTAACTGCATACAAATATAGCACTGCACAGGAGTCATATATCGGTGTGAAAATAGCAATTCTATTCAACATTAATGTTATTGACGTTGTTGAATTCAGTATCGGATTACCGAAGACTGTACTAACTCATTTGCTTAACTTTATCAATCGTAATTCTACTTTGGTCGATAGCACTTGCGTTATAGCATAATTAATCACTACTCCATCGTATCTGTACATTGTTGCACAAACGAAAACGATCCGCATACAAGTCACAAGTAATTTTATTATCTCCATTTAAAAGTTCCAATAGAATGAACAGAATTAAAGCAAATAACGAAATATAGAACTGTGATATTTTACATACAATGAAAACTGCAGGTGAAGACTAAAAACCCCATCTAAAGTTCTAGGTAGCTCATAATAATACACTGAACTTACAATCGATACAAGTAAGCTGGAATGCAAATACTGTGACGATGAAGGATTCCTGGGACTAACAAATTATTCGATTCGACTAAGTTATCCTTAATGAAGCCTGATGTCAAAGTACCCGCTTGAGATCGATCCTCCGTATGATCACACGAAAACTTGCCATTCCATGGAACTCGAATTTCCGTTACCTTGACAAGTGTTGAGTGATATGGCAAGACTACAGAACCAAGTCCAATTAAATGAGGCATGGCATGTGCAGTTGGTTTATCTTCTACACCAGTGTACTCCTGTAATGGGGCAGCAACCTGGAAGGGAAAGTCGATTGTTCTTAAGGTAACTATTTTCTTGACAAAATACTAGGTAATAGCATGTGACTGTACAAAATAGACACAAACATATTATACAAAGAAATACAAAACTACTGTTTAAACATACACACCTACTAAATATCATCCAAGATAAGTAAAAACCCTTACCATTAATCCAGACAACGTAGCCGCTAAAGCTATACTACGCAGTCGTTATTAAAGATCATACGCTGCGATTTTAGCCTGACAAGTATATGGAGCAAGCATGATCATTGGCTTAAATGAAACAAGTCGTATGGCAGCTTACAAACACGGTCCGCACTTGAAAAACATCATAAGTGCGACATTACACTTGAATATGATTGATCAAGTGGTGATGATAGTTCAATGTGATTACAAAATCCGACGTTATAACCGTTAAGGAAACAAGATTCGAATTAATATTCCACTTTCTGCTAGGTTGTCTAGCTAATAACCCAATAAGAATTGCTAGTAATAGCAGTGTTAAAATAAATGTATGCCAAATGATAGTTTTGCAATAATGATAATAATCACAAAAATGTGAATGAATATACCTCGACATGTGCGAAGCCACCTTGTATGGTAAGAACTCGACCAGGCCACCACGCCCCAGGTGGACCACCAGATATAGTTTCTACAGAGTCGCTCGTTTCTACATCTGCTGTACTTTTTTTCTTTACAGTTGAACCAGAATCTAGCCAGACCTCAACAGCATCTCTGAGTGAGAAGTTATGATTTGAATTATGAGGCGTTTCCTCATTTTCAGACGAACCAGATTGGACATCCAGCTTGTCGTTGACCGAAAACGCATTTGGGGCCAACTGAAGCTCGGAAAGACCGACTTTAATTGTACAGTGACTAAAGTTGGTAAAGGAAAATCATGATAGAAATACAGGTTTTAACAAACCACATTAAAAAAATACTTATAGTTAACAGTAAATTTGATGAACTCGGTCGTAAGCAACGTAGAGACTTGTAGGTACATCGGTTCATGTTGACATACCATATTACTACAGATATGACATAGTAGTATGAGGAAAAACCATACAACACAGGAGCTTAGGATATAAGAGAAGATAGAGAATGCAGCTGCGCTATTGAAAACGATTTTGAGCAATTTCACCAAAAGTATCTAACCACTGGTTACGATAGGTGTGCGAAATACCACGTAGTCTGGACTTACCTACAAAACTCAGTTTAACAAAAAGACGTAACGTTTCTAACTGGCCGCTTCTAGCTGTTTTCTAACGTATTTCCGCACCATTAAGTATCAACTCTCTATGTACGCGGTGGTTAGACAGATGTTACGATTGTTAAGTACCCTAAGTATAACCACAACGTAAATCAGTTATTCCACGAAAGGGGAGTTACCAATTAATGAGATCGAATGTGGATTAAGAGAAATAACCACGGTTGAGAGCTAGCAGATGTGTCTGTGTTACAGAACATGACAAAGGTCTAATATTTAGTCTACAAATCCACGCTTAAGTCGGAAACCGATCTGACTTTTCCTGGTTTGCTTTCTGTGACCCTCAACTAATCATTAGATTATTTTTGGTAAAATTTTAGACACCTACTTGAGTGAACGGAGTCCTGATGCAATGCCAAAAGGTTCGACCCAACAGTTATATCTTGATTGATTGAAGAAGGCGTGATCTGAAAGCCAGCTTCATTGGATTGCCTATGACACTATCGTGCTTATTTTATGTTTACATTCTGTATACAAGCAGGTTATGTTATCACACACAAAAATTATCTATCTGGCTAATGGTCTCGGCTTCAATGTCTAATTATTTGGAGGCCTAAGTCAATAATACCCTTTCTTGAGTACCCTTTAATCGGTCAAGTTATATCGTTGTGTCCAGTTATCGACTAGTATCTTAATAACTAATTTCGATAATCGGAAGCTATGTCCATTTAGATCACATAAAACCTTTATAGCAATTACTTAGTTTTTATGTACGCTTTCACAAACTCAATCGAGATCAGTCAACGATAACAAGACTAAAATCTGAGAATATGGTTCGAAAAACCAGACCCCATTTTCGATGAAAAGATGAGTTTTGTAGATAGACTTTCAACCTTCATCAAAAAGCAAGGTGCTCAAACGTAGCAATCGTATAAGGTGCAATGATGAGATAAAGTATTCATATTTCATAAAATTGCCAGACCGACTGCCAAGCCGATCAACCATACATAAAGGTGTAGTTAAGGCCTGTGTTACACAGATCTAGCCGACACATACCTTGGTTGTAATCCTAATTAGCATTGTTATAAGAGGAGGGAAAGTAGACACCAGCACATGATACCAATTCACCGAGATATCGAGTGATGACTGAAGCCAAGTCAGCACGAGCTGATTTTAGTAATCTTAAGTAGTGGCTATAGTTTATGCAATTTAACAGGAAAGCATGAAGATTAGTGATCAAAAATAACCTTATTCAAAACGGAAAAAGAGAATTCCTACTGTGATGAAAACCCTGGGTTTGTACAGCGTAACGTGAATTGCTTACAACAGGACTATAACGAATAGTGGTTAGAAGAGGAGTGTATACGCTTATACGTTTATAGCTATAAACGGCTACCATTTTGCACTGAAAAGGTTTTATCAACTAGCTTGACCGAACCAACATACTAAGTAATATTTCTACAAATGGAGCTATCAATCAACCATAATCAAGTATGGCAGTTTAGCAATTAACACCTTTACAAATGAGTAGCAAACTAATCACTTGTTCAGAAAATTATTCTTTTGAGAAGTGTCCGCATGCATTGTTTAAATATTTATTGCTTTTGATAACGACGGTATAAAACCACTTTTTTCAATACATTTACAATGAGCTACTTACTTTGCACTGTACCGTATTGTACACACCGTTTTTTCAATACCAACCAACAGTGCCTGGAACGAAAATCATATTAATTGATTTCACTACCGGAATCTTTTGGTGTTCGGATCCAATCTGTTCAACCGGGATTGTCAACTCCATCGCCAACTAACAACAAACAGATAGGCAACGCAGTGGTCTTCAAGGTTAATTATAGGAATAAAACAAACAAAACGTGAAACCCATGGAGCGTATTTGCAAAGCCACTGAAACATATACTTTGAAAATAAACATAACTTAGCGACTAATGCTAAGAAAATTCAAAACCGAAGTCTGTCAAGTTTTCAGTGTTGAGGTGGCCTAATTTTGTCTGAAAAATACAAACAAAACGTGCAATTAATAGACGTCGTACAAAATAGTTCCAGTTGTCTAGATCTAAGGATAAAAACGGCGTGTTAGGGATAACTGATTTCATTCATAGTCGGCACAACCTGCACTCAAACAGCCTAAGAGAATATCCCCGTACATAAACAATTGAACAAAGATCCATCATTGGATTCCCAAACTAATTAAAGAAGAGAGTGAATCTGAAATGGCGGAGGAGGATCAAGGTGTGTTACCTACGGACTGGAAGGACGCAATCGTCAGTCCCGTACATAAAGAAGGACCAAGACAACTTTCATCAAACCACAGACCTGTAAGCCTCATCAGTGTCGTAGTTAAAATATTAAAAGAAATATTCAGACAGACCATAATGACACTTACTTACTTACTTACGCCAGTTACTCCCAATGGAGCATAGGTCGCCGACCAGCATTCTCCAACCCACTCTGTCCTGGGACTCTTTTTCTAATTTCATCCAATTCTTGTTCATCTTTTTCATGTCTATTTCCATTTCTCGGCGTAATGTGTTCTTTGGTCTTCCTCTCCTCCTTTGGCCTTCAGGATTCCATGTGAAGGCTTGTCTTGTGACGCAGTTGGGTGCTTTCTTCAATGTGTGTCCTATCCACTTCCAGCGCTTCTTCCTGATTTCTTCCTCCGCTGGGATCTGGTTTGTTCTCTCCCACAGTACGTTGTTGCTAATAGTGTCCGGCCAACAGATCTGAAGTATTTTGCGTAGACAACTGTTAATAAACACCTGTATCTTCTGGATGATGGCCTTCGTAGTTATCCAGGTTTCCACCCCATACAGTAGGACTGTCTTGACATTTGTATTGAAATTCCTGACCTTGGTGTTGGTTGACAGTTGCTTTGAGTTCCAGATGTTCCTCAGTTGTAAATATGCTGCTCTTGCTTTGCCGATCCGCGCCTTCACATCTGCATCAGATCCACCCTGTTCATCAATGATGCTGCCCAAATATGTAAAGGTTTTTACATCTTCCAAATCTTCTCCGTCAATTGTGATTGGATCGGTGCATGCTGTGTTGTATCGGAGAACCTTGCACTTCGCTTTGTGTATATTGAGACCTACTGCTGCTGAGGCTGCTGCTACACTGTTCGTCTTCTCCTGCATTTGTTGTTGCGTTTGGGATAGAAGGGCCAGATCATCTGCGAAGTCTAGATCGTCCGACTGCATCCTAGATGTCCATTGTATCCCGTGTTTCCCTTCAGATTTTGACGTCTTCATGATCCAGTCGATCACCAGGAGAAAGAGAAAGGGTGAGAGTAAGCAGCCTTGTCTGACACCAGTCTTCACTTCGAACGACTTTGTCAACTGTCCTCCATGCACGATTTTGTAGTGTAATCCATCATATGAACTCTGTATGATGTTGACTATTTTTTGAGGCACGCCGCAGTGTCGAAGAAGTTTCCATTGTGTTGTTCTGTTCACGCAATCAAATGCCTTTTCGTAGTCAATGAAGTTGATGTAGAGTGATGAATTCCATTCAATTGATTGTTCCACAATGATCCGTAGAGTAGCGATTTGGTCTGTACACGATCTATCCTTACGGAATCCTACCTGTTGGTCACGAAGTTGAGCGTCTACGCAGTCCTTCATCCTGTTTAACAATACTCTGTTGAAGACTTTTCCCGGTATTGAGAGAAGAGTGATGCCCCTGTAGTTATCACACTTGCTGAGATCGCCTTTCTTCGGTATTTTGATCAGGAGTCCTTCTTTCCAGTCTGTTGGTACTTGTTCCTCATCCCAAATCTTATTGAAGAGAATGTGGAGTATCCTTGCAGTTGCCGCTACGTCTGCTTTAAGTGCCTCTGCTGAAATGTTGTCTGGTCCTGCTGCTTTGCCACTCTTGATTTGTCTGATGGCCATTCTGATTTCTTCAATTGTTGGTGAGCCAACGTTTATTAGGAGGTCCGTGGGTGCTGCTTCGATGTTGGGTGGGTTCAGTGGAGCTGGTCGATTCAAGAGTTTGTAGTGGCATTGGACCATAACCACACTATCCTCAAAGCTGAATACGAGATTACTCGGAAAATAGGTATTCAATATTTAACGCGAAGAAATACCCAACGATGGAGAAGACGCGAATAACGAATTGAATAGACTAGAGTTGATCGAACGGCATGGCTCGGCCATGCAGGCGTGGTCTCTGCTGAATGTTACCTTATATCTTCTATTCATATTAAATATATTGTTCTTTCTCTAGCCTAACCTTGTTCTACATCATGTATTGGTAATTGATACGATACAGTGAGTTGGTGTAGTCGATGGTGTGACTTCCACGTAAGATCTTATAGATTAGGCAGTCATATCATGACAAATCTACAGATTTAGGATTAGGTCTATTATTAGAGCAGTACTAATATCATAGTAGACCATAAATTCTACAAGTTCTTTGAAGTGTTCTACCCACCTGTTTTGTTGCTCTTCAATGTTGGTGATTACCTCGCCTTCCTTGCTTTTCACTGGTCGTTCTGGTTTGCAGCGATTTCCAGAGAGTTTCTTTGTTATGTCATACAGTTGTCTCATGTTCCCCTCTCTTGCAGCCTTTTCCGCCGTATTTGCTAGATCTTCCACATATTTACGTTTGTCGGTTCTGATGTTCTTCTTCACTTGTTTGCTTACTTCTGTGTATTCAGCTTGTGCCTTGGTTTTTTCTGCTCTTGTTCGACTGGTATTGATTGCTGCCTTCTTGTTTCTCCTTTCTTGAATCTTATCCAGTGTATCAACAGTGATCCATTCCTTGTGATGGTGCTTCTTGTGACCCAGGACCTCATGACATGTTGAAGTGATTGCCTCTTTGATCCCCTTCCAGTTGATCTCCACAGTAGTTCCTTCTCCATTGAGTAGATCATGAAAGGCCTAGAACTTGTTGCTGAGGACTATCTTGAATTTGTTGAGTTTGTTAGTATCCTGAAGAAAGGCCGTATTGAACTTTTGTGATATTGTCCACCCCATTGTCCAGTGCTTCTTGAGTTTCAATTTCATCTTGGCGACCAGCAAGTGATGATCTGATGCTATATCAGCTCCTCTCACGTCCTCTATAGTCCTCCTGAACGTTTTGTTGATGCAAATATGGTCGATTTGGTTTTGCGTGGTGTGATCCGGTGAAGTCCATGTGGTTTTGTGAATGCGTTCATGTGGGAATATGGTGCCGCCTATGACCAGTTTATTGAAGGCACATAGGTTTGCAAATCTCTCACCATTTTCGTTCCTTTCTCCCAGTCCATGTCGTCCCATGATGTCTTCATATCCAGTGTTGTCCGTTCCAACCTTGGCGCTGAAATCTCCCATCAGAATGGTCAGGTCCTTTGTTTGACACTTCTTGACGATTGACTGAAGCCTATTGTAGAATCGATCTTTAGCGTCTTCATTGTAGTCGTCGGTAGGCGCATATCATTGGATGATATTCATTGTAATGCCCTCCTTTTTTGTTTTGAACGAGGCTTTGATGATCCTTGGTCCATGAGATTCCCATCCCATAAGCGCATTTTGCACTTGTTTGGACAGCATCAATGCAATTCCTTGTGTATGTGGGGTATTTACTTCTTCATGGCCGGAGTATAACAGAAGCTCTCCTGAAGTTAGTCGTTGTTGTCCAACTTGCGTCCGATGTGTTTCACTGATCCCAAGTACCTCTAGGTTGTATCTTCTCATTTCTGCAGCAATTTGGACGGCTCTCCCGGTGTCCCACATTGTACGAACATTCCATGTACCTAAATAAATGGTCGCTCTGGTTGTCAGAAGGAGCATCGGCCTCGTAACTTCCGAAAGAATTCGGCTTTCATCATGAGGTGTCATAGTTCTTCTAAATGAAGACCTTCTGACTCCCAGGGCAGAGTTTAAAAGGTTTAAATATTTTTTTCTGATTAGCGTTTTTTTAGCGAGTTAGTTTTCTACGGGATGGGGACGCTAACCCCATGCCCAACACTCCTCCTTTATCCGGGCTTGGGACCGGCAGTAGCCTCCGTAGGGACTCCAGGCAGAGTTACCATAATGACAACTGTGGAAAAATATAAGCTGTTAAACAGCGAACGACATAGTTTTAGAAAGGGTTTAACTTGTACAACGAACTTCCACATAGCAGGGGAATACTGAATGAAGGCGCTAGGCAAGTGAACATCAGTGGATTTTGTCTACATAGACTTCAGTAAGGCATTTGATAAAGTGCAAACGAATAGACTGCTATTGAAGTTAAAAAATCTTGGTATTACCGGACTTCTTTTAAAATGACTTAAAGGTTTCCGAGTAGGTCGTGGAGAGAGAGTAAGAACAAATTCGAATTACTCCACCTGGAGAAGAGTACTCAGTGTGGTACCTCTAGGTTCTGTCGTAGATCCTTTCCTTTTTATACAGTATGTAGATGATTTCCCAAGCTGTTGGTGGAAGCGTTCTTCCAACCCATTGTGGATGGTAGGTGGTCTTTCGGAAGCGAGTGATTCTTAATAGTGTGATCAGACAACCGAAAAGTCCGGATTCAAACTGGCGTCCGCGATCTGTAATGATAGTTTATGGTCAGCCAAATTTGCTACATATCGTTCGATGACGGTACGAGCCACTGTTTCAACAGTAATTTACCTGATGGGTACTGCTTCTGACCATCGAGTGAAACGGTCTACGCAGGTCAAAGAATAAAAGTATCCATTAGAATATGGTAAAAGTCCTACCAAATCCAGACGAATATGGTCCAATCGAGCATCAAGAGTTTTATATGGACTTGTGGGACATTTGCTGTGTCTATTCACCTTAGATTTCTGGCAGCTTACACAGAAGCGTTCCCAATCCCTGACGTCTTCATTTATATCGAGCCAGCGAAATCGTTCTGCTATGAGCTTGATGGTTGCATGAACACCTGGATGAGAAAGTTTATGCAACGTATTGAAGACGTTGCGTCGATAATGTTTCGGTACGATTGGACAATCCCTACCTGTAGATGTGTCAAATAATAGGGTTTCCTTACCTG